TTCCTGTTGAGTTCCATAGCATTCTTTAACTGGAGCTCATACATTCTGTTTCTCCTCTGGTAGAAAACATATTCTGGGTCAACTCCTGTGTTCGCGTCATCTGCATAAAGTTGTTTATATCCCACTTCAGGGTTTGTATAAAACTCTTTCCATCTCATATTTGCATACCATGGTGGTAAGCCTAACGCAGCGTCATTTGACATGGCAGTTTGCATTTGTACATCTGTTGGCACTTGACCATAGTTTGCCATTGCAGTTTGTATTCTAACTTCATTTGGAATATTCTCTGGGTTTGGTTGTCCAGGTTGCTGTGCATTCGCTAAGTTCTGTGCGTCCATTTAATATTAGATAAAAATATCTCTTACGAGTACATATGCTGAACATTTGCTGGTATTGGTTCATCTTCATATTCTCTATATCTTTCTGCCACGTCAAATAAATAAATGACACAATGGAAAAAACCTAAAACAAGTAGTCCTATTTCAAACCACATTTACTTACTAGTAAAATTTCTTTGTTATGACACTTTCTCCAGTTTATAGGACCTCTCTCATATTCTATCTTATCGTATCTAAACTCATAGTCATGTATGTCCTCTAACCATTTCATGACACTTTCCAAACCACTTTTATCGGATGTAAAGTAAAAGCATGGATGGTTATGTAAAACGTCTAAAGTTTCTAAAGAGTCTCTCAAAGTCCAGTCTACTTGGTATTGAAAATCCCATGTGTTATAGAACGGCGGGTCCACTATAAAGAAAACATTTTCCTTGTCTTTATATTTTTCATACAACTCTGTCCAACGACATCTCACAAACTCTATACCCTCAGTATATTTTTCTATGTTCTCTTTGAAAACATTTGTATAGTTAAGATATAAAACTTTTGACATAAGTGTTTCAATGTCATGAACTCTTATAGCACCACTATATAATAGTCTAGCAGATATACTATCCCAGTCTATATATTCTGCTTTTTTCAAAACCTCTCTGACAGTATTTTTCTTATCTAATGGTATACGTTCCATCTTACCTATAGGTATCTTTTCTTTTAACTCTTTCAATATTTTGTTTGTGTCTGGTATATGTTTGAGACGGTTCATATAGTTGTCGAAGTCATTGCATATAATCTTTGAGTCAGGAAATACAGTATGGCACAAATGAGATATATAGAAACTTCCACCGAACAAATCTACAAATGTTAGACCATTCGGTAGTTTCTTAAGTTCTCTCAATAGAATATCTTTACATCTACTCTTATTTCCAAAGAACGGTAACGGTGGTTTTGTAAAATTCATTTTATATATATATAATAAAAATGTTTTTACCTGAAAAGTGACAGAAAAGTGACAAAACATGAAAACATATATATTTTGTGAAAAGCTCCTGGAAGACCCGTATATAAGAACTTCATTTATACTAAACATCTTCAGGGGCTAGAGGGGCGCAGCCCTGGAAGCCCCACTACCTTTTTTTTTTTTTTTTTTTTTTTCCGGAGTTGAGCATCATTTAAAATTCTGAATAATTTTGTTCAATAATGTTAGCAGTCGCATTAAATATGTACAATCTGAATTGAGATTAAAATCTTTGAGTTTTATAAAATGTCCAAGCGTTATCTATATATAAATCCGTAAAATTGAAATAGATTTCTGATGTCATTTCGTTGGTTTTTAGTAAACTATAATATAGACCGCATAAAATTCGTATTTAATTCATTATTAGCTGCATAAGCAGCGAAAATTATAGTTGTCATAGAAATATTTACGGTATAAAAATGAAAGATTTATTGCATACAAATTTTGAATTGTCATTCAAAAAATGCAATAAAATAGGGGTATGAATTCTATTCATTAATAAACAAACAAACAAATTTATGTCTGGCATTCCGAAAACACCGTTTGCTGTTTCAAAATATTCAATATGACTTTTTGATTAAAACCGCAAATTATTTTTATTTTTTATTTTCTCATATTTTGATTCATGAATGAAAACATCGGGTGGTTGCATTTTAACAGTTCATGTTAATGGGATTTCCTAATTATCAAATCATAATACAAGCAAAATTAGAATGGAACGAATTTTTTGATGAAACTAATAACAGCTATTATAACGGCATTATTTCCAATGGAAATAGTTATTACATTTTTGATATTATATCAGCGAATAGTAATGCACGGTTTCTTTCATATGATTCAGAAGTCACTTCTGCAAAGATTCTTATTGAGTCCTCTCTTTTTTATAATAATTCATATAATGGTGATGGATGTAATATACACATTGATTCACATGGGGATATTGTCCAGAAAAGAGTTTGTTCATATAAATGCTCAGCTTCACGTAGCGGTCAACATTGCTATATAAAGAGCATATTTAATGTGAAATATAAAAATTATAACATTGAATCATCATTTACGAATTTGGATAGTGTGAATGGTGAAACTCCAGTTTGCCATTGTTATGGTGAAGTTATAATAAAAAGAGTCAATATTTCATATTGTTATACGCATTCAATCTCAGGATTTTGGTTAGGCGATAGCACTTTTAATGGTAATATAACATATTCATTATTTTCATCTAATAATTCCACCGATATTTCATGTCTCAAATTAGCTCATTCGTCAAATTGTCCACTAATAAATTGCAATATAGTTGATAATACTGCGTCAGATCAATTAATAATTATTTATAGAGGATCAATTCATTTCGTCGATCATATGGGTGTCCAAAGGTGTGTTTAGCACAAACCTGAATACTGCGAATAGAAATAAACAAGTTACATATATATAAAGTTTATTTAAATATAATCACCATTGGATTCAATCACGCGTTCGCAGCGATCGATCCAGGCTTGAAAGACACGCTTTAAATCATCATGAGAAAATTGCTCAAATTGCTCTCTTACAAAATTTTCAAGATCATCTGGACTCGCGAATTCGCGTCCTTCAGCTCTCTTTTTTAGCGTGCCGAATAAATAAAAGTCAGAGGGTGCAATATCAGGTGAATAAATTGGGTTTGGAACAACTTTGACATTGTTTTCCACCAAGTAATTCATTACCTTATGACTTTTGTGAACTCTTGAATTATCAAAATGAATTGCAAACTTTTGTTTTTGTTGTTTGGATTTCTCAAACTCATCAGAATTGATAATTTGAGTAAGAACATTGTCAATTAGATACTGAGCATTCATCGTATTAGGTTTTTGAAGAATATCAATTGCGATGATGCCATTCACGCCCCAAAAAACCGACAACATCATCATTGGTGTGTCAATTTTTTTCTTCGGGAATGTTTGCGGATTTTCATCCTTCGGGATCCACATGATTTTGGCTTCTGTTGCATATTGAAACCAAGACTCGTCCCCTGTTACTAAAAAGCAAACTTCTTGGATTGATACGCACCCAATATAGAGAGGAGCTCTTTCGAAGATTGGACTCTAGATTTTTTTTGAACTGAATTAAGGTTGTGCGGAACCCAACGTGTATACGCTAGTTTGTAGTTCAAATAATTGTGCAGATAATAACTGACTGTTGTACGTGGTATCTTTGTCATCTCCTCTATCCTTCTGAGTGATGCTCTTGGGTCTTCATCTAGCGCTTGAAGAATTGCTTTGATTTTTCTTTGATCCGGCGATTTTTTGTCAATTTTTATGATGGGCGCCTTTTTGTTCATGAAGTGATACATCCTAACATGATACGTTACAGTGGAATAGCTAGGAGCATCCATACCGAAGCATTTTACCAATGTCTCGTAGATTTTTTTACAGTCTTTGCATTTTTTTGCAAGAGCGAGGATGTTTTCTTTATGATTCATTAAAAAAATGAAAAAATCCCGCCAAAATTTCCCGCGAAACCGCCTCTTGTCTCAAAATTCATTTTATATCCCGGCATGGCGCCAAAATACAACATACTCATCATATACATATATTCATATTTTTTATTATATATTTATAATCAGCATATATCTCCTTTAATAGTCTCATATAGAGCGCTGTGCTAAACGCACCTTTGGACACCCTATATTATCAATAATAATGCAAATAACATTTTTTACACTTCGCCCAGAGGAGGGTATTACAAAGTGATTTCATGCATATATGATTTCAATATCACAAATGATCATATTCAAAATTCTCGAGAAGTTGAACCTTATTCATATGAAAGCAAATTGACTTTTTATGAAACAGCAGGGTGTGGACCAATCTCAATTTTATCAGATACCAATTCTAGTCTACTTGACTTCTTAAAATCTTTGATCAAAAATCCAAGTGGAAACGTTCCATATTTATTTAGCAAATAAATAAAATCGTATTGTATAAATGAATTTTTCTTAATTTTTTTTTCCTTAATTAGAATAGAACGAGAGATACATCACCCATACTACAAATAGATTTGAAGAGCTACAATTCTTTTTAAATGGAGTGGAATAGTGGTTTATCCAAATGATGTCTCAATGTCAAAATAATAATCCTATATCAATTTGTACATTATTATTTTTGACTGGAAAAAAGACGATAATATTATTTTCATAGAAGACAATGATATTTTATATTTTCATGGTCATTTTAAAAAGATAAATTTATCAGATTGCATTGTAATGATCCCTACTTGAATTGCAATGCATCTATTAGGAAATTTTGGTGAAAATAAATTGAATATATTGAGCTTATGAATTTGACTTCTAATAAAAAAGACTCGAAATACCCAAAAATGAAACAATTAGAAGTTAGACATCGAATGATACCATGCACATGGAGCTATTAAATAAAGTTGTGTATAAGAGGATTGCGCTTAATTAATATAAATAGAGTTATAGTTCAATAATACATATGCCTAAAATAAATGATAATGTTCCAATTTTCTGTGCGAGTTTTATGAGAAATAATAACTAATGATCTAAAGTTTATTAATAAAAACAGCTTTATTGTAGGAGGAAAAAGATATAATTCAAACAAAAACAAAATAATTAGTGATTTCATAGGAAAATAGTAAAACCAAATCTAGAATTATTCATCGTAAATGAATTCATCAAGGATATCTTGATTTTGAGCTAAATAATAATGAAGTTCTGGATCATATCTTGCAATTTCTGCAACAAACTCGTTTAATGCATCTGAAGAATCCATACAATCTCTGAAATGATCTTTCCAACCATGAGCTAAGAATTCCGGTGTAATTTCTGTTTCTTTAATGACTTTAACTGGTTGTTTTGGTTTTTCGAAGTGGGAAACATTTCCACTGAGTATTAATGATACAGCAGCATTGACATCACCATGTGTAACTGATAGGGCAGCAGCAGAAGTATCTTTATCAAATCCCATTGCTAAAAGATCGTCAATATGCTCAGGTAGTTTCTCTGCTTCCATTTCATCCTCACTTGAACTAAAACCGTCAATTTCTATGTCATCATCTGAACTAATTCTTGGGGAATGTTCTAATTTGACTTGAACTTCTTGATCTCGCGTTGTAATAATATCGAAAATGTCATAATCTTGGAAGCCAATACTACCAAATGTATTATTCATGTTTAAAGGTTTGTTTAAATAATAAATTATTATATTTTTTTGGTTTAATTTGAATTTATTAGTCGCTTTAGCAATCGCCTTATTGACATTTTCTTTTGGTTCATATTTAAACTCTTTAATTTCGTTATTATACCTTAAAAATCCAATTCGACCTTTCATTATAAAAAAAGCCTAAAAATTAAGGGTCATATAAAATTAAGCAGGGAAAAAATTTATAAATAGCTTCTTTCAATGCTGTTTAATGGGGAAAACGATCCCCTGATCAAGCAGTTCGAGTCAGATGGATCCTGTTCAGAAGAAACAAAGCCACTCAAGCAGATAAACCAGTATTTGTTTCTTAAAAAAATAGGAAACGGCGCATTTTCGAACGTTTATCTAGCCATTGATCAGAATACAAAAGAAAAATATGCAATCAAGAAGTTCAAGCTGAGCGAATTACAGCATATAGAAAATGGTGTTTCTCAGCTCGAACGCGAAATTTCATTAATGAGAAGATATTCACACAATAACATTTTAAAACTTTTTGAAGTATTACATAATACAGAAAAAGACATCGTCTACTTAGTTATCGAGTATGCTAACTGCGGTAGTCTTTTTGATCTCATTAACCAACCGATACCTCTTCAAGACAATTACGTTTGCTCTATATTTCATCAAATTCTCGAAGCATTACAGTATTTACATAACAACGGCATGGTTCATCAAGATATAAAACCCTCAAATATTTTGATAAAATCAGATGGCCGCGCAATATTAGCAGATTTCGGCGTGGGACATAGCTTTCAGAGTACAGAAATGGTTGTAGGAAGCCCTGCATACCAAGCTCCTGAAGCTTTAACAGATGGAGATTGTGGAATTCAATCTTCTAGTCCTGCGAAAGAAGATGTGTGGTCTCTAGGTGTTACCCTTTTTCAGACAGAATACCAACAAATACCATACGATGGCGAAACAGTCTTCGAAATCATCAGAAATATTAAGAGTACGACTTTACAATATCCTGAAGGCGCGAATCCAGAGATAGAGCAAGTAATGCGGATGATGCTTGCTGTAGACCCCGTGAAACGCGCGACAGTAGACGAATTACTGAAATCGCCGTTTTTCATGAAATTTAATGGAATTGTTCCTTGCGAACAATGGGAGAAAGATGTTGATACTAGTATCAATAATGCTCAGATTGTTAAGTATAATGCAAAGGTTTGCGAAGGAATGACTTCTTTCGTAAGAGTTGGATTGACATCTGTTGATTTAATCCGCTCTATTGAAAATACAAATGTAAATAAGAAAAAACTTCCGGAAACAGAAAATTTGGAATCTGTTCCAATGGAAAAATATAATTGTTTCTCTTGCTGTATATTATATTAGATTTATATTTTTGTAAATAGCTTTATTTTTATAATATATCTCAATTCTTTAACGAAACGTGATTCTAACAAATAGAAATCTTAATAATTTATTTACAATTAAATATTTTACACTATCACTGTTCTTTTGGTTTCAGACAACGCTTTTCATATCAAGTGTTAATTCCATTGATAGAATATATCCATCAACAAAATAGATAAATATATATAGAGAAAAATTAGCTATTTGACCTTTAATGTTATGTGGAATTCTTTCTATTGGTTGAAAAGTATAGATACATAGACTATATGAGCAAATTGATACAATCTTATTCTATATTCCGATTTATCATTATGATTCTCAACTAACTAACCGGATTTTCAAGGTATAGGGACTTCTCACATTTGATAATTTATATCTTTCATTCTGTTAGACAAAAAGGATTTTCAGAATTTTCAATTTTTGACATTTGAACCGACAAAATTACAATAATATCTTTATCGCATGTTGCATATCTCAATATTGCTAAAATTTAATGCTATTAATTGAGTGATGTTGCGTTGTAGTGAAAAAATCGATTTTTTGTCACTTTTAAAAATGAAAATTGATCCTTGCTTAGTTATTTGTGTATTGGCATTAGCTGTATTAATGCCAATCGGATTCACTATTGACCACAAGCCATATGTAGGCAAATGCGCTGCATCTCCTCATTTATATTTAGGAAATCATTCTTCAATTTCAAATATTATTAATGCAATCAACGCTTCAAATTATTCAATCAAAATAGTTTCATCTGCTAGATATTTTCACGCACCTCTTCAAGATAGCAACGATTTAATAAATTGTTTAAATAATAAAGCACAGAATGGAGTCAAAATAGATATCGTTGATAACAATGCTCTTAATCCAAACAGTTTGATCAAAAAAATTGATTACATACAGTTCAAAAATGACGGATATGGAAATAATTTGTTTATGACTCTTATTATTATCGATAACAAAAGAGTTGTGTTCGCTTCTCAAATGTTCACACTTATGAAAAGCTCTTCAGCTTCCGATTTTGTACTTGATTTTGAAGATTGCGAATCTATTGCTGCAGAAAGTATCGAAATTTTCAATTTCGTAAAGAAAGTTGCCGCAGAATCTCTTATAACACTATTTCCACATTATTACAGTCCAGGATATTCATATCCTCAAGAACATTTCTCAATTGACAAAAAATCAAGTTACTTATTCTCAATTACGCCAGAATACTACGTTTGTCCTAACAGAAAGTTTACCAAAGATCTCATTCACGAATTCTTTACAGAAAAAATCGGAAATATTTCGCTATTTTCAGGAGAACTATTTCCAACATCACATAACCAAGGAAATATTGACGACATGTTCTTAATTACTAATCTTATAGAAACAGCTGCTTCCAAACAGAACTCAAGCGTTAGAATTGTTACACAAAACTCAAAGAACAGTTCAATATGCGATGCTACGTTAAGTTTGAGCAGAGTTAAAGGTGTACAGCTTAGAGTTAACACAAACAATTACGCTACTTACTTTGTCCACGATGATTCAGTTGTTTTCATGCCAATGTCGTTTAATGCGGCTTACGAAAACAGTGTTATTCTATTGGCCTTAAGAATTAAGAATATTGATATAGCTAACGAAGTTTTGGATCATTTTAACTATTATTGGGAAAATTCAACTCATTTGGATAATTGTTCTAGATTTATTAGTAGTCATTAATGCGTTTGTCTCAGTAAAGGTTTTGTTGTTTATTTTTCGCAAATTAAATTTCATATTTTTAATAAAGAAAATTTCTATCTAATTCACAAATGAATACTCTTGTATATTTAAAGGATTCACACTAAATTGCACATAAAAATCCTATAATTGCACATAAAAATCCTAAAATTCTAAAAATCTTGCAAGATTTGAAGAGAGGATGGAATAAGTCGTACATCACATGCATAGGAAGAATTTGTTAATGCTGCTATGTCTTTAATTTAAATGATATTCTCATTATTTTTAAATTTCTATGTATTCCATTGGCACTATTTGAAAAAAACTAAATTTTACGCATATTTAGTTATGCTATCAAAGTGATAATTACATGAAAGGGAATTTGTGATTCAGCCAATAAAATTTCTTGAAGGTGGAGTGCTCTAATATTGTAGTTGGATACTAAAGGTAATGTTTATCCTTCTTTGGAATGAAAATTTTAAATCTGTTATTCATTATGGAATAGATCAGTCATAATCGAATAAAAATAATTCTAATGCTAAGAAAAGTATTATTTTCAAATGTAATAATATAAGATTTTTGTAGGAATGTTTTCATTATTGTAAAAGAATTTTTTCGATTTTGATATGGATCTGATTTTGTAAATAATTTTAAATTTTTATTCATCCTTTTGCTTGATCATCTTAAGAATCTCAGATTCACCGGCATCAATGATGGAGATAACAGAGGAGCGGAAGTACTTACCGCAAGCTGTGCCAAGATCAACATTGTCGCCATCGAATGGGAGGATATCGCAACCAGAGAGCATAGCGTAGTACTCAATAAGAGAACGGTGAGCTGGGGCAACGTTGGAAGCGAAGATGACAAGCTTGGCCTCGCCATTGCGGAGAGACTTAAGTGTCTGAGAAATGCCAAGGGAGTACTTGCCGGACTTTGTAACGAGGGAGAGGGAGTTGATGATTGATTCGCGTGCGCGGCTGAGTTTCTTACGGCCCATTTGAAAAGGAACGACCACAGCCGCTTTTATCGTCTCGATCTTTCGCACTGAAAATTACTGATATTTTCATCACTTAAATAGATTTGGTATGAGTTATAATCTTAAAATATTATCGCAGATTGCTGAAACTCTTAAGTATTATTTATGGAATTTTAAAAATTTTTGTTATTTTTGGTTCTGGATAAGTTAATTTGTTGTTCAACAATCTATATATGTGGGTGGTATGCATATAAACCAGCGATTTTATCATTCGATTTTTGGAGAATTTGATGGCATAAAAAATATATCCCCTTAAGGTATTTTCAAGACATGATGGCTATGTAATATAAATTTGTGCCACAGATCAGTCTTATTTTTAACTTGAAGTATTGTCAATATTATCTAAAATGGAAGTGTTTCACAATTACTATGAGAGAGATTATTATATCTAGATAAATAAGAGAAAGCAAACATGTTTAATGAAATAAAGTAATGATACAAAAGAAAAAATCTAATAAAAGAATGGAGTATAGTTGATTATGGCTTAGTATCCTCTACTTTGAGTTTGGAAACGCAAACATTGGCATCTTTAAGAGAAGTTTGAGAGGCATATAAGATTGAATTCAAAACAGCACCAAATATTGAATCACGACGTGTAAGAAGGTTTCTTACAGTATCATTAAAAGCTCTATCGCACCTTTCGAATTCGATTTGAGCTTTACTAAATTCTGGGTCAAATGCGCCTGTATTTGAGTTTAAATATGCACGATTACATAGTAGTTCAGCCTCACGTCTAGCTTGTTTAAGTTTCTCGCAGTCATGAACTTTTCTTCGATATAATACCAAATCTCTAAAAGGCTTATTTTCATCAACAGATTTGAGATTGTCAATCTCAAATGTACTTAATAGACTTACAGATGATGCTTCAAATACGCCGACATTTTCATCATTTTCTGGATTCGAACATTTTGCAAGTAATTCGATGCATTTTCCGTCTGCAGCTAGTACTTTGTGAATATCCTTGTAGAATTTTAGAAGCCTTGTGTAAAGTTCATTAGTTTGATAAAAAAGATCTTCGAAATTTTTACTGTTTTTTAAATAACTAGGACTGTCTTCAGTTACCTTATTTCCAGTTGCTTCTGCTGCTGTACCAACAAGAAGATTGAAATTCTTTTTTGTGTTCTGGATAAGATTTTTCATTCAAAATAAAAATAATGAATATGATCGCTACAAGGATGAAAAGGTATATCTAGATAGTGCATATGTAGCTCATAGTCATTAAAAAATTGGGGATAATGCAGAAAAATCTTTTGAAATCATCCATATTTTTCGGATTATTTGATAAAAATATTCATTAGCATGTAAAACATATAAACGTGCAATAATCAATTGATGATTGTTGTATTCATGTAAAACACGTCACTTTTTTGTCATAGGAAATTTGCTTCATTTTAAATGTATCCGGCATGTGTTTCGCCGTGCATTTATGATCCAGAAGCAGTCCGTTCATTAACAAAGACGGATTTCATTCCAAATATTACTTCTTATGAGAATATCTACAATTTTGGAATCATGAAACAAATGATTTTCCTTCAGAAAGCAGCTATTGAGATTTTCAAAGATCTTGATATAGCATTTAATGAAACAGAATTAAGATTATATAATCTTCAAACGAAAGTAACTTCTTTCAATGAATTCAGCGCAAAAATAATTCATCAAAACTCTAAGAAGAGTATTAAAGATTATAAGCATCCTTCAAAAGTTTTCGTCCCTATTCCAAAACTAAATACGTACGAACTTCCAATCAATTCGTTCTTCCAATTCGGTGAAACATTTCCTGAACAGCTTAACCTCAACAATTTCGAGAACCTCATCGATAACGTTAACGAAGCTAACCTCGAACTTTCAGATCCTAAATACTACGAGAAGCAACTTCAAAAGGAACTTTTAGAAAAATACCGTGCAGATCAAAATGCTCCAAAGAGGAAGGTACAAGAGAAAGTATCCCAAGCTGAATATGAAATTGAGCCTGATACAGCTCAGCCTCTTCCATTTGACTCTGTTTTACCACCAAATACAAGATTAAACGCTCCACCGCCTAAAGGAGAGACACAGAACTGGCGCCATAAAGGCCATTACGTTCCCCGCAGCAATAACCTTACCAATTACGGCGTTGGCGGCGGAAAAAGAGTTCCACAAGCTGCTCGTGGAATTCAAGTGGGAAATTCAAAGAAATCCAACATGGGGCATATTACTGTCGACATTTTCGAGAAGCAGCCACGTCAAGCACCCATCCTGAAGCTCGTACAACCACCAAGACTTCAAAATTATCCGAATGCGATTTCTGTTCCAACGATACCAACCAGACAACCTCCGAAACTCATCGACTGCGAACTTACTACACGTGCAACATCAGCGTTCTCTCAAATGGAGATGAGACAGCGCGTGGAACTCGATTTATCTTTCGTTGTCAGAAACGATGTTTATTTGAAAGAAACCGTCGAAGAAAATTCCTTTGTTTCACAGCGTGGAGCACCAGCCGCACCCGCCATGGCTCCTCCACCAACTCCGCCCCCTCCTCCACCTCCTTCTGGACTTCCTCCGCCTCCAAGTCCTTCTTTCGATTTGTCTTCGGCTCCAAAACTCAAAAGTGTCCAAACGAACGCGAACAAGCCTCCTACTACAGCTCCTGCAGGTGGTGGCATCGACATGGGCCAGCTGAAGAACGAAATCCAGAACAAGTTAAAGGCAGGACTGACGAAGGTCACTCCGGACATGGTAAACAAGCCAAAGCAGCCAACAGGACCTTTAACTCACCTGGATCTCATCAAAGCAGGTAACTTCAAGCTCAGAAAGATCTCAGAAGACAACAGACCACCTCCAAAGCCAATTCCAAAGGAGAAGGAAATCAACCAGAACGAACTTTCATTGGAAGAACTTCTCGTTCACGAACAACGTCGTAGAGAAGCATTCCAGGACTCTGAGGATGATGAAAGAACTGAAGAATCTACTGAAGACTGGTAAACTATTTTTTTATAAGTATTTTTTTCAAAAAAAAAATAAATTCTTATTTCATATTCTTTCCGTATGGTTCTCAACAAATGATAGAATTGAGATGTTTACACGGAAAATATATGATTTTGCATATATTTCAACAGAGAAAAGCAATTCAATTTTGTATCAATTAAACTCAGTACAATGGTGTAAGGTATCCTATAAGCCAATTGTAATCATCCTTGAAGGCTTGGAATATCTTTACTCACCTTATGAATCAAAATAGCCGAATCTATACCATAATAATCTTTCTAGCAAACAAATCATTTTTCTCATGAAAACAAACCATAGGTTTTTTCCTAATAATATTGACCAAAGGAAGCCAAACTTACATGAATGAAAGAGGTTGATATCTTCAAAAGTGTGACATGATCTTGAGCTTTTCATATCAAAGTGTTTTTTTGTGAGATAACCGTTTAAAATTGCAATAGTAAAGTCTAATTATATCGGTGTGTTGCGCCGCTAAAATTTAATGACTGTGCATAATGTTAGAAGGACAACAGAAAAGAAGCAAACTTTAAATGATATACATGATTCAATCCTTACAATCCTTAGTGATGATCCTCATCTTCGTAAAATTGCGATTAAACCTCTTAATGAATTATTATATCGTTTAACTGATAAACCTATTGAAACTCCTGCAGAAACGAAAGATGAAGCAACAGAATTTTATGAAAGTATTAAAGAAGACAACGCTTTACCATCAATATTAGATGATTTAGAAAATAATCTTGTATCAAAGCAATCACAGTCTAAGGACAAGGCTATTTCAGATAATGCACAAGAAATATTACAAGTAATTCAGAAAAACGCGAATCGAAAACTTAAATCTGTTGATTTGAAAATAATAGCTCAATATTTCTCTGCAAAACATTCAATACCTATACTTAAGAAACTCAAGAAATCCAAAATGCGATTACTTGAATGGATGTCACATAATTGGGGTACTTTTGAGCCCTCATTAAACGATGCCATTCAGCACTGTCGAGAAACTAACAAATGGGATAAATAACGATGTTTTGGCCTTTGAAAAACATTAAATTCCCATGAAGATCAAATTGATAGTCTAATATTATTTTGTACTGATAGAGTATTTACTTTATTGTTATTTTTATATATTTTCAGATGTTTTTGTTTGTTTTATAAAAAATAATTGAAATATCTTTTGATTTTTATTTGAGATTTTAGAAAATAATAGCTATAGAGTTAAAAAGAAATTGAAGTGAGAGCTTTGAGATAAGGATAAAAAAGTTTTTTAAAAAAATAGAAAATAAAATTAATAATTATATAGATTTTTATGAGAAATATTCAAGAACAGGTGGTTGTAATGAGTTCTGGCATTCATTTGGTGGTGTAGCTTCGAAGATCTTGAAAGATCTATTAAGATGCTCATCGAACTCAAGAATCGATGCAACATTTCCGCTTCTATAACAGTAGTTTGGAGCACTCCAAACGGTGGCAAGAGTATCATTGAACATTAAACTATAACCATCCATCATAAGTTGATGTGCGCGGCAGATGAATGTTGTCTTGTTCTGCTCATTGAACGCTCTGACAACATCTCCGCCAAAAAGATATCCAGCGCCTCTTGGGCTGGAACTGTATCCTTCAATATTGTCGGGATCGCTCCAAAGTAGGTCGCAGTATGCTCCTTGGTTTGGAGGTTCGATCTTTCTTTCAATTTGCCTGATATCGTCGAGAGTTTTAACATCTGGAGAAAGGCCACCATGAACACAGAAAATTTGACCGTCAATGAGGGCCGCTATTGGGAGAAAATCAAATAAATTTGTGCACGCTTTCCATATATTTGCTGATCCGAATTTTCTGACACATTCATCATAAAAACCATACGCTTGAGTTGTTTGTCTTGCTTCATGGTTTCCACGAAGCAGTGTCATGCGGTAAGGATATTTTACGAATAAACATAATAGGAGTAGAAATGTTTCTACAGAATGATAACCTCTATCGACATAATCTCCTAAAAAGATATAATTTGTGTCAGGGCATTCTCCGCCAACCCTGAAAAGTTCTTGAAGGTCGAAGAATTGACCATGAATGTCACCGCATACCGTAATCGGGGACCTTAATTCTTTGATATTGCTTTCTGTTTGAAGAATTTCAATTGCCTTGTCGAATAATGGAAATAGATCCTTTTCATTTGGGACTTGGCAGTTGTTTAAAGTAGTGATCAACCTATTAACATCGAGCATTCCAAATCACTACTAAAAATTTACAAAATTTACAAAAGATAATAAACACAAACTGATTATGAAAAATTAAACGTGCTTTTCTCGAGCTTATACTATTAGTAGATGCTACTAATCTTAATTACATTGCGTTCGCTGAAGGATAATTTTTTTTATTAGAAGTCACAATTGACCAAATTAAACACCTTATTTATTTACTATGTGCATCATTGGCTAGATTAATGCTAAACAGGATTATGTGTATTGGTGTTCTATTAACTATGGACTATTTCTTAAAGAAAGAGAAAATTTGATTAAATCTTTTTCATTTTCATTTTCTCTGTCTATGTGACTAATCACTAAGTTCCGTCAGAAGATTTCTTGGCTTATTTATGCAGTTGGAATCAGTTCTCTCGTTAATCGTTTCTTGATCAAACTTCGTAAATTTACTATATTACGTACTATTAAGTGTATTAGCTTTTTTATCTTAAAAAATAATTATAATGTGCATCTCAGTTTATTGATCGTCATATTTGAATCAAGCAGAAAAAGATCATATATTATTTTCGTTTTTAAGGATCATGATGCATTTACTCTGATATGAAGTGTACTCAATATTCAATAAAAATAAACAAATTGCGGATATGTATAACTCGAATTTAATATTCTTTGTTGAAATTTCTCTGAGACTTGAGAGAACTTCTCCTTGTTATAGTTGTTGAAATTAATTTGTGAACAGCTATTATATGATATCAGCTGAATTTTATGCAAAGAACCTGAATTCATTGCATGCTCATAATGCATTTGTATAGAAATAAGTTCGAATACTTATGACGACAAACAATAATCTTAAATGCACTCTAATATAAGAAAGAAATTTTTTTAATTGGCATGATTATATGAGAGAAAGATGAAAGTCATTGTAATTAATACAAGAAAAACGAGTTTTTAAGACTTCAAAAAGCAAAATTTAAATTGATATTTTATTTCTAACAGTGAAAAACAATCATTTTAGTCAGTAATATAGTCATCTAATCTTTTCAAATACAATTCTTTTGTGAAATGCATTCCCAAGAATTTATCTAATTTATCTTCAAAACCTTTCACATAAAAGTAATAAGCTAATGCGTCTGTATATTTCTCATACTTGCCATAGTCCTTTTTGATTGAAACTAAGAATTTTGTAAAGATTTTTTCGCTCAATTCGTTGTTAACATCCAAATTCAGAATTCCGTATGCGAACCATGCATCAGGGTCATTTTTGGCGAGAGATGTTTTCAGCGGCGTTGAATCCATTGGATCATTTGGATGAAGGGTCAAATGTAAGAAATGATCGGCCAAATACTTATTCCTCGGGCAGCAAATACCATCTCTGAAGAATATGTAAAACCATAAATACATTCTTGGATCTTCAATTTTATATAAATTTTTTTGAAGCAAAAATGTATTAAAGAATGCCTTCCTATCGCCATTAAGTATTTTAATTATATCAGTTTCCACAACAAATAGTGAATCATAGAAATTTTTGATCGGAGAAAGGATTTTTTTGACTTCAGGGTCTTCAAACATCATTTCTTCAAAGTTATTGGATATATCGTTTACATATTCCTTCAATTTAGTATATTCTTCCTGTATTTTGTCAAGTTTTATTGCGATTTTTCGAATTGTAGAAATTATTGAGAAATTTTTGCCATCTTTGTAATTGATATTGATAAACTCGTTAAATGTGAGGAAAAGAGCATATTTATCAAAGAAATCTACGAAATGCGTGAAACATTTGGGTGAAAACCCAGCTGTTTGTGAAGTAGTCGAAGCTTGTGTATCTTTTTCAAGTGCACGTATAAGGCCAAAGTCAGTAAACTTGGGGAAATAAGCAATTGTTTTACCTGGCGTAATCTCGAAATTTTCAATGAAAACAATATTGGCTGGTTTTATATCTTTATGGTATACACCTAATGAATCATTAATATATCTGAGTTCCCTAAAAGCAATGTATATAATCTCTACTAGTTGTTCAGAATTGAATTTTATACTTTTTTCATATGGTTTTCTTTTTTCCAAACTCAATTTCATTTGCAACATGTTACCTCTTGGTTCCATACTCCATGCTAAAACTTTCACAAAACCTGGATGATTAATTGAACATGGAATAAAAGCTTCGCGAAGTGCACGTCTTGGAATATCTTGATCTATTGTTTCTTCTCTGCAAAGATACTTAGCAAATGCATCCTTTTCATTAAAATTAGAATCATATTTCTCCATGAAAAAAAAAGTTATGGAAATTTTTTGATGAAAAAAGGGAGAGAAAAATCCTATTTGAGGGTGGATATTTTATTCATACTAAATTTTTCAAACACTTCAGCTCACCTGTCCATTTAAAATTATGTTGGCGCTTTGTAAGGATTTTGCATGGCATGGTGGGAACAAAAAGTGACAAATTTATTGATCAATTGTGATAGGGCAAAAGAATCATTTCACAGAGGTTTTATTGTAGCAATCAGTTTTCCCTCACAGCAAAAAACTGATTTATATAAAATAAAACTCTTTTAAAGAGTTCAAGGATAGTCTGTGTATAATATAGTTAGATGATGATATAAATCGATAAAGTTGGCATAATTACCATCTGATTGTGGAAAACTGCAGTTTAAAACATAAAATTTGTTGATGATAAATCGTTTTAGAGATATTTTTATGAATTTTCTGCTTCTTCTTGATTACGTTAATATATTTAATATATTAATACTGTGGAAAACGCGTATCCAGAATTTTGTCTGGAGAATATGATTATATGTTCTATTAATAAAGAGTGTGAGATAATGTTATTGATATTTAAAATTGAGCTTTCTGAGAATACTTCACCAAGCGCCAAATGGAGCTTCAATTGGTTGTTTGTTTGGTATAAATTAGAATCTCTCTGGCGCGCTCCAATCTCTAGAACCTGGTTCTCCCCTTGTTATATGCCCCTCACAAGTTCCATTTGACTCTTATTGGCATGGGTATGAATAGTTTACGCTGAATTTTAAATAGTTTACAAGCGCCCCAACCACTGGGAGATGGGAGCATGTGGTTATGAATAAACTATTTGTACTCATATTCGTAGATTCATATTAGGAGCTTAAGTTATGAGTTTTAGGTTCTAACTCCTACTATGCAAAATAAAGATATCTTATTTTGCTTTATAACTTTGGATACTTATTATAACACATAGAGAAGAAATAAATCTTTATTGATAATTGTGGCAAGTAACTTTTATTTTTACTTATTCACAGTGCATGCACCATGCAAAATAAGGAATTTGGCTATTTCTTTACTGTTACTATCTGCTGCAGAATGAAGAACTGACCATCCATTTTTGTCTTTAGAATTAACATCAGCACCGTGTAAAATAAGGAATTCGGCTATTTCTTTACTGTTACTATCTGCTGCAGAATGAAGAACTGACCATCCATCATTGTTTTTAGAATTAACATCGGCACCATGCGAAATAAGGAATTCGGCTATTTCTTTACTGTTACTATCTGCTGCAAAATGAAGAACTGACCATCCATCATTGTTTTTAGAATTAACATCGGCACCATGCGAAATAAGGAATTCGGCTATTTCTTTACTGTTACTATCTGCTGCAGAATGAAGAACTGACCATCCATCATTGTCTTTAGAATTAACATCAGCACCGTGTAAAATAAGGAATTCGGCTATTTCTTTACTGTTACTACCTGCTGCAAAATGAAGAACTGACCATCCATCATTGTTTTTAGAATTAACATCGGCACCATGCGAAATAAGGAGTTCAGCTATTTCTTTACTGTTACTATCTGCTGCAAAATGAAGAACTGACCATCCATCATTGTCTTTAGAATTAACATCGGCACCATGTAAAATAAGGAATTCGGCTATTTCTTTACTGTTACTACGTGCTGCAGAATGAAGAACTGACCATCCATTTTTGTCTTTAGAATTAACATCGGCACCATGTAAAATAAGGAATTCGGCTATTTCTTTACTGTTACTACGTGCTGCAGAATGAAGAACTGACCATCCATCATTGTCTTTAGAATTAACATCGGCACCATGTAAAATAAGGAATTCGGCTATTTCTTTACTGTTACTACCTGCTGCAGAATGAAGAACTGACCATCCATCATTATCTTTGGCATTAATATCAGCACCATGCGAAATAAGAATTTCGGCTGTTTCTTTGCTGTTATTAAGTGCAGCTATATGAAGGACTGACCATCCATCATTATCTTTGGCATTAATATCAGCACCATGCGAAATAAGAATTTCGGCTGTTTCTTTGCTGTTACTACCTGCTGCAGAATGAAGAACTGACCATCCATCATTGTTTTTAGAATTAACATCGGCACCATGCGAAATAAGGAATTCGGCTATTTCTTTACTGTTACTACGTGCTGCAGAATGAAGAACTGACCATCCATCATTGTTTTTAGAATTAACATCGGCACCATGCGAAATAAGGAATTCGGCTATTTCTTTACTGTTACTATCTGCTGCAAAATGAAGAACTGACCATCCATCATTGTTTTTAGAATTAACATCGGCACCATGCGAAATAAGGAATTCGGCTATTTCTTTACTGTTACTACGTGCTGCAGAATGAAGAACTGACCATCCATCATTGTCTTTAGAATTAACATCGGCACCATGCGAAATAAGGAGTTCAGCTATTTCTTTACTGTTACTATCTGCTGCAGAATGAAGAACTGACCATCCATCATTGTCTTTAGAATTAACATCGGCACCATGCGAAATAAGGAGTTCAGCTATTTCTTTACTGTTACTATCTGCTGCAGAATGAAGAACTGACCATCCATTTTTGTCTTTAGAATTAACATCGGCACCATGTAAAATAAGGAATTCGGCTATTTCTTTACTGTTACTACCTGCTGCAGAATGAAGAACTGACCATCCATCATTGTTTTTAGCATTAACATTGGCATCATGTAAAATAAGAAATTCGACTGTTTCCTTGTTATTAGCTTTTGCTGCAGCATGAAGAACTGACCATCCATTTTTGTCTCTAGCACTAACATCAGCTCCATGCGAAATAAGGAATTCGGCTATTTCTTTACTGTTACTACGTGCTGCAGAATGAAGAACTGACCATCCATTTTTGTCTCTAGCACTAACATCAGCTCCATGCGAAATAAGGAGTTCGGCTATTTCTTTAGTGTTATTGCGTGCGGCTTCATGAAGAACAGACCGTCCATTTTTGTCTTTAGCATTAACATCGGCACCATACGAAATCAAAATTTCTCCTGTTTCTATGCAATTAAATCTTGCTGCAAAATGAAGTACAGTTTCTCCGGATTGAGTTTTTGAGTCAATAAAAGCACCATGTGAAAGGAAATATTCACATAGAGAAGGAATGCAAAAGGATGCTGAATAAATAAAGAATTTGTTAATGTATTTTGATTGATCTAAATAAACTAAAAATGCTTGAAAATTGTGGTATAAGGTGCAATAATTTAAATCAATTTCTAACGCAAATTCATTCATTAAAAAGGTAACAAAATCAATGTTATGTGAAATAATTGCATATTTCATGCATTTTTCATCTGGAATCTCATATAACAAACATTCATGAATAATGTCTGGATTTCCGCCCAAAAATGAATAATAAAGACATTTTGGTGTTATTATTGAATCAAATTTTGAAATTAACAATTTAAAACAATTAACGGCTCCATGATAGCAGCATAGCTCAAGCAATGAATTAGGTGAAGATGGATACAAATCACTCTGAAACATTTGATTCATATCAAAACTATCTGTCTCCGTGAAAATTATGAAAGAAAATTTGTCATCATATATAATAGCTCTGTAAATTGTGTTTTCTTCAATAAAATTCAATGAATAATCTTTAGTTTTATTTGCTTCGATTTCAGAACTATACCTCGTTGATAATAAAACACCATTTTCATCTTGTAAGTCTGCCCACAAAATATATGGAGTGCTTTGAATTTCTTTTCTTGTAAAGATTGGATGATATTCTGTATAAATCATTTTGAAAATTTCCTTGTATGGCTTTATGTACTTGACATTAAAAGGCATTGCAGTAGCAATTATTGTTAGAATTTGATTTGGAGATTCATGTTTGGTTTCAAGCATTAAATTTTTGATATCAAGATAAATTTTGTTAATTCCTTCTTCGCTGAAAGTCTTCAGCTTATACAATGAATCGTATACATAATTAAAGTCTTTGTACAAATCCATTAACTCTTCATAATTTACTTTCTTCATGAAGCAAAAAAAAGTGAATTTTTCTAAAAAAAGTGAATTTCTGAAGTTTACATTATCTTCATCAAAAATGAAAGCAAATTAATGGGGATAAAGAATGTATTCTGTAGTTATGTTTCATGTTGCAAAAAATAACCTTAAACGGTAATTCCTGGAAATAGAGGGTAAACAGAATCAAAATTTAAATGAATCTGATTAATTTTTAATAAGCATTATGTTTAATAGTATTTCGTTCACATATATCTAGTCATGTAGTTAATATCATATCTTACGAGAATTAGTTGACAGGACCCTCAAGTAACACTAGACTGATTTGGCTAAGATCTTACCTTTTGTAGTCCCTTCAATCGCTCAAAGAGGCGTTTTTCTATGCCAATTTTTTTTTTCAACATTTGTCATGAAAAGTCATTTATAAATAACAGAATTGAAGAAATTTGTTAATCGAGAGTAGAAGAATCCATATCAGGAGATTTTGCTCAAACTAAATCACCATAAACCTCTATGATGTGGATAATCGTTTTCAAGCATTCCCGAATTTTGAGAGCTTTACAACACCCTTTGGAAAGGATTGTAAAGAAAAGTGGTTCAGATAAATCGTGTTTTATACACATAATGGAATTATATGAAGATTTTGTTTATAAAATGTAAACTGTGTCAAATCTCGTTGCTAATTTTTTTTTGCTCAATTTTAGAAAAAAAAAAATATGGCTGAAGAAGATATTCGTGCACGTATTCAAAATGGTGGACTTATTCCTTTGTCAATAAGTCCCCTTCAGCAGGTTCTCGAAGATATCTTAGACTTAATCGGAAAACATGAAAAAAGTATTAATTCTCTTACTGAAGCTTTGCCTACTAAAACTGATAAAGTAGATCTCGATGCATTACGTGAAATTGTTGAAAATAACAAAGCTGATGCTGATTCTAAGTTCGACGAATTACAAAAATTACTTAATGAAAAATCCGACGCGTTACAGAAGCAAATTGAAGAAAACGACGCAAAAGTTCAGGATTGCTTAAAGGATCATGCTGACAAAATTGAAATGAATCAAGCACAAATCGAAAAAATGTCTCATGACCTTAAAGATCTTGAAGATAAGCTTAATCAAGAAATGGAAAACGTTAATGGCAAGGTAGAGAAAATGGATGGAACAATTAAAGATCACGAAAATCGCATAACAGAACTCGAAAACAGAAAATTCCCAGAAAATACAGCAAATTCGATTTCAAATGCTGAAGAAAATAAATCTGACAATGCAAAAGATAAAGAATTGAGCCAAAATGCTTCATCTGACAACAATAAATCAGAATCTCAAAATCCACAATCATCTCTAAGCCAAGGAAATTCATCAACATCAAATACATTCGATCCTAGTATCTACAATGAGCTTAAACAGCTTATTCTTAACAATTCTGACAAAATTCAGAATAATAGTGACAGAATTCGCGCGTTGGAGAATGCCCAATTATCAGCATTGACATCTAATGCTACTCCATCGAATTCTTCATCAGATAACAACTCTGCTTCTTCAGTAGCACAAAATGCAAATTCGAACGATCAAAATCTAAACAACGCACTCGGATTACTCGGAAGAAGACTCAATACAGCGGAAGAAGCCATTTCCGACCTTCAAAAAGCACTTCGCGACTTACAAAACAACCAAAAGCATCAAAATGCAGGAAATAGTGGATCAGGAGGTGCTGTTCTTACTAGAAATTATCCTTCTGCATCAAATTCGAATGAAAATGGCTCAAATTCGAATAATTCCAATAATGGAAATTCAAATCTTTCCAATAACGCTCAGAATAACCAAAACGGATTAAATTCTGGTTCGAACAATCAGAATTCTTCAGGTTTGGCCTCAGGAAATTCAGAAAAATCAAATTCTGATTCATCCAACCATTCTAACGCTCCAGGAGTTGTTGCACCACCATCAGGAGCATCAGGAGTATCTCAGAGCAGAACAGAAACAGCTCCAAGACCTAATTCTCGCGGAAATAATATGAAATCTGGAGTAACCATTGAATCATCTAAAAATTCATCATCTATTGATAATGGAGCATCTAAATCATCACCTGGTAACAGCAATAGTTCTAATAATGGTTCTTTGCAAAAATCCAACGAACAAAACAGCCAAAACAACGGAAATTCTGAAGATCACGAGGTCAGACCACCTTCCTCTACTCAGAAGACATCACCTCGCCAGTCAAATCTTCAACCTCTTCCAGATTTAGTTTCATCAGATCCAAATGAAGCTCTTTCTCAACTCAGCCAGCGTTTGGCTGCTCTGGAACAGCAGCTTTCCGATCAGAACGCTTCAACAGATGAAGAACTTAAGAAGATAAACAGAGATTTAAACGATAGACCTAATCGCGCCCTTATTGAACGACTTTTCGAGAAATTCAAGTCAAGTATCGGCAATGTCATCCAAATGGTCCAAGCCAAAGAAGGAAACGATGGAAAATTCGCAACAGTTGATGATGTGAAGAGATTAGAAAACTTAATTAAGCATATGACGCAAGAATTCGATGAAGCAGCTGCAGCTAGGAAGTGCACTAAATGTCTTTCTTGCGGAATGGGCTACAGAACTGTTACAGGTTCAATTCAAGATTCCGAAACCGCCCAAATTCTCGGAGCAGCGCCAGTTTCTATGGTCACTCAATCTCCTGGCAAACCAGCCTTTGTTTATGGCACGGATAATGAACTTTACTACTCAATGAATGGAACTGGTCGAACATTTGCTTCTCCAAGGAGAGAATTGCAGTCTTCGAAGTAACTTGATTATAAAACGGTGTTTAATTATATTGGTTTTCTGAAATAGCTTAATTTCTTTGTAAAAAAATTCTTATTCTTTTATTGTTAAAAAAAATATATTATTAGATTTTTGAGCTTCCATCAACAAATTACTTTCTGACTATTCTATTCGATTCTTTGACATCAATATTCAATAGATTAAAATAATTTATCTAAATATATGATGACACTTATCTTAATGACTCTATTTGAGTATTTGCTTCGTTATTTATTGGATTAATTAACTAGATCATAATAATTGGAAGTATATCTCAGAATTATTGCGATAAAATCAATTTCTGTCAATCTTTTTATTTTTATTTCTGGTAAGATGTTTGAGGATCTTGATTCAAATCAAGAATTAAAGCAAAAAATTAAAAAATATTAATCAAAAACTTTCTATTTTTCTTAAAAGATAACAATAGTATGACTTTATTTCTCTATATAAGAAGTACAGAATTGATGCAACCTTCATTTTCAGGAGCATTTGTAACTTGAGCGTATTTTGCCCAAACAATGCGACCTGTTGGAGTAACAAGGCCCATTTTAGATACATTTACTTCTATGATTGTACCTTTTGTGATAACACCAAGTCCTGTGTATGTTTGACCATTTGGATTCTTCTTTACGCCGATAATTGGGCAGAGGAATGTTTGCCCAAGTTGTGGATGTGTAACATTGGCCTGCTTGAAACGAAGGCCAACTGGACGAACGTATCTTTCGAGTTTTGGTGGTTTTCTTGTGAAATCTTCACCAACATAGCAAACTTTGTTAACCAAACGTTTCCATTTCTTGCGTCCTGTCTTACCTGTCTTGAGAACACGAAGCATTTCATCTTCTGCGATTGGTCGGACTTGAGGAAGTGGAACATCCCACTTTCCAGCACGTTCCTTCCTCTTTTGCTTAAGAGAGTTGCTCAATACATCAGCTGTTCTTGTAACGTTTTGATCCATGAGATAAACTGGAAGTGGTTCATCGCCAATTGCTTTCTTCTTTGTATCAGCGACTTTGGATTTCTCGAATGTGTTGATAGTCTTCTTCATTTCTGCTTTCTGTTTATATCTGTCTTTATGGAAAATCTTGGCTTTAATTCCACGCAAAGTTCTTGAGAGAACAGAAACACGAACACCTTCTTTCGCTTCCTTCTTGCGTTCTCTCTCTTCCTCATCGAGACGTTTTCCGAAGCGCTTCCTGTGAAGCTCCATAAACTCTTGCTGAGGCATCTTGGAAAGAAAAGTGACAAAGATTTTGGTCTAAAATTTTGGCTCTTCCCAAGTTTTAGAAAAAAACAAGGATGTAAACTTGAAAGGTGGACAATTGTTTCATCTTTGAAATACTTTAGCTAGTAGTATATGTTATTATAATATAACACCCAAAAAAATCAAAATTCATCAATAAATAAATTTAATTGATTCTATGCATGATTTGATTCTCATCTAGCTCAAACATTCTATAAATTGATAGTTGACTCAATCGATTATCCAATTTATCATTTATGTATTAAATTGGATAAGATGATGGCGCCAAATATCGAATCCTTGAGAGATAGCTTGTAAATTCCTTCATTCTAATTGTTTGGTTTATCAGCAAAGTATAAATCGAAACAATTAATGAAAAGGAATTATTAAGTAGTGAGGCTCTCAAAAATTGAACCGTACTCCATACAAAATTTGTGTACCCTCACTACTTAGATTTTGTGGCCTTCAATTGAGAGGTTAGTTTTGATAGAGCACGTTATAAAATTAAAAGGGAAAAATAAATAAAATTTAAACATTTAATTATATATAATGTAAGGAGTGTAATTCCAAATTTTCTAAAAACTATTCAAATTTGAGCATTTTTTTGAAAATAGTAAATCGAATATGTACATCTAATAACAACATGATTCATCACCTTTTCAAGCTCTGCAGTCAATTTTTTGAAATTTGATTGAATTAAATGTAGCAAAAATTACATTTCATTAGGGAATATATGAGTTTCTCTGGAAACAGGCTGATAAATTTTAAATTTTGTCCAATCAACATGAATGCATTGAGAAATTTGGATTGATTTTCTGGTAGAATCTGGAACAATTCAACCATGTATAAATGGATCATGTAATCATCATGAAATGTTAGTGTTAGAGTTCAAAAGAAACAGAATGAGTGGAAATCAAACACAATCTGAATAATTTTAAACGTATACAATCTTTAAGTTTGTATTTTGAATTCTACATATATGATTGTGTAATTCGTTCTTTCAAATTTTCGGATTCAGGAATGTTTTGATAAAATTCATTCCCAAAAACGTCAATTAACAATTAAATTTAGTGTATTTTAAATATATATACGTATTATATTTTATAAATTATATTAAATTCGCAAAATTTTAAGTTTTAAACAAAAATAAAAAATGTTCGAAATATGAAATTATGCATAGGATATTAAAATTTACATGTTAGCAATTTTTTTGAATTGCTTTCAATTTTCATATTGAAATTTTTAAGATTTTTTTCTGAAATAATAAGCAAGAATATCAACCTAAATAATATTAAATTCCATGCGTTAATTTCCCCTCAAAAGTCATTGACCGCCTCTCAATCTAGATTTTGTGAGTACTTTATTTTAACGTTCCATTATAGTGCTAAAATAAAATAGTATCCTGTAAGTAGCAATGTAAAATTTATATATTGTTCAAACTAAAACTTCAATGTGGATATAATTTTAAAAATTAAACGAGGAAAATAGAAAATTTGAAGCTAAAATAAGCATGCACATGCCTATCTGAGTATTATAAGCTGAGTTATGTCTTTTAAAGGTTATGGAAAACAATTGAATTGTGTTAAATTATAAAACTGTGTATCAAAACATCTAAAGAACAATGCATCTAAACAGTTTTTTGATAAATTAATTGAAATGCTACTGATTATGAATGGCAAAAATAAAATTGGTTTAGTTGCGTCGAATTAAGTATAAAGTATTGATATCCGCCTCTAGTACAATAATCCTACCGAATGATAATCAGCAAGAAGCTATTTTTTATCATTTTTATCAAAAATAGATGGAAATTATTGAAAATGATTAAGGGAAAGATCGACCGTATCATAGATATTAATATAATGAATTCCAAAATTATATGACGATGTTGATTGCTATCGAACTTTCAATAAATAGTCACTTTTCAAAACAACTAAATTTATCCAACAATGGATAAATTGCACTGTAAGTATATATTTAACCTGTCGATGCAATAAATGATTTGACCACACTTCGAATCATGTAACGATGCTCTCGTCAGAAAAGTATTTTAATCCACAGAACAGATAACCTCTCAAATTATGAACACTCATCCTTGATGTATATATCCGAAATGTACTGACGAGCATTTATATCCCTATTTTTCAAAAAAAGCCATGACTTCACATCACATCAGCATCGTTTTGCTATTGAAAAAATTGTGAGTGCCTGAAATTGAAATTATAGACGATAGAATTTCTATCAAAAAATAATTTTTAAGTAATCACATCACTTTCGAACAATGGAACCAGTCCACGTTCTCATCACAGGTGCTGCCGGCCAGATCGGTTACGTTCTTACCTTCAGAATCGCTGCCGGCGATCTCTTTGGCGACCGCAAGGTTGTTCTTCACCTCCTCGAAATCCCACAAGGCATGCAAGCTCTCCAAGGCTGCTGCATGGAACTCCAGGACTGCGCCTTCCCAGCTGTTGCTGGCATCGTCGCCACAGACAAGATCGAGGAAGCCTTCAAGGATGTTGATGTTGCATTCCTTGTTGGTGCCTTCCCACGTAAGGATGGCATGGATCGTGCTGACCTTCTTGGCAAGAATGGTGGCATCTTCACAGTCCAGGGCAAGACTCTCTCCGATTATGCCAAGCCAGATGTCAAAGTCCTTGTTGTCGGCAACCCAGCCAACACAAACGCTCTTATTGCTCTTGCTTCTGCTCCAAAGCTTGGTCCAAAGAACTTCTGTGCCATGACACGCCTCGACCACAATAGAATGCTCGGTGAACTTTCTGTCAAGCTCGGCGTCCCAACAAACGAGATTCACAAGGTCACAATCTGGGGCAACCACTCCAACACACAAGTTCCAGATGTTTCCCACGCTGTCTACGGAAAGGAGAACAAGAAGGTCTCTGAAGCTCTCCAGGCTGAATACTACCAGGGTGAGTTCGTCACAAAGATCTCAACACGTGGTGGCGCAGTCATCAAGATGCGTGGTGCTTCATCCGCTGCTTCTGCTGCCAACGCCGCTCTCGAACACATGAGATCATGGTGCTTCGGAACACCAGCTGATGATTGGGTTTCAATGGCTATCCCAGTCCCAGAGAACGAACCATACGGCATCAAGAAGGGTGTTATCTACTCATTCCCATGTACAGTCGACAAGGAAGGCATCCACGTTGTTGAAGGCCTCGCCATCAATGATTGGGTCAGAGGAAAGATGGAAGCCACAGAGAAGGAACTCGTCGGCGAGAAGGAAACAGCTTGGAAGGTTCTTGGCCTCTAAACAATTTTGATTGAAGCTCTTTTTTTAATAATTGAAATTAATTTTTTCATATCTTTAAAATACTCTCTAATTTGTATCTTTTATGTCAATTCTATTAGTTTTGCTTAATGTTCTTTGTGAAACTTGGATTGATATGAAATGATGATTTATGAAACAGAAAGAAATTGATTTGTATCATTACCAAATTGAATAATTTTGTGTATATTGATGTGTTTTGGAAGTAAAAATGATCCTTGTCAGCTTTGAAGACTACTTTCTTCTCAATTTTGGAGTTATTTGGCTGGATTCATATTTTTTGATGTTTTCTTTCCTTTTTGCTTCAGCAGTTTCGTATTCTGCACACGTCAAACATCTCAATGCTCCTGGATTTAGAGACTTCGTCGTGAATAGAAAGGGATCTGAAATCTGGGTTGTTCTTTTTATTGGAAGATACGCTAATCAAGCGACGATTGACGAAACAAATTTTGTAGCTTTAGAAGAAATCGAGAAAGCTGCAAATCAGTCATATAAATTCTGCAACTACGCTTATGTAAATGTAACTCAAGATCCATTCGTCGCTGTACGTCATCAAGTAACATATGTACCATGCATACAAATATACTATCAAGGAGGTGTTGAAGAATATCGTGGAAATCATAAAGCAGAATCATATTTAGAAGCAATTAGCAACAGAATGCCAAATTTAGTCCGTAATTTTGATAAGAAATGGACAGATGACAGTGTTCCATCAATTGTATTATTTACAGATCAAACAAAGAGCCCAACTCTCTGGTCCGCGTTATCTATTGAATACAAAGATGCATTTGTAAGATTTGGCATCTGCTCCGACTTTTACTTGCATAGACAGTTCAATATTGCACGTTTACCGACAGTTATGTTCTTTAATTCGACTACTCAATACAGATATCGAGGAGAACTAACAGAAGACCTCCTCAAGACATCAATTGATCAATTCCTTAATGGAATAATTGATAAGGAATCGGATTTTGATGACGAGGGCTTTTATCATTTCTCAGAATTCAAAGATCAATGCTTCGGTCGTGATTTTTGCGTCGTTTCAACATTCACAAACATTTCGGATACATTACGCAATATCAGACTCAACAGCCACCGTCATCCAATGAAATTCTTCTATGGAGCCTCAGATTTCCCAATTAAAGCCATGGAAGCTGGCAAATTCTACATCTGGAAGCCACGTGGTCATGGCCTCATCACTGTAAATTACTTGGAAGAGCTTTCTCCGGCTATTGATAGGGTTCTTGATGGTGGAGCCCATTTTAAGAGACTGAAGGATGATGAATTGTAAAAAATGTTGCTTTTTAGTGGATTCTTTACATATTTATGTTTTATTTTCTAAATTTTTCTTTATTATTTTTATTTTAGATTGTTATTTCACTGAAACGTATCGGAGTGTATAAGTTTGTATTTAATTCATGTTTTAAAGAATACTCCAAAGAAATCTTGATGTTGTGCATGAAAACCCGTTCACTTCACTTCTGACAAAAAGTGATAAGTTTACATGACAAAAATATATAGGGTATTTTTTTAAAAAGTAGTTATCTTTATATATAAAAATAAAACTTTTGATATATTTGAGTAAATGATTTATTAATTTATTAATTTATTTTTTTTTAAATCAAATCATATAAATATATATATATATAATAGTGAAATAGAACAAGAGATAATTATTGATGATTAAATTGTAGACGAGGATAAAAGTTTAGATAAATTAATAAAATTAGTGTGGAATCAGACAAATTTCGGGTTGTTTGGGAAGGAATTGTTGGCTATGATGTACTGATTCATGATCAGTACATCATAGCCAACAATTCCTTATACAAAGTTCAAAAACTTGGGTGCAATCAGTTCTGATTGCACCCAAGTTTTTGAACTTTCTCGAGGGAATGAAAGGGTAAGAGGTATACATTATGAATATATACCTCTTACCCTTCCATTCCTCTCTGACAGCGGGAAACTTTGTCTGAATGTTAAACTATTCAGACAAAGTTTCCCGCTGTTTGCGAAGGAATTGTTGGCTATGATGTACTGATTCATGATCAGTACATCATAGCCAACAATTCCTTATACAAAGTTCAAAAACTTGGGTGCAATCAGTTCTGATTGCACCCAAGTTTTTGAACTTTCCATTAACAATTGTTCAATCACATTTATACAACCCAAATCTATACCAATCATACTCTTATTCATACATCATATTTTAAAAACTTTTTTGCAATATGATGTTATTGCAACAAATTTTTTTCTTTTCTACTTCCAATTAGCACCTTAAAAACATTAGACACAATCACTGGCTCATATGCTCCTATTCTGAATCTAACACTATGCAAATTTATACAATTTCTCCACAAATCTTACATTCATTTTAATTTCAACGACCATTATTACCACAAAGAATCTTACCTTCCCCTACAAAATCTAACTATCTATCAATTTAAAAAATGTTACAAAATATTAAATGAATTTTTTTTCTATACGTAATTTAAAGTTCTTAAACTCTCAGCATCAGAATATCCTTACATAGCTTAGCTATATATCGTATTACTTTATGAATAAAAAAATTATTTAAATTATAATAAAATGTTTATTCGTATTTTTACTTTATTTTTAGTTACGAGGCTGTATTTCGAACTCAGGATTTGGGTTTAAGTCCTTTGTCCATTTAGGACCCTGGTCCCAAATTGATTTTGGAGTAGGTTTTCCACCGAAAAGATCTTTAAGAGCTGTATGAACCCATACTGTGTTGTATTCTTCTATTGCGTGAGGTAAAAATTCTCTTATTTCGATAAAATCTGGGCGAGCCGAAAAGATTGTTTGCCAAAAACGTTCTATTTACCATTTAACTGTGTGTGTGTAAGGTTCTGTCCGATGGTGTTGAATGCCATTTACTTGAAGAACGTTTTTGAAGTCCTTTCCTGTAAATTCGCATCCATTATCTGTCAAAAGTTCGTATGGAATAATTTTGATAGAGTCGATAGCATTTTGTAAAGCTTTTGAAGTTGATTTCATTGTTTTATCGGGAAGAATTTCGTAATAAATACAAAAACGAGATCTGTCATCGATAAAGGCAATTAAATGATAAGTATGCTTGGTACCATTTGTCTCTTCTTTGAAGCTTTTTAAATCAGTATGCCATTGCTGATTTACGTATTGGGAAACATACTGATTTGGATGTTCATCAATTTTTTCTGGATCTCGCCGAAATTTGAAAAGATTCTCTTTTTCGTATAATTTAAGCATATCGTGAAATGAAACTGTGTCATCATGTATGTAACTCTCTAAAACTTTTTTATAACCTAGATTGTACTTAGCTTTTATTTCGTGAATGGTTGGTAACAAATCTGTTCTAAGAGGAGTTTCTGGTCTTCCGAGCTTTTTTGGATTTAAACCAAGTTCTTGCCATTTTAATAATAATTTTTTTCTACCTATGTGCAAATCTTTTGCAACTTGGTCTGCTGTCTTTTTGCCAATAGAATATTCAAGATATGCCGTAATATAAATCTGATTTTCATTTGGCAGATCCACTTCTTGTCTTTCCATTTTTTTTTGAATCAATTTATACAAATAAACTTATAAAACACAAAATTATTATTTTATAATATAATTCTTAGATAATACATCCGATATGTAAAGTGTCAAAAATGAATTGAACCGAATTTTCATGCATTACTGTGAGCAGCTGCGATAGAAGCTAACTATTCACAAAATTGAAAGATGATGACGGTCAAAAAAAATACTTTTGCTTTGGTAAAGTAGAAAGAGGCTTGAATTTAGAAATTAAACCTCAAGCTTGTCATCAAACTTCCGTTTCCTTTATTATGCAGCAGATCTTTAGTACCATTTCCAAATTTTATCAAGATCAAAAAGTCAAAATTAAACAATGACTAATGGTCAGAAAAGTATCAATTTTCACATTGTTCATTTGATGGTAGAGCATTTCCCTTCTAGACATAATTTTGAAGAAAATTAATATATCAAATTTTGAATCTTTTTTAATCATAAGCCATTGAATTTTGCGCATTTTATTTTTCATTGCGCCTACAAATTCAATAAGCAAGAATTTATTATTATTTTTATCAATATTATTATTATTATTTCATACTAAGAAGGAAAGGGAAAATGACATAAAATCTCGTATAAAAATAGAAATAATAATATGTGATAAATTAACTTTTACGAACACTCTATAACATTTAATAACTTCTTAATAATTTTAATTTTTGATAAAAGGTGTGGAATATTGTAATTTAATCTAATGACTCACCATAATCCAGGATTCCACTAATATCAGCATCTGCAGCCTCGTCAACATCATTATCTGAAATGTCGATGGTTTCACCTGAGTCACTAACATCAGAAATTTCTTTATCAAATAACCCTGCTGCAATGGCACCATCATTGTCAATATCAACATCTGAAACATCAACTGTTTCGCCAGAGTCTTCAACAGAGCCCCAGTCGCCATCGTCTGGAAGTTCGATGGAATCTGAATCTGATGATTGTTCGTTCTTAGGAAGAATCATCCAGATGATGATTGCAAGAAGAATGATAAGAAGTAAGATAACAATGACTGCAACAATAATAACAATAATCCACTTGTTCTCAACAATGATGCGGAAGTTGTCAGAGTTGTCGATTTGGGCACCGTTATCGCTTGATGGAACAACGATGACAGCTGGTGTAGTTTCTGGTGTTGTCTCAACAGGTGTTAAGAGTGGTGTTTCGAATACTGTTTCAAATGCTGTTTCGAATGGAGTAGAGAATGGTGTTTCATAGGCTGTCTCGAATGGAGTAGAGAATGGTGTTTCATAGGCTGTCTCGAATGCTGTGGAGAACGGTGTCTCATAGGCTGTCTCAAATGCGGTAGAATGTGCTGTGGAGAATGGTGTTTCGAATGCGATCTCAAATGCGGTATCGAATGGAGTAGTGTGTGCTGTTGAGAATGCAGTTTCGAATGGAGTGATATGAGCTGTGGAGAATGGGGTGACAGCTTTAGATTCATCTGGGGTGATAAATGGTGTTTCATATGCTGTCTCAAATGCTGTTGTGAATGGAGTGGAGTGTACTGTTGAGAATGGTGTCTCGAATGCTGTGATGAATGGGGTTGTGAATACAGTCTCATATGGTGTGATGTGAGCTGTTGAGAATGGAGTGACTGCCTTAGATTCATCTGGTGTAATGAATGGTGTTTCATATGCTGTTTCAAATGCTGTGGTTTCAGCAGTTGAGAATGGAGTTTCATATGCTGTTAGTTCTTCTGTTAAGAATGGTGTTTCATATGCTGTCTCAAATGCTGTTGGTTCTTCGGTTAAATATGGTGTTTCGTATGCTGTTGGTTCTTCGGTTAAGAATGGTGTTTCATATACAGTCTCGAATGCTGTTGGTTCTTCGGTTAAATATGGTTTTTCATATGCTGTCTCATATGCGGTGGTTTCGGCGGTTGAGAATGGTGTTTCATATGATGTTGGTTCTTCTGTTAAGAATGGTGTTTCATAAACTGTCTCGAATGCTGTAGTTTCAGCTGTTGAGAATGGTGTTTCATAAGCAGTCTGGAATGGAGTGATAGCGGCTGTTGGAAGCAAAGATCTAGTTGTGACTGAGAGGAATGTATATTCATCTTCGCGCCATGTACGTGCTGGGGTGATTAACTTGCGGTCTTTTGTAGCTTTTGGATATGCTGAGATTGGTGTGGCAACATATGTGTATTCTGATGGAGATGGAACATCGCTTACAAAACTGTCATTTCCTGTGTTGCTTGGAGAAATTTTAGATGGGATATATTCTGATGTAAGTGGGGAAGAATTATCATTACTCCAATCTCTACCTTCATACAAGCATCGATCAACGTTTGTAGTTTGAATTGTACATAAGAATGCTGAGTCTGGATTATCTGTGTATTCTTTAGCATTATACGCAACGAAATACTTCCAATTTGGATCGTGATCTCCTAGCATTGTTAAGCCTTTGATTGAATCCTGGTTGGAAAGCCAGTAGCAATAGCCTTCGAAAAGAAGGGCATTGCCAACACCTTTACCAAAAGATGTAGAATATTGATCAGCAACATTACCAGAGAAACAGCATTGGTTTGTTGTAAGAGATCGTTTTTCAGTTGAAGTTGCTGGAGAGTTAGCAGGAATTTTGAATTTATTATCTGATGCAAAGTAAATAGCACCTCCACCACGAACACGGAAGTGTGGATCAAAATTATTCTTTCCAGGGAAGGTTTTTCTGTTGTACTTTTTGCCGATTAATCCCATTGCGTTAATTTGGTTTCCAATGAAGTTTGCCTCGAACAACTTAATGTTATTGGTATTGTATGCATACATACAGCCTCCATTAAAGGTTGCTTTATTATAATATCCTTTAATGTGCTCGATGTAAATTTCTTCAGTGTCAACAGTTGCAATAGCGCCACCACTTTGAAAAGCGTTATTATATCCTGGCTCCGAATACTGAATATACATCTTATGGGTTGATGAGAGCCTACTTTTATCTTCAAGATATGCTCCTTGGAAATAAATGAAGCCTCCATACATGTAGGCCTTGTTAGACAGAAAATTGAAATAGATAATGTGTACTGGAGATGTTAAACAGCAGATGGCACCGCCAAGTTGAGCTTGATTATTAGAACAGACTCCTCTTGAGGTAGATGAGCTTCCCTCCATTGAAAGCATACTCCATGAAAGGAAAATAGCGCCGCCATTTGCCGAATCAGCACCTCCACCCAAAACAAAATTGCTATCTAGGGTACATTTTGTGACGGTGACGGATGATCTATAGTAAACGTGAGGCCTTAACATTTTACTATAATCTTTATTAATTGTAATATCCCTATTAGCATTTTCTGCGTATAATTCGTTTTCATCACCTCCAAAACTCTGAAAGGCTGGTGCATCAACCTGTTCAACTATCGGATTTTGAAGTTTGGAGTTTAAGTATAGAACTTGAAATGTAAAGGACAAGATAACAAAGAACATAGAAAATAATAATTGAAATTATCTAACCGCTTTGTTCTGAAAAGTAAAAAGTTTGATTTTTTTATGAGGAAAAATTGTGTTCGTACGTACATCAAACCATTTATTTAAATTAATAAATTGAATTGGCTAAGCAAGTTATGAAAAGTAACCATTGAAAGTTAAAAATTGAGCACAACGTTTTATGCTAATGATATGATAAATATGCATTTTAATAAGTAATACAGCTGTTCATTCAAGTGATATAAAAAACATTCAATTTCATCTTAAAACCCCATTCAATAAATTATTATTAATATATGATTTAAACTCATTCAAATCGCTGTTATTGTTAAAAATAATTGAGTTATATTTGGGATTGAATATTTTTGAATGATGTCATCGGGGTTGAAATTTTGTTTAAAAATGAATTGTCATATGGTAACTTTTTTATTGAACAATTATTAAACGATTGAATTGAATTTAATATTCATTGCAAATCGATTTCTACATTGTCGAAACAGAATTTATTTGATCGATAGCGAATTTTAATTGAATTGATTCAATTTTTCATAACTCAAATTGAATTGGTCTTATCATGGTGCAATTGGCTTATAGTAGAACTTGTTATCTGGAAAACACAGATGAAAAATATTGTTTTCATCTGTTCACACTCAAAACGGACGCATCCATATGAATTTTAAAAAATTATGCACAAATGAGCATTATTATTGTAAAGTTTTCTTTTCTATTAAAGAACAAAGATTTTATATTCAATCGAGACGGCATCAATATCGATATTTTGTATTTTTTTCATATTTCATTCTAAATTCTCATCTTCTTCGAGATTTTTCTGCCCCACAGTAAGCCAAAATAAATTAAATATCATGCTATCTAGCATCCATTTTCTATAAAAGGAATAAAATAATAATCATAAATAAAGAGTTGTTATAGAATATTCATATTTTATTCTAGTTATAGGAAAAATCGATTATCGCTCCTGTTCTCATTTTGTTAAATTAAATATTATTTATTAATTGAAAGTAAGAAACATTTAATATAAAATGAATTGCGCTGTGCTATTTAGTTATCTCTGCCATGCTCAAAATTTTTGATTCTCATTTATATCAATTTTCAATAACAAATAACATAAATAATCAGTATCATTCATCATAGGAATATGTTTATAATCGTGTTGGCTTGATATTAAATGGACGCTAGTGAATAATAAAAAAAATTGTGTTAACACATATATATTCAGACAGAGGTTATTACCGCATATTGTTCACTGTCGTTTAGAATCATATTTCATTTGTTCGAAAAGCGAAAAATGAGGAAGCAGCAGATTCGCTCTGGATAAAAAAAAATAATTTTGGGAAAAAAAAGCACTTTTTTTATTGGTCGAATCAGATAAATTTGTAAAATTAAAGTGTCTCATCTTATACACTATTTATCTGATGACTCATGAAAAATTAACATTGATAGTTCTAAGGAGAAATATTTTATTAGGAAATTGTAAACACTCAAAATTTATGAGTAAACTTTCCTCTTTAACTACACCACAAAAACGAACAATTACACCGAAAAAATCATCCCCAGGGCCTCAACTTGTACCAGCATATTCACCTCATGGGAAAACTTCTATGCCTTCTCCAATGAAATTAGAAAAATCAAAAACAATGGAGTTATTTCATCTTCAAGTAGAAGATGATATAGAAGTACGTCTGAAAACTCTTGGTGATTCGCTTTATAGACTTTCAGTAACTAATAATGATTTAGAGGAAGTAATTCGTTCAATTATTAAGTTTGGTCGTCATAAAACCTACGACAAATATCCTCCAGCTTCTATCCTCAATATATGTTTTACTGCGCAAAAGTGTCCTCCAGATACATTGTTATTGACATTGGCTATAGGTGCTATTATGGTGTGTGTAGGTAACAAACCATCACCTGATGAAACCAAGAAATTCTATGATCTTGCTATTGGTTTGAGAAAGCATGCCAATAAGTTCACGCTTTATTCAGACAACCCGAAAAAGGGAAAGGAAGTGCTTGAAAAGATCATACGAATATTTAGATTATCTAGGGGAACGTTAGACGAGGATATTGAACAGCTTCTTGGCGTTAAAGAGAAATTTTATGACTTGAGTGACCAAAGCTTTCAATCAAACGAATCTTTACAAAAAGCCGCAGAACCAAAGAAAAGAGATATCCCTCGAGTTACATTTGACGAAAAAACTATTACTTGCCAAGGCTTGATCGGAAAATCTAAAATGGATGCATTAGAAGAACTCGTTTCAATTGGAGATATAGAATACTTTAAGACATTTGCACAAATGCTTATAGATGAGTATCCAGATATAGACCTTACAAGATACAAAAATATTGCCCACAAATGGTTTTCAATTTGGGACACTGCATACCAAGGAGTGTTATTCGTATGGAAGGAATTTATTACAGATCCAACTTTTGAAGTTGTTTTAATGTTTTTAGTAATATCAGATGAATTTCCCCCATATTTGTTTATTGGGATTACGAGTCTCGCGAAAGAATATTTTGAGAAACAGAACCATGAGAATTGAATATAGTATTTTCATAAATTGTTTGTATTATTACATGAAATAAATTTTTTTTTCTTAGAAGGTTTTATCCATTTGAGGTCGGAGGGAACTCTATAAGAAATAGATTTCTCATTAGAAAAATGGCTGAAAAATCGATTTAAAATAGGGTTGAAATCTAAAAAAAATCCAATTCAGCCGTTAGTAAAAAAAATTCTCAAAAGAATCAGGAATGTATAATTTATATTTTTGTAAGGATTTTGGCATGATTGGAGGTTTTATTATAAAAATCAGACATTTAATCCCAATAAATGTTCACATCTTTCTAGAAAAGAATCTGTGGCATCACTTCATGATTCACTTATTTCAATAAGCGAGATAAGAGGTGAAGGAAGAGTGTAATACCAATAAGACCAGCTGTAACAAAAAGAGCAGCTTCTGGTGTGCAGTCGATACCAACGTGCTGCTTAGCCTTCTTTCCTGTTGAGAACATGCCGCCACCAATAGATGTTGTTGTTGCAACTGCGACTGTGCCACTTCCAGATCCCTTGGCCATTTCGAAATGTGTCGGTTTTTGGTCGCATGGATCACTTCCCTTCTGCCTATTTTTGCTGGCAAATTGGTCTTTTTCATATCGCAATTAAAAGAAAAGTAAAATTGGCCTGGATTATCTGGAAATCTAATTTGGCAAACCCAAATTTTAGCTAAAAGTGACAGGGAAAAAAAACGTTTAGTATTAAAAAAAAAGACCGATGAGAGCTTCGTTCAAAATATAGAGGGAACTGAGAATGCGCAACCATTCTCAGGGAATATTGGATGCTATTCCCGTTCCCTCTGTATGGAAAATTGAGGTTTTCAAACGGAGTTAAAATAATATCAAATTTATACTAATTTACTTCAAAATACAAAAGTATTTGACAGCTAAAATTAGTTACTTTAGCAAGCCTATCAATACCCTTTTACGATTATTGTTACTTTTTCGAAATAAAAGTAAAAACAAATTTATACTAATTTACTTCAAAATACAAAAGTATTTGACAGCTAAAATTAGTTACTTTAGCAAGCCTATCAATACCCTTTTACGATTATTGCTACTTTTTCGAAATAAAAGTAAAAACAAATTTATACTAATTTACTTCAAAATACAAAAGTATTTGACAGCTAAAATTAGTTACTTTAGCAAGCCTATCAATACCCTTTTACGATTATTGCTACTTTTTCGAAATAAAAGTAAAAACAAATTTATACTAATTTACTTCAAAATACAAAAGTATTTGACAGCTAAAATTAGTTACTTTAGCAAGCCTATCAATACCCTTTTACGATTATTGCTACTTTTTCGAAATAAAAGTAAAAACAAATTTATACTAATTTACTTCAAAATACAAAAGTATTTGACAGCTAAAATTAGTTACTTTAGCAAGCCTATCAATACCCTTTTACGATTATTGTTACTTTTTCGAAATAAAAGTAAAAACAAATTTATACTAATTTACTTCAAAATACAAAAGTATTTGACAGCTAAAATTAGTTACTTTAGCAAGCCTATCAATACCCTTTTACGATTATTGCTACTTTTCGAAATAAAATAAATTTATTAATCAAAAACCTTTTTTTTTCTTAGTAAAAATAAACGAAATTTTTTACCTTATGAACTTTTGATGGAAATATGCAAATTTAAAATAATAAAGAAAGCCGCGAGCGAAGCGATCGGCTTAGTTCGAAGATTTTGATTCAAATCTTTGCTGATCTGTAATTCGCGGAAGCCGCGAGCGAATCGATCGGCTTAGGTCTAAGATTTTGATTCAAATCTTTGCTTATATTCCTTAAATTCTTTATGAAACTCGCAACAGTTCCATAAAAAATTTTAAATTCTAAACTGTCGAAATTACCGATCGGTAATCACACCCTTCACGGGTGTGTCACTTTTTACATGCATGTCACTTTTAGCTAAAATTACCCCTACTCAACAAAATAATTGATATCTTTCGATAAGGTTTTTGTTGAGCAAAATTAAATTGAAATTTTGCCAATGAGAAATGATACATTTCATCAAACATTTTCGTGATATTTCAAGCATACATTACCATGTTTGAGTTCTTATGGTATTAACACGTAATTACACCTGAAATCAAGTTCGATATTTGCGAAATAAAACCGAAAAAGCAGGCACTGAATAACAATAGTATATATTTACAAACAAATAAACAAAATAATATTACTGAGAAGCTTCAGTTGCTGTAGTTTGTGGTTGGCACATCTTTTCGTATGCTTCCGCGATCTCGATATTCTGAGGAACGCCAATACCATATCTATATGCATTAGCTACGTCTTTGGCAGCTTCAATAAGTCCTGAATCAGCTGCTGCTTTCATTAATGAAACTCCATCTTTCATATTCCTAGTCATTACTCCGTCAAACATCATTTTTCCGAGTTTATACTTAGCGATCGGTGATCCCCTCAGAGCAGCTCCTCTTAAATACCTCGATCGCTCTTCAATTGATTTGGACATCTCAGCGGCATCGAGCATCGCCTCTACACATCCCATCTCCGCTGCTTCCAAAACATTACGATTATTTCCTTCCAATTTGGCCAGATGATAGACTGCACCGGCATGACCTGCATTTGCAGCCAATCTTAAGTATTGGCTTGCTTCTGTGAATCTCCTTGAGTCAGCCAATGCTAGAGCATACTCGTACTGTGCATCCGATAATCCATCGTCAGCACATATCTTCAACATCGCTAATCCATCCTCGTGTCCTCCTAATATATCGTTGTAAGCCATCTTTGCGAGTATTAGTTTGGCTCTAGGTGTCTCCGATGACTTTAGGAGCTCAATGGCCCTTTGTGGGTCGCTAATCATTAAATATTCCGCCAAATCTACACGCGCTTCCATATCTTTTTCTCCTGCCATTGTTAACAAATCTATGCACTCTTGACTTCTTCCCGCTGCAGCTCTGATCCTAGCCAAAGCGCTCATGGCCATCGTATTTCCTCCTTCGGCCGCAAGAGTAAAGAACCTCTCCGCGTGGTGGGGATTACGCTGCACGCCTTTACCTTCAAGAAATCTGGCTGCAATTGCGAACTGAGCGTCTGTTGAACCTAATTGACCGGCTTTTAGCAGTAAAAGTGTGCATTTCTTATCGCGTTTGGCCGGATTATCTGTTGGAGACTGGTCTAGTTGCATTGCTAGCTTGTAAAGCTCTTTTGCATCGTTTGTGTCGATTTTTTCTTCAATCTTAGGAGAAGGAGGTGGATTTTCAAGGGAAACAAGGTTCACACGCTGCTTGTAGTCTGCTATTGCCTTGATATCGCCATCAATGAATACTCCAGCGTTGATTTCTCTGCAAATTTGATCAATTGTAGGTCTCTCCGCTGGATTTTTCTGTAAACACTTGACAATAAGTATGGCCCATTTATTGGGGAAGTTCGCTGGAAAGGATTTTGCCTTGTACGTGTGTCCAACTAAAATTTCGAAAACTATCGCTCCAAATGAGTAAACATCGAACTTTTCTGAGATATCTTCTTTAGGTATATATGAATCGTAACCTGTTGTTTCAGGATAAAGCTGATTATGTGCGACAGAACTTGAAAGATAAAATCCATCAAGAATTGGTTCGAATTTGGAGTCAAAAAGAATATGCCATGGTACTAAAAATAGATGATATAGTCCTTTTTCATGCAAATATCGTAATGCTGCCGCTAATCCGATGATTGTAATTGATTTTCGAGTGTTATCCCATTCTACTTCCTTAAAATGGATAAAGTCCTTTTCAAATATGCTACTGAGATCACAAATATAGTTATTTTCCCTAACAATTGCATGATGAAGTCGATTTTTTTCGCCTGGAAAAACAATACCAATCACTTTAATCAGTGCAGGATGACTTAGCTGTGTTAGTTGTTGTATTTTTTCTGCGAATTTATTTGGATCTGCAATATTTTTTCTATCAATAAAAAGATTTAAAATAAAAGCAAGGCTTAATGACTCTCCATTTTTTACTGTTGTGACGTCCACAACAGTTCCAAAGCAATTACGCTCGACAGTAGGCCCAATATTGAACTGATCAAGCGTAAATGCAATTGGATTTTTATTCTGCGACATTTTAATTATTTCCGACCAAGCTTCTTGTATCGTTAAATGATTTCCATTCATATTATACCGAAATACATATGTTTTCATATATTTTGGAATTATAACATTGAAAACATATCAACTACTAAAGCTATTTGTCGCTGAAATTCTACAATTTTCGTATCATATATTATTAACTCGTAATATTATTCCTTTTTGAATAGCCTTACTATGTGTTAATGAGCTCTTGTTGACGATATGTATTGATCTATATTGAAAAAACTTCAACTTATAACAAGAAATAAATAACAAATTTAATATAAGAAAAATAACAAAAAATATATAAAAAATATAATATACTACTGGTCAGTTTGCTGCTCAATTGCCTTGATCTTCTCAATATGCAGCTTTGAATCTTCAGTTGAATAAATCAATGAATTTAGTTCAGGAACGTACTTTACAGCGATCGGTCGCGACAAGCATTTAGTTTTAGCAAGAGGAAATGTTGTACTTAAGTCATACAATTTGAGATCTCCTGATTCTGTTGCAGAAAGCAGTTTATTATCATAAATATCTAGGGAGCATAATCCATCTGCATTACTTGCTATGCATCCTGTTGAAGAAATTGTTTCTCTTATGTCCCATAATCTACAAGTTTTGTCTTTTCCTCTGCTTGCAATAATTCCTTCATTATTTGTAGCCAAACATATTACTTGTGCATAGTGTGCATCAATTGTCTGAACACCTTCTTGAACTCTGTTATCAAATAAATAAATCGTTCCTTCTTCAGTCCCTACAGCTAAATAATCGTCAGATTTAGACATCGTCATGCAAGTAAGATTAATCTTAACCTTAATTTCTTTTACTATCTTCGATTGTACTAAATCTGTCACGTTAATAATTCCATCTCTACTAGTAGTAACTAATTTGGAGCCATCACTTGTAAAACCAAGTCCTATGACAACCGATGAATGCATTTTTGTCGTAGATATAGTTGACAATGTTTGAATATCGTAGAGATTTATTGATCCGAGTTGCCCTGAAAAGGCAATTAAGGCGTCTGATGGATGATATGCAACGTTTCGTATGTAAGATTGATTACCTGCTGTTTTTGATCCGTTTATTTGTTGAGCTGAAGGTAAATTTTCTATTTCAGATAAAAATAACGAGCTGTAACTTCCAAAAACAATGTTTTTTCGGCCCCATGAAATATCGATTGCTGATACTGGTGATAGGAATGAAATTTCTTGATCGCCATCCTCTGTAATTGTGATTTTATTTTGTAAATCTGTTGAAACTGGATAATCTCTGATTTCAGGAAAGTTAGATTCGTTTAATTGATCATTCTTTTGCAAGTGCATGAGTAATTCATTATTAAATTCGAATAAATCTGCTTTAATATCTTGTGTATGTCTTTCTAAAGCTCTAAACATCGGAAAAAGCCTACCACTCTTCTCATAGTTCTCCTGGAACTCATTAAAATTCACTCCAGTAGGTATTTGTGCCTGGACTCTCCCTTGAAATCGAAAAAAACTCATATTTTTGAAGAAAAAAAAATCCACTTTTCGATGATCAGATTTTACAAAAAAAATAAAACAATGAAATAAACCTCAAAAAAATATTGGGAATAAAATTTTGAGAGTGAGAAAGAGAGAAAAAAAATTGTTTGAATTATAAAAAACGTGACAAATTGTGTTTATGAAAAATTTTAGCCAACGACTGGCTGAGCTCTCTGAGATAAAGCAAACATCTGGTTGTGAACCTTATCGCACCATCTATCGATTTCGAATTTGAGGTGCTTCAAGCGCTGTAAATCGAGTGCCTTTGGCTTGCACCATGTAACTGTTAATTTCTGGTCAACTTCGTCGATTTCTCCGCGGATAAGCTCTGTAGAGAGGGCCTTCATGACGAGGATCTCGACGCGGTCAAGAGGAACGTGGCATTCGCGGGAGATTTCTTCGAATGAGAAAATACGAGATTCGAATGGTCTTGCGAAGATAAGCTGTAAGAAAACGGATAGAGCGATTTTCTGTTGGATAGGAACCTTGAATTGGTTGAATGTTTCGTTTGCTGCGATGATTGGCATGAATTTTTCATTGAATTCAGGAATTGACGATGGCTCGCCCTTGTTGAGTAAAAGAATCAAATTGCGGAGCCATTCGTTTGGTGTTCCGACAAGAGAATCAAGGATCTTGTGGGAAGCTAATTCTCCAAAGGAGCAAACGCTAATAGAGAAGAGGGCAGACATGCAGAGATCGTAGGCAATGACCTGATTGGAATTATCCTTGGCAGTAGAAAGATAATAAAGAGCATGTTCGTAATATGAATCAAAATCGCCACGAGCCTTATCAAGATCGGCCTGTGTACGATGGAATTGAGATCTAACGTATAAGTCTGTCTTTTCGGTAATTGTATCTTCAATTTGAATAAGCTGATTAAGAGCTGTTTCGAATTCGCCAAGTTGTGTGTGGCAGAAAACAATGCGCAATTTAATAAGTGTTGCTGGTTCTGGGATCTTCTCGAAATACTTCTCAAGAGACTGTTTCAAGAACTGTAAGCAATTTTGGATATCTAATTCTTCAGAAACTGATAGGATAATTTTAGCACGCTGGAATGGATCAAGTGCCTCGAAGAACAAGCGGACGAAGTTATCGAAAATAAATAAATATTTGCCTCTGAGTACTGGAATTGTGAGAATCTCTTGAATCTTTTGACCAAGCTCATACCATCTCTTGGTGCTTAAATAGGTATTGGCTTCGGTGAAAATGGGCTCAAGTAATCTTGGATTTGATTGAATAATACCCTGAAGTTTCTCCATTTGAAAATTGGTCAATTAAAAAAGCGGTTTTGACATCCTAAGATTCATCAGGGTGAAAATTTTATTGGAAAAAAATTCCGACATGATTTAAAGCCTTACTAATCACCTGTTTCATCGCTATTGGATATGAATGATTCTTAAGATTATTTTTCAAATCGCAATCAATAAGATGCATCAATGGACATTGTCTTATATATTAAAATAATATACTCTAATAGTTATGTGTTTCTATGGTATAGATATTGGACAATTTAATATTTTGAATAAAAAATTTGATATTGACAAAGAAAATAAGTATTTGAATTGGCTCAAATGCTTTTGTGCCTGTTTGCATAGCTATAGATCTCTTAGGCAATGTCAAAAAAACTGAGATGATTGAAATATAAATAATAGATAGTTTAAATAGAATAATAATATATAAAGTAATATATGGAAAGGTAAGTAGTATAAACGTGGAGTAGTAGATTAGTCGACCTTGGTATCTTTCTGAGTGACTTCGATATTGAATGGAGGAATGCTATGAGCAATTAAAACAAACTTAAAAGGAATCATAAATGAACTGATATACTCTAAAATAACGCCAAAATTGTACACATTGTCATTTGTTGAAAATTTGGTTACTAATGCGCCAATCATAGCCAGAACTGGTATGCAAAGAGTGCATAGTGTATTAAACATGTAATTGGAAGGTCCTGATCGCATTATTTGGTAGTCAATTAGAACAAATGTAACAGAAATCGAAAATACGAAGCAGACTGCACAGAGCGTATGAAATACTTCATTTGATTTGATATTGACTGAGCAAAGTCCGACTAAACTGAAGAATGCTAAACCGCAAGCAATTCCCGTTGCATAATGAGTCAGTTGAACAAGTGGTGCTTTGGCTATATGTTTCATTTTAGTTAAAAGCTTCAAAGTGCGATCCAATATTATATAGCCAGCGAAGAGCAACCAGCAGCAAATAATAATTCCCATAGCAAATATTCTGCTTTCTGGTAACAAAGATGCGGCTGTGGAAATTGTTGGAAGCCTTCCTGGAATATTATGTTTATTTTTGTAGTAAAAGAAGAATGTAAAGCCTGTCACAACAATTGGAGCAATAAATATCCAATAAAATAAAACTATTGGCTTATAAACAACTTTTTTAATGCCGCTAGTTTCATTCATAATCAAGAAAGAAAAGGTGACGAAATTTTAAGAAAGTTTGTGAACTTTTCCGATCATGGACGAAATTAATTTTGTTGCTTTATAGTTACATAATAAAATTTGAAATTTTCGAAAATCAATTGTCCAAATTTATTTGAACTTTGATTATTTTGTGTTTATTATATCCTATTACAATTATTAAATAATTCTGCTCATTTAATTTTTCAAAATATTTTGTTTTATCTTCCAAAAAAAATTCGAAAATGAAATTTTGCAAATATTTTATTAGGATTTCAATTTCACTTTTGAAATTTTGAAAAAAATTTGGAATTTCTTGAAATCATTAATCTACTTATTGTCACAAAGAATCAATAAATCATCTCATTTTTCCTATTTTAACCCAAAAATTGATTCAATAAACTTATACTTCAAAGATATACGGGTTTACACATTAACACCCACTTCATATGACTATTCTATCACTTAATAGTTAGTCCAGTATTCTTCAATAACAAAACGAGTTCTTATTAGCGTTTGTATTTTTGTCATTATATAAAATTAATATGAATTGATGATTAAAATAGTTGTGGATCAGATTGAAACCATATAGTCTTTATCTGTGGCCAAAAATGGATTCAAAATCATGAAAAAAATGATATTTATTTAATTCTTTTCATAAAATCATTTACATTTATAGTTCATTATCATTGTTTGAAGATGTGATGAGCAGGTAAAAGATTCGTATCAAGGGTTACAAAATGTGACATGTCACTTTTCCTTCTTCACTTATTCTTATGTCACAAGATGAAGGTCCAACAATTACATTTCGTCAAATTAAGGAACAACCACAAGATAAGCGTATGATTCCTCCGAAAAATGGCATTTCTGCCGCTGCTGTTTCGGAAAATTATATCGCAATTGGTATGTTTAATGGCTTAATTGAAATATACGATGCAGACACAAACAAGAAAGTCGAAACGATTAACGAAAACATCACAAACAGGCCAGATGGTCTTTCATTTGATACAACCGGCAATTATTTACTTGCTACATGGTATGAGAAGCTTATTTACTGTAAAAACATCAAGACAAAGAAAGAATCCAAACTCCAATACGAACAAAGGATTTTAGCCAGTGCAATTGATCCTTATATCACCACAGCTCAAGATCAGACGCCAGAACTGTCCTGCGTCTTTTCCGATGACAAAGGAAATGTCATTCGCGTTCGACCGCGAAAGGCCTTCTTTTCGTCTGGTTCTTCCTTCAAAGTCATTGCGACGGAACCAAACACAACTATAGATACTATGGTCTGGCAGGGCGATTATATCTGCTGGGCGTCATCAAATAAGTTCTCCATCTATAGAGCAAAGACCGAAGAACTTGTCATTTCAAGAAATATCGAAAATCCGAACGAATGGTACAGAGCGTGCTTCAACTTCCTTCCTAACGACATTATCCATGTATCAGTCGGCGGATCGACCTTCGAAGTCCAAGCAAACCTCAAAAACACGGCAACAAAATTATCTGTCGATTTCGGCATCTACAACTCTGTATCTACCAACGGCAATCGCGCCTTCCTTATGTACAAAAACGGCGATCAGCCAGCCGATCCTAACACTCAGCCAAAGGCAGATTCGAAATATTACATCAGAGCAATAAGAGGAACGGAAGAGTACAAAGTAGATATCAGCCCGGAGTTCCAAATGATACAGAGCGGCAATTTCCAAGTGATTTTGCCTCAAGGAGACCATTTTGTCCTTGTATATTACACATTTGTCATTATTGTCTCTTTTTCAACACTATTAGAGCGTATTACCTTCTATCTCGACCGCGAGAACTTTTCCCGCGCGATAGAACTTACACAAGAGAACAATAATAAATTGGATGAAGATGAACGTCGCCAGATCATCGATATCATTGCATCCAAGCAAATCGAGAAGGGCAAAGTCGATGACGCAGTTTCCTTGATGCTAAAGTACATTGGACAAGAATACGGACACATGTACGATTTCTTCAAAGCAACTCGTTCGATGTCGGGCTTTGACATATTGTACGCGCTTAGCGAGAACCAGGACTTGTGGAAAATCTCGCAAACAGCGTTCAGCCGCCAACAAATGACTTCAATAATTTTATCTTTAATTAATAATGGTAAAATTAAAACGTTGGAGCAAACCATGCATAAGTTCGCAGCCCAATATGCCAAGGACGCGTTCGATGAAGACGATATCGCTAAAACTCTTAAAGAAAAAGCGATGTCAAATTCAGATTACGAATTATCTCTTATGTTTCTTGATTTCTGTTCATCCAAACCAGCCTCGAGGGATGACGGCTACAAGATCTCCATCAAACCAGAGATAAAGAAGAGATTTAATGAAGCATTTGTAAATCCATCAAATAATGACAGCGACAACCAATTAATTTTAGGCACATTCTCTGTCATTGACCACTACGATGACTACAAACTCATTATGCCTCATCTGCTTCTCTTCTACAAGGCTCACGGCCAACATTTCATTGATTTCATAACAAATCACCTTGACAAGATGTCACCGACGACTGTTTTAGAGCACATAAGTGGTGAATTGTCCAAGGCCAAAGCGATTGTCATTGATCCGAAGAAACAAGAGGAAACAATGAATTTAATTGAGCATTTCAAGCTGGACTACTTAGATTTGATCTGGGATAGGAACTCCCCAGAGATACATTACCTCCTGAAAGAGAAAGGATACGCAACAGACCTCGTTGTCCTGTATTTGAAGTATGATCATAAAAATACTTTGAAGTTTGTGCAGGAAAACACCGATTTCACACCCAACGATGCCAGAGATGCTGCAACTAAGTACAACAGGATAAAAGCAGCCGCGTATCTCTGTAAAAGAACAGGAGATAACGAAGGTGGCATGAAAATTTTGTTGGACAACGCTTTGCAGGAAGAAGACATTGTCGCAGCGATAGAATACGCGAAGAATGTTGATGACAAGACTTGTTGGGGCATTCTGACGAAGTACGCGTATGATTCAATAATTATTGATAAAAGTCACAGCAAAAATCCTCCGAAATTCTCTAAGGAACAGCCTCTGAAGATGATGTTGAGAGATCTGCCAAATCTACACATAAATCCTGTCAATTTCATAAAGGGAATTCCTGATAAACTGCCCTTGAAGAATTACATAGAAGACGCTGATTTTGCTGTGAAACAGTTCAACAGAAAGTTCATGACTGCACAGTTGACTCACGACATAGTGGCGAAGGACGCGTTTGGCGCATTCCAGAGATCTTTCCAGAGATACAAAAGAGGAAAACCTGTTACAAACCAAGTGTAATTTTATATTTTTTAAAATACTTTTTTTTCTATAGTCTTTTTGATATATATATAAAGATTTTTTTATCAACTTCTGATTCCTTATATCCACATTTCTATGACTAATCTATAAGGAGTTTCTATCACAGTTCAAATATAAGTAGATGAAAAATGAATTAAATTTCTATGACTAATCTATAAGGAGTTTCTATCACAGTTCAAATATAAGTAGATGAAAAATGAATTAAATTTCTATGACTAACATATAAGGAGTTTCTATCACAGTTCAAATATAAGTAGATGAAAAATGAATTAAATTTCTATGACTAACATATAAGGAGTTTCTATCACAGTTCAAATATAAGTAGATGAAAAATGAATTAAATTTCTATGACTAATCTATAAGGAGTTTCTATCACAGTTCAAATATAAGTAGATGAAAAATGAATTAAATTTCTATGACTAACATATAAGGAGTTTCTATCACAGTTCAAATATAAGTAGATGAAAAATGAATTAAATTTCTATGACTAACATATAAGGAGTTTCTATCACAGTTCAAATATAAGTAGATGAAAAATGAATTAAATTTCTATGACTAACATATAAGGAGTTTCTATCACAGTTCAAATATAAGTAGATGAAAAATGAATTAAATTTCTATGACTAATCTATAAGGAGTTTCTATCACAGTTCAAATATAAGTAGATGAAAAATGAATTAAATTTCTATGACTAACATATAAGGAGTTTCTATCACAGTTCAAATATAAGTAGATGAAAAATGAATTAAATTTCTATGACTAACATATAAGGAGTTTCTATCACAGTTCAAATATAAGTAGATGAAAAATGAATTAAATTTCTATGACTAACATATAAGGAGTTTCTATCACAGTTCAAATATAAGTAGATGAAAAATGAATTAAATTTCTATGACTAACATATAAGGAGTTTCTATCACAGTTCAAATATAAGTAGATGAAAAATGAATTAAATTTCTATGACTAACATATAAGGAGTTTCTATCACAGTTCAAATATAAGTAGATGAAAAATGAATTAAATTTCTATGACTAACATATAAGGAGTTTCTATCACAGTTCAAATATAAGTAGATGAAAAATGAATTAAATTTCTATGACTAACATATAAGGAGTTTCTATCACAGTTCAAATATAAGTAGATGAAAAATGAATTAAATTTCTATGACTAACATATAAGGAGTTTCTATCACAGTTCAAATATAAGTAGATGAAAAATGAATTAAATTTCTATGACTAACATATAAGGAGTTTCTATCACAGTTCAAATATAAGTAGATGAAAAATGAATTAAATTTCTATGACTAACATATAAGGAGTTTCTATCACAGTTCAAATATAAGTAGATGAAAAATGAATTAAATTTCTATGACTAACATATAAGGAGTTTCTATCACAGTTCAAATATAAGTAGATGAAAAATGAATTAAATTTCTATGACTAACATATAAGGAGTTTCTATCACAGTTCAAATATAAGTAGATGAAAAATGAATTAAATTTCTATGACTAACATATAAGGAGTTTCTATCACAGTTCAAATATAAGTAGATGAAAAATGAATTAAATTTCTATGACTAACATATAAGGAGTTTCTATCACAGTTCAAATATAAGTAGATGAAAAATGAATTAAATTTCTATGACTAATCTATAAGGAGTTTCTATCACAGTTCAAATATAAGTAGATGAAAAATGAATTAAATTTCTATGACTAACATATAAGGAGTTTCTATCACAGTTCAAATATAAGTAGATGAAAAATGAATTAAATTTCTATGACTAACATATAAGGAGTTTCTATCACAGTTCAAATATAAGTAGATGAAAAATGAATTAAATTTCTATGACTAACATATAAGGAGTTTCTATCACAGTTCAAATATAAGTAGATGAAAAATGAATTAAATTTCTATGACTAACATATAAGGAGTTTCTATCACAGTTCAAATATAAGTAGATGAAAAATGAATTAAATTTCTATGACTAACATATAAGGAGTTTCTATCACAGTTCAAATATAAGTAGATGAAAAATGAATTAAATTTCTATGACTAACATATAAGGAGTTTCTATCACAGTTCAAATTATAAGTAGATGAAAAATGAATTAATTTCTATGACTAACATATAAGGAGTTTCTATCACAGTTCAAATTATAAGTAGATGAAAAATGAATTAAATTTCTATGACTAACATATAAGGAGTTTCTATCACAGTTCAAATATAAGTAGATGAAAAATGAATTAAATTTCTATGACTAACATATAAGGAGTTTCTATCACAGTTCAAATATAAGTAGATGAAAAATGAATTAAATTTCTATGACTAACATATAAGGAGTTTCTATCACAGTTCAAATATAAGTAGATGAAAAATGAATTAAATTTCTATGACTAACATATAAGGAGTTTCTATCACAGTTCAAATATAAGTAGATGAAAAATGAATTAAATTTCTATGACTAACATATAAGGAGTTTCTATCACAGTTCAAATATAAGTAGAAGAAAAAATGAATCAAATTTCTATGACTAACATATAAGGAGTTTCTATCACAGTTCAAATCAATGTAGAAGAAAAAATGAATCAAATTTCTATGACTAACATATAAGGAGTTTCTATCACAGTTCAAATCAATGTAGAAGAAAAAATGAATCAAATTTCTAAGACCAATATCTTCTTAAGAATATATTTTCTCCCCTCACTTTGAAATCACAAAATGGTAATGTGAGGTTATCTTGAATTTGTTAAGGGTAAGCTGCTCATACTGTTACGGGCGTATGCATTCAATGAAAGTGCCTCTCTGTGCTATTATATTTCTAGTTTTGAATTAACTTTCCATCGTAAATACTAATACGCAATGAGATATTATATTTTATTAAGAATTGAGGTAACTCTTTTCATATGTAAGAAGTAAAGAATGACAGAGTAACTATGAAGCATTTCTACTCTATATATTATACATCAATTCATTATCATCTTGAAGATATTAAATATCTCATCTCTGATGTCACTAATAAAGAAAAAATAATAAATATAGGAAAGAATCCCCTCTTGGAATCAAGTTATTTGTAGATTTGTTACATTGTTTGTCTGATATCGTATTCCTATTTAAAAAAAAATTAATTGATAATATTTTTTTTAATTAACAATAAAAAATTACAAAAAATTATTCTTCTTCAATCAACAAAGCCTCTTTCCTGAGCATATCTCGTCAGAACTTTGATGGCAGCTGCAGGTAAATTGGATAATTCTACAAAAGCAGTATCTTGTTTTGATCCATCAACTTTAATATCGTACTGTGCAAGAATCTGTGACATAACACAAACATCTGTTTTCGATTGAAGGGAACTTAAATTATAAGCAAGATCTTCGTGATTTTCTATGGTAACATTAGGTAGTGAAACATTCTTTAGTGATTTCGTAACTATTTTAGGAGCTTCTTGCATCAACTGGTCTAATTTGTTGCGGTATTTCGTTATTCTATAAGACCATTCATTTGCATTTGGACAAATAAGGAAAATACATTTCTTTTTGAACACAGTCATTGCATATGCTGTAAGTTCTCCAATAACTGTATCTCGCCCGTTATATAAAATGCAATTTTTGAAAACTAAAATCATATCGTTGTACCAACCGTCAATAGTTGTATATTCGAATTGTTGTAGTTTTTGTTTTATTGTTGAAAGATCAATAGGGTTCTTAATTTTCTTTAAATAATCAGGAAACGTTTCTGGATCTGTTGGTTCCTTGAATAAGTAGCATGCATGCATTGCCAACATTTCATTTGTAACTCTGATACATTCATTGTTTAATTGTTGATTCATTGAAATCATATTTTTTTTTAGATTTGACAAAATTCAAAAAGAATATTTTATATTTTTAAAGAATTAACACCTTCTTATATAGCGTATTATTTTTTATGTTGATAATATTGCCCAATGAGTTAAAGATTTGGTTGATCTCATAATTTGAAGTTCAATCTTATCAGAAACATGATAAACTAAAGATATTAAAGTGTTTGAAATATTCATTTTTTTGTTATCATGTCATGAATTTAAAAAACATTTTGATTTGAAAGAAATTACAAGTAAAACGCAAAATTTATGCAAGGTTTTAGCTTGCCTCTTATAATCCAAAAGAACTTCGTATTTTATAAGGAAATCTTTTCAAATCCATTGAACGGAATCGATAAGTCATGTTCATTCTTGAATTGATTAATGTTAAACAATCTCTCTTTATTCATGCCAGTCTATATTCTTGATTCAAATATTCCTATTCAGGATAGTTTTAAAAATTTTTGCATTTGGAAGAAATATGGCAAACTCAGAACAGAAAACTATTGAAAAAGGGATTGAATTCAGCGATGAGAAGCTTATTGACATCTTCGAATACCCTAATCTTGCCTCAAAACTTATTTGGCAAATTAATTCCAAAAATCTCTTGGACATAACTTCACAATTAATAGATCTTATTAAGCAAGAAAAAATTTCTCTCAAAATGGCTCTTTATCTTATAGATTCTACTTCAAAACGTAGAGTAAAATGCATTGAATCATATGCAGATCTTTTTCAAAAGTTATTGAATGAGTTTTCATGTAAGCTCAAACCGACAAGTGATGATCTATCAACATTACTATTCAACAGAGGCTTCAATTTTTTAGATTACGAACCATCGAGAAAAGAAGAAGATATTTACAACATCTTTCCAAAAGAATCTCCTTTATATTATATAGCATGGGATAAAGTTGATGACCTTAAAATCAAATTCCCAAACCTTTACATTAATAACACAATAGATTTTCAGTTTACTCCACTTGATTGTGCCTGCAAATTCTGATCAGAGCTTTGCTTCAATTATTTGAAAAATATGGGAGCAAAATATACTGAAAACTCATCAGAATATGCTCTTGAAGGTGGAAATAGCAACATTTTCCTTCAAATGATAGAAGAAGGAGAACAGTTTGAAAATATGATTCAAATAGCACTGAATTATCATCATTTTGAGCTTGCTGAATATCTTAAAACAAATTTGGAACAAATTCCAACTTCATTTGCTGAAAATTTGTATTTCGGAAATTACGATATTGCTTCAGATTTACGCTGTAATGGCGCAGATATTAACAAATTTTATATCCATTATTGCATTATCAAATCTTCTATTTTATTTTGGAATTCTGTATCCTTTTATTACGTTCGATTCGAATTCAAATTTTATATCGATTTATTTAGTTCAATTTCTTTTGATATCAATCATTATTTTATGATATTCTCTTGTCTTTCATGGAATCCATTATATTTCAATTATATTCTCTTTATTTTCATATCCTTCATCAATTTTTGTAATTCCTTTTCTATTCCTATTATTCAATGATTTGTTACATTATCAAAATGCTCAAATCTATCATATTTTAAGAGAATTCTTTTTCATTTCACACTTTCAATTCTTTTATGAAATTATTTTGAGATTAATGAATCCCCACTCACAATTGCAATCAGGCAAGAATCACTCGGTATTGTAAAATATCTAGTTGATCATGGTGCAAATGTTAATTTAAGACACATTCTATTTCTCTTCATATCGCCCAATGAATTATTTACTTCTATTTCTTTAAATATCTATCATTATGTTATTTTATTCGAATCAATCTCATATAAATCATTATTTAATAGACTTCTTTTTCGTTTCATATCCATTATTCCATTAGACAATTCTCTATAATGCTATATTATTCAATTTCTTTAAATACTATCCTTTTTAATTTCATATCCATCATTATCTGAAAAAATTCCAAATATTTTGATATCAATCTTTGTTTTATGACATTATTCGTAATAATTTTATACAGTTCTTTTTCATATAATGAATTTCCTCTCATAATTGCTATAAAACAAAATTCATTCGATATTGTCAAATATCTAGTTGACAATGGAGCTGATGTCAATATCATATATATTCTCTTGCTTATAATATCTTTCATTGATTCATAGAATTCAATTTCTTTTAATGCATTCCGTTTAAATTTATATTTCTCATTCTTCTAATATCATTCATTCTTTTTATGGCATTTTCTTTTATATCGTGTGATTGAATGCCCACTTACTTTGGCAATCAGATTAAGGTCAATGAATATTATCACTTACTTAGTTGAACATGGGGCAAATGTCAATATAACCCTTATTCATTATTTCTTCACATCTATCATTATTAAATCCTATTCTCCTCATCATTATATCTATCATTGCATTATGGCATTCACTTTTATCTTATATTCATCTATGATTTATCGTGACAATCTTTTTGTTCTCATGTCTTTTAATTCTTAATAAAAAATACTTTGATAAAGAAGAAACTCCACTTACAGTGGCAATTAGCCAAAACTCAATTAATATTGTTAAATTCCTTGTAGAACATGGTGCAGATGCCAACATGCAATTAATTTATCATTAAAATATTTAGTCCCCATTATTATCATATACTTCATTTTATAATAAGATTCAATTTATTTCCATATCTTTCATTTCTTTGCGTAATTCCATTTCATTGAATACTATTCATTATCTAATCATGGCAATCTCTTTCTTATCATATCATTAATTGTTTAATGCAATTATTTTTATTTAAATGATTATCCACTCACAATTGCTAGAAGATATAATGCAAATGAAATTGTCGAATTCTTAATAGAACACGGAGCTAAAGAATCTAAATAAAAATCGTTTTTAGCGTATTATTTGCAAATCGCAGATATCCTAAAATATGAATTTATAAAACCCTACATATTTCCTTTATTGAAAACATATTTGGTATTTTCGATATAATGATACACTCACCACTTTCTGATATTCTTTAACAAAATCAACAAATACGTGGTTAATTATTATAACATCCACATTAGTCACTGCAATTTGATTTATATTAATTTTTCACATTATTTATTGAGATATATGAATGTCATCGAGTGGACAGTGTACCATTAATAGCAGTCAACATTGAATTTTTTCATAATGATTTTAATTAATAGTTTTTGAATATTTTTTGTAACCCATGAAGAACACTTATACTCATTTTTATGGTTTACGTTTCCATGAATTATGTAATCTAGAACTTTGAGTGAATTTCATTTAAAATATTAAAATGAAGACGAAATTTGTGAAAATTGTTTTGAAGATATGAAAATTTTATTTATTGGAAAGAAAATGAATTACATTTCATACGCTTGCATTTGATGTTTGATGAAGAGAATCTATAAAAACACAATTTTGAAAAATTATATAAATTGTATAAAATTATGCCTGCATCTGGCAAGTTCGCACGGCGTAACTACACATACTGTGGCAAGAGCCTCGATGACTTCCATGCTACGTAGCTTAAGGATTTTGTTGAGTTCCTCCCAACAAAGCGCCAGCGTTTCATCTCCCGCTCATTCGATCTTAAGCACGTTCATCTTATCGAGAAGCTGAAGAAGGCTCGTCAGGCTGTTGAGGGCCAGGCAGACGTTCATCCACCAGTTGTCAAGACACACCTCCGCTATATGGTTGTCCTTCCAGAATTTGTTGATATAGATATCGGCATCTATGTTGGCCACGTTTTCTTCAAAGTTCAAATCAAGCCAGAAATGATTGGCCACGTTCTTGCTGATATCACTCCATCCAAAGAGGGTTATCAAGCACTCTAAGGCTGGTGTCGGCATAACATGCTCATCCTCTGCAATATACCTCAATAAAAAGTACGGAATCGTTAAGACATTTTCAATTGATTTCAGTTTTAAATATACTACTCTAATTAAATTGATTATTACAAAAATTCAATTGATAAATTTTGAGTTACTCATCTTAAATCATCAAATGAATTACTTAATGGTTCGAAATTTAAAATATACAGCTTATTGGTTTTCTTACTCGCTTATTGCCAGATTCTGATGATCCCATTAAAATCAGATGAGTATGAAAAAGAAGTGTCTTATGTAAGAACATTATTTTTTGCACCATGTGAAATAAGAAGTTCGGCTATTTCTTTACGATTATTTTTGGCTGCATAATGAAGAGCAGTTTGCCCATTATTATCCTTTTCATTGATTTTTGCACCATGTGAAATGAGAAGTTCGGCTGTTTCTTTACTATTATAATATGCTGCAATATGAAGAGCTGTTTTTCCATCATTATCTATTTCATTGATTTTTGCACCATGTGAAATTAGAAACTCCGCTGTTTGTTTACGATTATAAATTGCTGTATTATGAAGAGCTGTTTTTCCACCATTATCTATTTCATTGATATTTGCACCATGTGAAAGAAGAAGTTCGACAGTTTCTTTAGTATTACAATATGCTGCATAATGAAGAGCGGTAGCTCCATTATTATATTTTTCATTGATTTTTGCACCATGAGAAAGGAGAAGTTCGGCTATTTCTTTACGATTATAATATGCTGCAATATGAATAGCGGTTTCTCCAGACTTATATTTTTCATTGATTTTTGCACCATGAGAAAGGAGAAGTTCGGCTATTTCTTTACGATTATAATATGCTGCAATATGAATAGCGGTTTCTCCAGACTTATTTTTTTCATTGATTTTTGCACCATGTGAAATTAGAAACTCCGCTGTTTGTTTACGATTATAAATTGCTGTATTATGAAGAGCTGTTTGCCTATCATAATCTATTTCATTGATATTTGCACCATGTGAAAGAAGAAGTTCGGCAGTTTCTTTAGTATTACCATATGCTGCTCTATGAAGAGCGGTAGCTCCATTATTATCTTTTTCATTGATTTTTGCACCAAATGCAATAAGAAGTTCGGCTAATTCTTTATTATTTTCCCTTGCTGCATTATGAAGTACTGTGCTATTGTAACAATTTTTTGTATTTATATGTGCACCATGTGAAAGGAAATATTCACAAAGGGATTTTATATCAAATATCGTAGAATAAAAAAAGCATTTATCAATATCATTTGTTTGATCGAAATAAACCAAAAAGGAATCTAGAATTTTATATTTTCCGCAATATTCTAAATCGATATTTAAATTGTATTCATTCATTAAGAATGAAACAAAATCAATGTTGTGTGAGATAATTGCATATTCCATACATTTTTTATCTGGTTTTTGATATTTCAAACATTCACTCATAATCTCTGGATTTCCTCCTAAAAATGAAAGCTCTAAGCATGTTTGAGTGATTTCTGAATGAAATTTTGTTCTTAGGAGTTTGAAACAATCAACTGATCCATGATAACAACATAATTCAAGTAATGAATATCCATAATAAGAATATGGATATAATCTGCTTTTAAGTTTTTGATTTCCATCAAATCCTTCTCCTTCTGTAAATGCAATAAATGCTTCTAAGTCATAATACATAATTGCTCTGTAAATTGTATTTTCTGCATGAATATCGAGGTTTCCTGTTTTAAAATTTTCGAAATCAGCAAAGACGCCCAATTTAATTCCATATTCTTTATAAAACAAGAAGTCTGAAACGTTTTCAACTCTTATGACCTCTTTCACATGATATTCGTCAGTAATGAGTTTGGCAAGAGATAAATATGACTTTGTATAGCGATTATTATACGGAATGATATTTAAAATATCTGCAGTTATGCGTTGTGGAAGATGCTTCTTTGAATCAATCAATTCTGCTTTGATTAATTTGTAAATTGAGTTTAATTCTTCTTCATTTTCCGTTTTTAACCGATACAGCGCAGTATACAAATCGATGTAGTTTTTATAGGTACTCCGCAATTCGCTGTATTTATTTGGGGGAACGTCTAGCTCAGACATCAATAATTTTTAAAAAGGAGATAAACTATTTTATCATTAAAAATATTTTTGAATTTCATTAAAAGATAAAAATCTATGTTGTAAATGCAAAAAACAATGATCACAAAGATTTAGGAAATAAATTACGAATTTGAATTAGGCTCATATTTATTAAATGACACAGTAACAATAGTAAAGTCTAATGCAATAAGATATTCATGCTAAAATATATTTTATCAAGTAAATTTTAAATTTTTCCAAACACAGTTTCCTGAAAAGGACTGTCTCTGGTACTATGAAGGGCATCCATTTTAATGAATTGAGTGAAAGCCTTGATCGGAAATGAAAAAATTGAAAAGTCATATCTTTTCTTCTTTCACCATAAAATACACGATTCTATATTATCCATGTGGAAAACAATAAAACAACTATTTGATTATTTGAATCAAACAAGACAATGCACTTCTGCTTTGGATTTCCGACTCTATCAATTAAAATTTCCTGACATTTAGAGGACATCTGCAAAATATTCGCGATATTGACGAGAAAGGCATAGTCTGAACTCTGAATCGTCTCGATTTTGCCGATAACCTGCGAAAGAGACTTATCTGCGTGAAAATAAATCATTGCAGTGGCCCAACTGATGGCAACAAGCGAGGGATTGTAGTCAAATAAATTACAAACTCAGTAAGTGAACTTGATGAAGTACATTTCCATGGCAAATTCGATTGTATGAACTGGTTGCACACTTTATATAATCAATTTACTTAAATATTAAAAATAACAAAAAAATTAAATCAAAAAATAAAAATTATTCTCCATCACTTTCATGTTCATCATCATCTTCAGAGGAATCAACTTTAGGAAGTTGTACTTTCTGATTTGGATCATATTTTCTTGATTCCGGACCTCTAAATACAACAGTTAAGTTTGGATTTGTTGATGGCAAGCTTTCGAGCTTAGCGTTGATCTCTTCTTCAGGTGCAATAGTTCCTATCATCTGGAGGATGGCCAATGACTGGTTTTTAGGCAAAGCCTGAAGAATAATATAAACTCCTGGAGTATAAGTCTTTGGTTTCTTATCCTTCTTGTTCTGGTCCTTATCTCCACCTTCTTCAAGCGATTGCTGGCCTTTTTGAGCATTAATTGTGACATTTAAGAGTGGATTTTGTGAAATATCAAGAGATCTAAGGGATCCGACCTTTCCGATGAAGTTTGCTATGGCACGACCACTTGCTTCACCGATCATGTTCTTGGATATGTCAAGAACTGTAAGAACAGTCGATTCTCCGAGCCCTTTTAGTAATGCTTGGCACATTTCATCGTCAATTGCGTTTTCTGCAAGGAAAAGTTTCTTGAGGCTGGAGCATCTTGCAACGGAACCACCAAGAAGTGATGCAAAGCGACGTCCGCCGACATGTAACATATTTCGAGATAAATTTAAGCGCTTTAGCTTATCTGAGGAAGGAATTGCGTTGGCAACATCTATGGCTGTTTGTCTCATGTTGCAGCCTGCAGCTTCAACGCGAGCAAGCAATTGGCAAGAAGATAAAACTTTTGCAAAGGAAACACCGATATTTTGGGCTCCAGTATTAGAAATATTGAGTGATTCTAATGATCGGTTTTCAGCGATACCTTCGAGAAGATCAGTGATGCCATTAGTACGGATATTTGGATTATTTGAGATGTTTAAAACGGAAATTGAATCAGATTGTGACATGAACTCGACTAACTTTGGAATGCAACCTTCATCGAGTGCGTTATCTGATAAATTAAGCAAAGAAATTGTTTTGACATTGATTAACATATCTACAATGACATTTAAGTCCCTACCAATCTTGTAGTGAGCAAGATTCGCGTTGAATTTGTTTCCTTGCAATATTGGCTTCATAACTGAAAGAGCTGGGATCGGAGGTTGCCTTGAAAAACAAACGTTTTGATATGCTTCCCAAAGGTCACCATTATCACTATCATCATTGTTGACTGGTGCAAAGTCATATACAACTTCAGTCTCTGTTGTTTTCTTCGGAGAAGAAAAATCGAAAGTCATGTAAAGAAATTCTTGGAAATAATCGTCAATAAATACGTTATTTCTTTCCCTATCGTTCTCTCTAATTGATTTTTTTTGCCCATGTCTGGGAACGATATGTCTGGGATTGGATTGTTCATATTTTTAATTTCCGGTCCAAAAAGTTAATCATTAGCTATTGATTAAAATATTGATAATATAAGATAGGGGATAGAACTTAAGTCTCTTTCTATCTTCACATTTGTTAATACGGTATGCTATATTGACTAATTGCGCTATTTTTTTTTTGATTTTGAAATTCAATGCCATTTTTCATTCTTTTGGAATTCGAATTATAAATGAAATGAGTAATTGATATTTCATTTCAAAGAATTAACTGACAAAAATATTTAATCGCCCATGCGATGTTCTTCAGATGGACAAATGTCAATTGTAATGGAAATATAGAATAAATATTCATATCAAGAAGATAAATTGAGAATGATTGATCCCATTTTGAATGTACATAATTCCAAATTTTTTAATGAAAATTATTTTCGGATTATTTGTGGTATTTATACGAAAATAAAAAGAAACATGCATTGATTTAGACTATAGTAATAAATTTTCTCATCAATTTTCCTTATAATAATAGAAACAGCTTCAACATAGACGATAAAATTGAATATCTATCAAAGTTTGATAATAAACGGTTATTTGCCTGTTCCATTCAATTTTAACAAAAGCTGGCAAACTCATATATATTTTAATCAATCAAAATAAAAAATAAATTTGAACATTATACTATTTTAAGCAAACATTTATTCTGTATTAATAATGCTTGCTTTTAAATAAAAGAATTTCATTTTTTTTTCAACATTTTTGAAATAAACCGTCACTCTGTTTATACTTTCAATGTTAATCAAATTTTTGGCAAAATGCAATCATAATTCGATTGAAAATAGAACGTTTCATTTAATCTATTTTTTTTTGAAATTTATTTTTGACTTTTCAGCAAAATGTACATGTTCTTTTCTTTCTTTGCGATATGCCTTTATGAAAACAATGGCAATGGAAAATGTAGAGTATACAATACTTATGAATACAATCAAAGTGAATGCTCGGAAATTGAAATTAACAATTTTCAACGAATTTCAAGTAATGCATTTAATGGACAGGAAAATTTATATGGTGTCACAATTATAAATGTTTATCAAATTCAAAAAAATGCATTTATAAATTGCCATAATTTATTTTACATTTCAATAAATACTCCAAATATTAATCTTGAAATAAATTCATTTTCATATTGTTCAAATTTAGAGAATTTATCAATATACTCAAAGAGCGAACTAATATTTGGTACAGAATATGATTCTTACCTAGATAAATGTAAAAAATTTTCAAACCTGGAATTAGTATCTGAAAGAAGACTTATAGTTGATGGAAGAACATTTGCATATATAAAAACTATTAAAAGTATAAAACTTCTATCACATGAATATTTAGCCATCGGAGATAAATTTTTTGAAAATCAAAAAAACCTGGTATTTCTCGATATTAATACAAATAGTTCGTTAAGCATTGGAACTAGCGCTTTTCAAGAATGCTCATGTCTTAAGAATCTTAATATAGAATGCAACGGAAGTGCTTATTTTTATTCTCAAGCTTTTTATAAATGCTCCAATTTAACTAACATTAAAATTAGAAGTACAGGTGATGGTTATTTTTCTAGTCCTTTCGAAATTTGTCATGAACTAGAAAATTTTAATATATATTGTGACGGAAATCTTAATATAAATACAATCTTTTATATGTGTCACAAATTAGAAAATGTTACTATCAAATGTAACGGGGATCTTACAATCGAACCACAATCAATTTTCCTTTGTAAAAATCTGAAAATTATTGATTTTGACTCAAATGGATCTATAATACTGAAAAGCAATGTTTATTATAAGAAAACTTCAATTCAATCTTGTGAAAATCTGGAGTTTGTTTATTTACATTCCAAAAAAACTCTTACAATTGAAAATAATTCATTTTCCAGCTTTCCTAAACTTTATTCAGTCAATCTGATATCTGAATCAAACATTAATTTATATGATTTTTCATTTAATTGCTCAAATTTAACATATCTTTCAATAGATGCGTCTGGATCAATATGTATTGGTAGATATGCATTTAACTCTAGCTATAATATTGAAGCCTTGTATATTTATTGTCCTGGATCACTTGAAATCCAACCAAACGCATTTTATAATTGTAATAATATTGATTCACTTAAATTGTTCTCTAATTCAGATATCATAATACAAAGTCAAGCTTTTAAATCATGTTCCTCCCTTGAAACAATTGATATTAAATCAGGAGGAATTATAATATTGTATGATCAAATTTTTATGCTTTGTAAAAGTACGAAACACGTTAATATTGAATCTGAAAAATCATTTGAATACGTAGCAAATTCAAATGCTTACACAAGCCAGTCTGTATTTAGATAGTGCGATAATTTGACTGATTTATCGATACATTCAAAAGGTAAAATAACAATACAAAAATATTTTGCATGCCTAATTTTAAATGAATTAAAGCTTAATATCACTTCAGAATCAGAAATTATAATATCCAATTATGCATTTTATCAGTGCCACAACCTTTCAACATTAATCATAAATTCACCTTCAAATATTAAAATCGGATCTGAAGCATTTAATTCAAACAAAATTGCAGAGCTTTCAATAGTAACGAATGGAGATATTTCGATTGGAAGCGATTCCTTTAAGAACTCAAAGAAATTGGCGGTGATTTATTTACAATCAGGTAGAAATTTGTATATTAGCTATTCTGTATTTGAAAATATAAAAAGTTTAGAAAGGATTGATATGCAATCCAAAGGATATTTAATTATTGATGATAAAGCATTCAAAAAAGCAGATGGTTTAAAAATTATTAATCTTCAATCAGGAGGAAATACATTGATAAGAACTTCTGCATTCTATGAATGCAGGATCATTTCTTCAGTCAATATTAATTCTAATGATCTTATAAACATATCAGACAAAGCCTTTTGTTATTGTGGAGAAAGCATGAATATAAATCTAACATCTAATAGTCATATTAATATCTTATCACAATCGTTCCAATTTTCAGATATTTATTCACTTTGCATTTCAGCCAATGGGAGATTGCATTTCTATCAATACAATAATAATGATCCAGATAATTTTGTAAATTCTCCATTTAAACAATGTAAACTCACTTCCATTGTTCTCCATTCTGGATCTGATTTGACAATCGATTCATTTGTTTTTTATAAACTCCCAAATCTTGAAACTGTCGAAATTAAAGCATTTGGTGAAATATATATCAGTTCCAAATCTTTTTATTCATGCATATATCTTACAAAAATTGATATTTCATGTAATAAATCTTTGCTAATTAAAGAATACGCATTTACTAACACCACACTCCTATCAACTTTAAATATGAATGTAAATGGATCAATTACGATTCGGAATTATGCTTTCCAAGATGCTGATAACATTGAAATATTAAATTTGATTTGCTCAGGTGGAGTATCAATTCTGGAAAATGCGTTTAATTCAATTGATAATTTATTATCATTAAATATAGAATGCAATTCGAATATTATACTCAATTCCAATTCTTTTTCTTTATGCCCAAATCTAACTACTTTAACCATTCATAGTAATTCATCAGTTGAACTTTCATCAGCATCTTTTTATAAGTGTTCAGCGCTTGAAACTATAACAATAAATAGTGGTGGAAACGTTAATATCAATAGTAATTCATTTGAAGATTGTGGAAAACTCAAATTTGCAAACTGTAAATCTGATGGTTCAATGACTATTTCTTCTGCATTTATTAAATGCTATAGTTTGGAATCAATTAAATTTTGTTCAAAAATGAAATTACAATTAAATGCAAGAGTTTTTGAGAGCATTTCATCATTATATTCAGTTGATATAAAATCAGAATCAATAGTTGAATTCAGTATGAATTTATTTAAAAATTGTTTTAACCTGACAGATTTAAGAATTTCTGCTGGTTATTTAACAATTCCAGATCAGTGTTTTTATTCTTGTTATAATATTCGATCATTTAAAGTTCATTCAACTTGCAAAAATATTAAAACAATGGCTTTTTATAACTGCACAAGTCTAATTAATTTCGAATTTGATGATTCTAATTCAGCAATCTCAATAGATTCTAATTCATTCCAAAATACAAATGCCATTAATATTTATATAGGACGTGATATTGAATATGCATCAAACTTACCATGGGAAAATTCAGCAATATCGATCAAATTTGACTATAATTCAACTATTAAATCAATTGGATTCAATAAATGGAAGAATCTTGTTCAAATATATATTGGATCAAAGATATTAAAAATTGAAGATTTGACATTTAGTTCAGCCTCAAATTTGAAAACACTCATATTCGAAGAAACAATGACACCAATAGAAATTAGCATGAACACATTCAAAACGAGTTTGAATATTGAAACATTAGTTATTCATCGTCCATTAAATTTGGAATATATTCCAAATGGTCATAAATTCAGAAATATTTCATTTTCAAATGTTGGTGATGTCTTAAGCAGTATGTTCTTTAATTCAGAAAATTTATCATATGTGGCTTTAGGCAAAGGAATTACTTCAATTGGAAACCGTTGTTTTTACTCAACTAGTATCATAGAAATAAATTTAATTGGTTGTTTGGACCTCAAATCAATTGGGAGTGAGGCATTCAAATCATGCCAATTACTTGAGAGAGTTAGGTTGTATCCATCTGTAGAAAGATTAGGTGAATCATGTTTCGAAGACTGTCCCTCATTAAAATATATTCCTCTTCCGAAAAAAATGTCATTCATAGGTGAGAAATGTTTTGCATCTTGTTACAGATTGCGTGATATCATAATTCCTCCACAATTAGAAATCATAAATCCTTCAACTTTTATGTCTACAGCTATTGAGAGAATTAAGTTAGACTATGGAGTATTTGTTAATAAAGATGCATTTAAGAATTGTACAAATCTTAAAACAGTTGAAATATTCGATCATTGTACACTTTATATTGCATCATTCAGTCTTTGCAATGCAATTGAACATGTCGTTTTCTATGAATATGTAACAATATATGAAGGAGCTTTCGATAAAATTAAAAATGTTTCATATTATGGTCTTGTTGATTATTGGAGTGATGACACATATAATCAGCTTCATGCGTTAAATATAAAAACAATTAATATCATTCCAGAATATGTATCCACAAAATATGCCGATATTCCTGTGAGATTCGTTAATTTTTCAAATAATTATTATCAACAATATAATCCAAATGATTCTGATATTCAAGAACTTCCGATATCAGTTCCAAATCCAGGAATACCATTCTATCGACAATACAGGAGACTAAATGTAAAAAGAAGAAGGTAAATCGTCGTGAAATAAAAATTTCATTTCCTTTTTAATTATAATCATGCAGATGCATTTTTATCTGCTTAATTTTCTCAAATTTGGAAATATTGAATATATCACATATTTAAAATTTATTGGAAACTGCAATGTATATTTATACTCTTCTAACTTTGCAAATGTTATCATATTCCTTAAAGATGTCCTTTTGGAAATCAATCAATTCTATAACTGTATCTCCTGTTTTTGAATCTAAACTTATATTAGATATGCAATGTTTAACGGATTTACTTCCATTTATCGCAATTATGGAAAGTATCTGAGCAGCAAGAACATCATTATTATTGTAAATTTTGAAATAAGTTTTTTTGAGATCTTCAGACATAGTAGGAATAAAACGAGGTAATGTTAAGTGCTCTGTATCCTTAGAAGCATAGTGGACAGCACCTTCATCGCATGAATGTGGGGGTGAGTAATAGTTTGTTGACTTTATCTTTTCTATGAATTGTTCTAATGTATCTGTATTCATCTAAATTATCAACAAGAAGTTTGTTGAAATAAGCCAATGATCCTGCATCTAATACAGAATGGCAACAAAAATGTAAAACAGAATCTTCAGATGCAGCAATTGATGCTAATGCTTATATTTGGTTGTCTCATTCAATGTATTTTTCAATTTTTTTTATCTTAGACTATTATGTATGAGCATAATGATTTGTTATATTAATTACATATCAATGAATGACTTTAATAATGCAGATATGCAGCTGATATTTCAAAATATAGAATAATGTCAAGATGTTTCTATTTAATTAGTGCCATTAGCATTTTCATTTATAAAAATAGATAATACCTGCCTTTGACTAAAGAACAACAATTGAATAATATCTTTTTAAAGATTTGATAGAAAGTAAGTTTAGTAGTGATCACACATTTGTGTATAATGATTCATTTATGTTCGCATGAAATGTTTACCCTAGAGCGGTTTATTCCATTAATTTTTTTAAACTTTGCAAATTGCCGAATCAAATGTCAGATTGATGAATAATTTTTACAAAGTATACAGATTACTTCTAGTAAATCTCTCAAAATCCATCAAGATAACCAAATTAGTGGAAAAATCGGTAACTTCTTCATTTATTTTCCACACAACTTTGGTAAAATTTTTAGCGTATTATAATAACTTGAATTCGTAAAGAAAGGTTAAGAAAAACTTAACTTTCCAATTCTAAATTTTTCAGTTAAAATTACCACCAATTTTGAATTGATAATTTTTTGTATGGTTAATTAATTAATTTCAACATCTTACTAATTTTTGATCTCTTATTTAAAATTTAGGAAAGTTCTTGGAATATAATTTTGACAGAAAATTTTGATTCAAAGAAAAATGAATTCTGCCATTGACATTAAATTTCACGCTATGATTATAGAACTTACCCTCGATTACGAGTATATTGGAGCTCACATTAATGAATATATTGAAGCAGAAAACCTGTTTGATGTATTTTATTTTGAAGATCTCGAAATGATCTTCAAATATGTAAACATGACTCCAGAAATTTACAATTCTATTCATAAGTTAGCAAATGGTAAATTTGATATATCTAAATTATTCAAAAAATCAAGCTGTACTGCAAAAAATCTTCAGGACGTAATTTCAACACTCGAAATCATCAAAGAAAACATGAATGTTAATTTGTTAAATGATTCAATCATTGTTTTAAAGAATTTAAACGTATTTCTTTCAGATCCTTCAATTCTTGAAAACTCAGATGAACGAATTAGAACTGGAATTCTTGGAAATATTGACGAACAGGAACGAACACGAATAAATGAATATTTAACACTAAGAGCCAATAATAAAGAAAAAGATTTGAAAATTGCACAGCTAACAGAAATGAATAACAAAACGACGGAATATCTCAAAATAATTTCAGAGTATGATTTCTACACAGATTTTGATACAGTTTATAATCTTTTTAAAGAATTAATAGAAAAAGATAATACAGTTATTCTTAAAATTGCAATAAATGGAGGACTTACAGAACACAGAGGCCCTGGTAATTGAACTATTCTTCATGAAGCTTGCAAAAATGGAGAAATCAAACTTGTAAAATATTTATTTGATTATGGAGATGATATTGAAAAAAGAGATGATCGTGGGTGGAGACCGATTCATTTCGCATCAAGCAATGGACATATAGATATTGTTAATTTTCTTATTGCACGCGGAGTTAATATAGAAGCAAAGGATATATTTGGAAATTTCCCTCTTTTACTTGCTTCAGAGAACGGACACATTGATGTAGTAAATGAACTTATTTCTTCTTGGGTTAGGATTAATGAAAGAAATAAAGATGGTATTACTGCATTGCATTATGCATCAATTAAAGGAAATCTTGAAATAGTTAAAATTCTTATTGCAGAAGCAGCGATAATTGATAATACCGATAATTTTAGATATACACCACTCCATTATGCAATGATGAATGGACATTCTGAAGTTGTAAAATATCTTTTATCCGTTGGAGCTAATAGAGAAATTAAAAATATGTATGGTCGCCGTCCAGTAGATTATGCTCCAATCGGCCTTTGTTTTTAAATATGATTTGTTGATTAAATTATTATGTTTATTTACAAAATGAATACATTTTATTGTAATTTCCTCATTAATAGTATAATCAACTGGTTTTTTGTGCATTATCTTTTTGTAATATTGATATATATATGCGCCATGTGAAAGTAGCAGTTTAAATTAAAAATGTATACATTATCTTTTTATTCACATCAAGATAAATGGAGTTATTAGCGTAATTGTAGTGGTAAAACCTGATCTTGAATGAGCAATAGATTGACAAATATAATTACAATCTGTTCTAAATGATGATCTTGATATTTTATGTGCTTTAAATAAAAGAATAGTAGCAGTTGGACAGGTAATTGCACCACAATTATTAAGCAACGGACAACCTTCAAAAGCTTTGCTTCCAATAGAAGAAACATGTGTATTTGTGCCAAGAAAGATATATGAAAGCTTCGAACATCCATAAAAGGCCATGTAATCAATTATATCAATATTTCTTCCGCTAAATATAACTTTTACTAAATTAGTACACGCATAGAAAGAATAAGAACCTATTTTTTCCATAGCTGCTTGAACAACAAATGTTTGAATATTACTACTAGGAATAAATGTAATTACTTTGGTTTCATTGTAGTAAGTTAAAGCTCCATTGCTGAACTTATATTGCTTATCATTAGGATCCAACTTGATAGACTGCAATAATGGACAGTCAGCAAAAGTACCTCCATTTATTTCACTTATCTTGCTATTCAGCGATAATGTAACTATTTTTAATGATGTGCAGCCCATGAATGCATAGAATCTAATCAACTTAATGCTTGCAGGAATCGTAAATAACGCTAACGAAACACAATCTCTGAAAGCAGATTCAAAAATAGTAGTTGTTCCTTCATTTAACGTTAAGGAAGTCAACATAGTGCAGTTCTTAAAGCATTCTTCCGAAATTGATTCTGCAAAGATATTCACTTCTGCAATATTACTATTTGTAAATGCACCATAACCCAAAGTAATTTTGTTTGATGAAATGAAAGTTGTAACTCCTGAATTCATAAAGCAATAATTTTCAATATTTGACACTTGTGTTCCACTTAATCCAATATCGCTTATGCTATAGCAGTTGAGGAATGCATTTGCTTTTATTGTTGTTATCGAACTTGGCAATGTCAAAATTTGTAAGTTTTTGCAATCCTTAAAACAATTTTCAGGGATTACTGTTAATGGACATGAGTTCGAAAATGATATTGAAGTCAGGGATTGGCAATTTTCAAAGCAAGATGCACCTAAATTATTCAAACTGTCAGGAAGGGAAATAGTTTGAATGGTTGATTGAGAAAAACATTCCTCACCAATCCGGCTTAACAAGTTTCCTTGGAATTTAATTGTTTTAAGATTTTTATTCATGAATGTTCTAGCTCCAATTGTTGTTGCTTCTGGAGGCGCCGTTATTTCCAGATTAATATCATTTCCGAAGAATTCAATAATGCTTGTTTTTCTATTTGATAGTAGCATTTGACTATAGTAATTAAAGTTTGTATTCTGATTAGAATCAATATCAAGCTTTTTACACCCATAGAAAACAGATTCTCCAATATTGGTAAGAGTTGAAGGAAATACAATTTTAGTAAGAGAAATGCAATTATAAAAGGCATTATTGTAAATTGTTGTTGTTGAATTAGATAAAGTAATACTTTGCAACTGTTGGCATTCTTTAAATATACTATCTTCGACAATCACTACTTTTTCTGGAAGAACAACATTAACAAGATTTGATTCTGAGAAACAATATGGTCCAATTGAGGAAACACTTTCGTGAAAAGTAATACCGGATAATCTACAATTACTAAAGCAAGCAACACCAATTTTATTAACAAAACTTGGAACTAAATAATTGCCTGTATACTTAGAAGTAACGTAAATTAAAGTATCATTATTTGTTCCACTAAAAATTGATAATCCATCTGATTTAAAGTTGGGATTCTCAGAATCAATTATTATTTCATCTAGGAAAACTTTGTGCAAACATGTGCCTGATAATTCAGTTACCTTTTTTGGAATGAAAATAGATGTTATTTTAGAACCAGCAAATGCTTCCGATCCAATTATTTCTAATTGAGATTCAGGATTAATTGTAATGGAGGAAAGAGATCCAGAGAATGCCCCTCCATCTTGAGAAGACCATTCATATATCTTCACTACGGAATTCGGCAAAGAAATTGACTTCAAGCCACACCATCCAAAACATCCGCTCCCGATTTCCCTCAGGTTCGGGGGAAGAGTTATTGATTGCAGTTTTAGACATAGTCTAAATACAGAATTATTCAGATATGTCAATAAGGTGCAATATTGCATATCAACCGTTTCTAAAGCGGATTGAAAGAAACAGTAACTACAAATATTTTGGACTTTAGCTTCAGGGAAAAATGATAAAGATCTAATGTTATCTTTGCATTTGGAGAATGGTCCACCAACATCGCCTGACGTGGTCCCAATTGTAATAACTTCTTTTGGAATAACAAGATCTCCGCTAAAATCATCAGGTGCACGGATGAGAACAGTTCCATCTTCACTATACTCAATACCATTTTGAACACATAGTATAAAAAGTATCAATTAATCAATAAAAATACATTAAAAAAAAGGTTAGATTTTTTATATTTACCGTGTAAATCTTTGAATTTATCTCAATTTTTGATAAAAAACGGGTAATATATTTATTGAGGCAATTACAGTCCTTGAAATTCTTAAAGAATTGTGCGCAAGAACATACTTTCTGGCGAATAAAAATTTATAGATAATAAAGTGATTTTTACTTAAAATTATGAATAATATTTCAAATTATGGGAAAGAACAGATCTTTATTAAGGATAAACTATATAGCAGTTAACACGTAGTAATATTTCCAATTAGATTATCTAATAGGTTAAAAAGAGGCTGATAAAGAAACGGAAATTCAGGTTCTAAATGGAGAAATACCTTATTGTGCTAGATAGCATAAATAACAAACAGTTTAATGATAGCATCAAGGTATAATTAATGCAATATGCTTATCTGATTAAGAAACAATCAATTAGGTGAAATTTAAAGGGAAACATAAAGTAATGAGCTACACATAGGTTACATAGCAGAAACAACTAACAAACGGATGATAACTTCATTATTTTAACATGATTACATCAATAATTCTATAATTTTTCCAATATTAATAGAAAATATTTAAGATATAACAAGCAAATATCACAAAATTATCATTATAATTGACAAATATCCAAATTCGATATAAAAAATTGATAAAAAAGTGACACCATTGTTATTTTTATGGAAAAAGTTCGGCATTCAGCTAGAAATTTCCATGAACAAAAAGGAAAATTTGTTATTTTTTCTGCTTTCGGTAAAGTGAAAAAGACTTTCGGGTCAAAAGACGTAGTTATTGTTCTTCATGACGGTGGAGCAGCATTATGGGATAAAAAATGCGAAAATGGACCGTTTTTATATGGCTCATGGATTACCCTACAGTCATTAAATATAGATAATGATAAAATAACTCTTTCTTTCAGAAATAAAGATTCTGATCCAACTGTTTTAGAATTCGAGACAACAGATTCTAAATTTGCTTTTGGAGCTATTGGTGATATTTTACAGCATGTTCTTTACGGATTTGAACAAGAATCTCTCAAATTATCCAAATTTAAGTTTTCTCCATCGCGTCCGACAACGATGTCAATAATGTCCCGATTAATTGAACGTGCAGAGACCGAAAAAATGAAAATAACTGGTGATCAAATCGATAAAATTGAAGATATTTTTGAAATTTCCAGACCTGCGTTTAATCTATCGGATATACCAGATGTGCAAAATATCCTTATCGCTGTATTCGATATCATACCGATGACTAGCTTCATTAGAGAGTTAATAATTCCAAATCTCGATTTTCCAACTCAATATAGGATATTATCGATTCTCCTTCAACAGGCACCATCTATATATCACTTAACATTTACTGGCGAAGCAAATAATCGAATAGAATTCTTTGAATCTTTAAATCCAAATTCCATAAATTTGACTTCACTTTCATTCATAGATACGAACATAAAAATACCAGAACTTAATAAACTCTCAACGATCAACTCTACGGCCAATTTTAACTATATTTCGTTCCAAAACGCATTATCAGCCGAAGCCTTGGATTTTTTATACAACGGATACCTCTCGGCATCTTTGCCAAACCTAATTTCCTTAAATCTTGACAATACAAAGAATCTTTCCTTTGATAAAATTGCAAATCAAATTTCGAAGCTGAAAATGCTCTCAGTTGCCAATTGTAACATAGAAATCGGATCTGCGTTGGATCTATTAACTACAAATGCTCCAGAATTGAGATTTTTGAACATGTCATCAAATTCATGCGAAAACATAAAGAAGAAACTTAAATTACCACCAAAATTATCATTTATGTCATTTGGCGATGTTAGTTGGAAGCCAGGAACTCTTGTTTCTCTTCTAAAAATTATTTTTGAAGAAATTCCAGATAATTCGAAATTAGATCTCTCAGATGCCCATGTAGATGATGAAGAATGGCCATCCGTATTTAACTTCCTTGCAAAACAGAATGGAATGAGACTTCAGAATTTTTATTGGAGTAATAACAAGATTTCTCCTGAACTATGCACTTTCTTTGACAACTTCCCTAATCTAGTTGTTCTCTACATGTCAGGAGTCCTCTCCGAGTCATCTTTAGAGCTAGTTAACCAGTTTTCTGTTTCATTACAGAAAATGACCAACTTAAAGACCCTCAAACTCACCGGAACAGACACAGTATTCCTTGGAACCCAAGGTTTGGCCTCTATTTCGAAGGCTTTTGCTTCATTAACAAATCTTGAGTATTTAGACTTATCCGGGAACAAAATCCGAGACGAGGGATTCTCTACGCTCAGCAATACCCTTTCGAAATGCACGAACATGAAGACATTCGTTTGTGACAACAACGATTTGGAAAATCCAGAGTCACTTGTCAACTTTTGCAAACTTTATCCATATCCATACAGTTTCCCATTGAACGACATCAACAAATTCGAGTCTATTAAGAAGATCCACAACTCACAAGTTAATGAAGTTTGCAAAAGCAACAGAACCAATGCATCCCGCATGAATTTCCTTAGTCTTCTCCAATCAGATGCCGACATTAATTCTAAATATCCTAAACCGGCTAAGAATCCTCTTGATTCTCCTTCTAATGTCTATTATTATGAATTTTGTTCACCATTTCCTAACTCAATTAGCAAAGAATTTGGTGAATACATTAATTCACTTGGAAATCCCACTAAAACACCATATCCAAACAAACAAGATTCCGAAGAAAATTTTGTTCATCAAAAGCCACGACGAAAGATTGTTTCAGATACAGAAGATGATGATGATGACGAAGCTGAAAAGAATCCAGAGTCAGATTCATCCGAAACACAATCATCTAAGAAACAAGAGTTCAAACTTCGCAGCAACTGGGGCAAATCTATTACATTTGATGACAGCGACACATTTGTTCCAAAACCACGTCCAGAAGGAGAAAAGCGGCGTCGCCTTTATTCAGATGCAGGTGACAAACCTTTTAAATGTCCTATTCCTAAGATTCCACGTCCAGCTAAAGAATCGGTCCATGCATCTAAGAAACGGACGAAACATCCAGATATTTCAGACGATTCAGACTCTATTCAGTCACCAGAAAAAGAAGATCAAATGATCAATGTCGTCAAACCTAAAGTTAAACAAGTTATTGTTCCATCTCTTGACGGCTTCAGCAGCTCTAACGAGTCTACAGTTACAAGTGAAGACGAAGAAGACGAAACATTCGAACCTAAAGAAGCAGACTGGTCATTCCCTCTTCGATACGTCCCTCCTCCTCAAGACACAGAGAAGATCGTTCGAAATCTTGGCGATAAATACAGTCTTGGATCATTATTGACAGCTGTTAAGAGAAGCTGATTTATTTTATATATTTATTTGTTTGTAAATTTATTTATTTATCTATATAAACTATCAATTATATTTTAAAGATCCAAATCTAATTATTGATTCGAAATCGATATCATATTTATCTATATAAACTATCAATTATATTTTAAAGGTCCAAAGTTTGTATGGCAATCATCATTTCTAATTATATTTATCTTTTTACAAATGTGATGGCTGGTAAAAATGGAACAAAAGTGTGATTCTCAGGTTTATGATTATTTAAATTAATGTTTTAAATGAACTTATATTCATATCTAAACAAGATTAATAGCACAATTACACCCATATTTAAATTCAAATTTCTGACAACAAACATGAAGCGCTATGCCATACTGGCGTAAGTACACACTAAAATTTACACTTTTCGGACGTGTTTTCAGGGGCGCGAAGCGACCCAAAAATGTCGGAAAAGTGTAATTCTCAGGTATATGATTATTTTTGCTTTTAATGCCGAACAGCATTTGAATCAAAAACAATCGTATATCCGAGAATTTTTGTTTCAAAGCACGAATAAATATGTCAAATTTTAGGAAACTACGATAAATATTATTTGGTCAAGAAACATCCCTATTTACAATATCTTAACAAAAGTTTAATCTTTTGTTGTAATTATTTAAATTACAAATTTATGTCAAACAAAAAATTTTCAAAAATTTTGACATTTTTTATGAAAATGTTTTTCATTTCTTCCTTATTCAAATCAATTATCGAATACATTTATCAACTGTTCTATTTCGTGAGGTCATTCATATACGTACAATGGTATCATAGATACATTCATTATAACGTTAGTTTATCAAAATATTTTATTCTTGAAAGATCATATAATAAAAATAACGACATAGTTCTGGAATTCAAACTTATTATTCCACAAGATGTCTTAGACTTTCTAGAACGTATTGAAACTCCAAAAGGTATATATTTTAAGGGACTTGATGTTTTCTATCTAAGTCATTTTCTTCCATTTACAAGAGGAATTAAACTCAGTCCAGAAGACTTTGATAATGTTGCTAAACGTGCCATTGGGATTATTCTTGAAGACTATAAATATTACGAACATTGCTTTTCCCCTGATAGAATGCGGGACTTTTGTTTTGTATGTCGGACAATAATTTTAGAATACTTGTTGAAAGATGAAAAGACACCAAAAAGTGTGATTTCATTCATTCGAAGCATATCAAAAACAGCAAAAACCACAAATGATTTTATAATTTATTTCTTGAATCCTGATATAGACGACTCTAAACATATTGATCTTCATAAATATCGTTATTTAAAACTCGACGAGTACAATCCAGTGAAAGAATACCTCGAATGTCATGATAAAGGAATGAAATTTATTGAGTGCCGAGACTATTATCTTGGAATCTTCGACCATTAATAGTTATAATCTTATATTATTTGATATTTTCATAATAAGTTATTAGAAAAATAACATGTCAAAAGATTTGGTATATAAATATCAATCTTTTATTTATGCTTACAGATTATAGTATATGACAAATCTATGTCACTTTATTATTTATTCTTGCTTTAGATTTATTAAAAGAAAGCAAATAAACTAGATTAACAACTGCCTTTATAATTACAAATTTTGTTATATTAGAAATAATCATTCATCATTGTTTACTAAAATTCTGTAAAATACTAATGTTTTCTGTTATCATATAATAAGTTAAGAATTACATTTTTTCTGTTATAATTAGAAATTAAGCACATTGATATTATCTTTATTTAAATAAATATTTTAAAAAAACAAGCTTGAGGGCGCACTTACGCACATCAGACTTTAACTCAAATTTCTGACAACTGGAATGAAGCATCATTAAAAATTAACATTGAACAGCAGAATTCACATTCCATGTTATACAGATATAAGTTTCAAAACACAAATAAAAATAGCAAACTCTCGGAAAGTACGATAAATATTATTTGGTCAAGAAATGTCCCTATTTACAATATCTTAACAAAAGTTTAATCGTTTGACATTTTTAATGAGAATATTTTTCTTTTCGTCTTTATTCAAATCAAATATAGAATACATTGTTCAAATATTCTATTTTGTGAGATCATTCATATACGTAAAATGGTATCATAGACACTTTCATTATAACGTTAGTTTATCAAAATATTTTGTTATTGAAAGATCATTAAATCAAAATAACAATGTTGTGCTGAAATTCAAACTCGAGATTCCACAAGATGTCTTAAACTTTTTAGAAAGCTTTGAAACTCCAAACGGCACACATTTTAAGGGACTTTACGTTTTCTTTCTAAGTCATTTTCTTCCATTTACAAGAGGAATCAAACTTAGTCCAGAAGACCTTGACAATGTTGCTAAACGTGCTATTGGAATTATTCTTGAAAATTATAAATATTACGAACATCGCTTTTCTCCTAATAGAATGCGGGACTTTTGTATTGTATGTCGGACAATAATTTTAGAATACTTGTTAAAAGATGAAAAGACACCAAAAAGTGTGATTTCATTCATTCGAAGCATATCAAAAACAGCAAAAACCACAAATGATTTTATAATTTATTTCTCGAATCCAGATATCAACGACTCTAAACATATTGATCTTCATAAATATCGTTATTTAAAACTCGACGAGTACAATCCAGTGAAAGAATACCTCGAATGTCATGATAAAGGAATGAAATTTATTGAGTGCCACGACTATTATCGTGGAGACTTTGAACGTTTCTATTAAAAACTAATTTTCATGAATATTTAGGGATGTCTATAGTCATTGGGGGTGTTTTTAAAATAAGGCTATAAATTTATACTTATTGTAAGAGCGTTTAATGTCCTGCAGCATGCTTCCTAATTTCCCTGATTTTCGTCAGTCAATTCTGTTTTCAGTTTAAATCTCAAATTATTTATGTTAAAACGGGTAATTTACCTTGGTTAATAGTTGATATTTTGATACAGAAATCAACTATTCAGATATATGGATAAATATTAATCCAGTTAATGGAAATCTCAAATCCCATCGAAATTAATTTGTTGAATCCTACGATCATTGAGACTCCATGGGACATTTAATAGTATAATCGAGTTACAATTCACTGAATTTTCATCAAATAATTTTGACTAAATTACATATCGTTTTTATTGCCCAGATTTTTTTATTCTATTGCATAAGTAGTCTAAGTTTTAGGTATGATTTAACAAGAAAACCAATGCTAAAAATGTTTAATCAAAGAACCATTATTGATGTCAATAATTATTGGATGATTTAAACTAAATACTTAATGATGAATTATCTTATCAACATAATCAATACAATAGCAAGTCACAGACTATGGTGCCTCGAAAAGTTTGTTAGTTTATTTAAAAGAATTCAAGAAATTTATGAAATTTCGAATGATTTAAATTTTTCATGCTTCGAATTGAAGAATATTCTTATCAAATGCAATATTATTACACAAGAGCTTTCCTATGATTATGAAAAGAAAACAACAGACGAAATGTATCAAATTTTCCAAAAAATACGATTGCTCATGCTTTATTTTGGGATGATATACAAGAATTTCAGCATTTTTCTGGAACAGATGATTTTAACTTCAATCAATCTGTTAATTTTGAATTTTTGATTGATATGGCCGCAAAATACGGGATTGTCAAATATTTTAAGTTGATATATCTTAATAATGCAAAGTTATCTATTCATACTCTTGAAAAATCATTCATTGGCAATAAGTTCGAAATTATAAATATTTGCGAACAATCTTTTTCTCCAAATCGACATTGTATAGAGAATTGCGTGAAGTGGTACAGAAATGACAGCTTGCAGTATCTGAAATCTAAATATGACTTAGATTTTTCGTTTTTAGTTTCATTATCTTCTTATAACTTTTTAATTTTCGATCAAATGCTGAACGAAGTAAATGATATTGAGTATTTAGATTGTACTGGAAGAACTGCATTTAGCTCAGCTGTTGAATTCGGTTTCCTTCCAATTGATGAATACCTTTTCGACAAAAATCCTCAAATCAACAAAATTGGATAATTCTTAAGTCTTTTCTTTATTTCTTCAAAATAATTAAATAAACAGCGTATAGTTCATTTGGAAATTGTTGAGGCATCGTTACTCGAAATTATTTTAACTCTTCCAAGTATAGATCAATCTCAAATAATTGATTTGTTTTATTGCAACAATAAATTGGTATAGAATCTGTCACAATAGTTATTCATTGTATATAATAAAATGCTTAGATACATGTCATGCAAATAACAAAAGAACAAAAACTTCATGTGCATACTATTTAATTCTGATATGTATAAACTTTGATGTAATGTTGAGGTACCTTTTTATCTTAATATGAATAGTTTCAAAGGAAATTTCATATAGTAGCATGTATATATAATTGAATTAAAGCACTTTAATGATCCAAAATTCAGGTGCAATACAAATATAACTTCATGAAATTAATGAAGTAATGAAGCGCTCACCATGTCAAATTTTTCGTATATGCAAAACTTTTGGTAAACTTAAAACTAGAATCTGGAATAATCTATTAACATGGAAAATCTTTATATTTTTTATTGGAATATATTTCTTGGAAGATTATTTCTTTATAAGCCACTGACATGAATATACTCTTCCACGCAAGCACATCAAATCTTAAAGAATGTCTTAAGGGTGCACTTACCACTTTCTGACATTCTCTCAATTTTTTTGACACACAAGCTTTATATCACAATATTCTCATGTCAAAAGTTAATATTCTTGGTCAGGAGAAAGTAAATATAAATCACTATATAGTACCTAATATGGCTGCTATACTTTATATTAATGACTATATGTAGAGATTTCTCATATCATGAATATTTCAGTAAACTATCACTGTGTGCGATATGATGATATAACTATTTTGGTTACAAAATGAGTTTGTGATGCTTATAAAAGTACTTATTTAATAGTTTAGAGATACCCTCAATATGGAGATTTTTTTTCAAATTATAGAACTATTTGAAATACAATAGAGACCAACACTGATATGGAAGTATAGGATATCAAAGAACCTTTATAATGGTAATACTATGATGAACAAATACTAAAATCTGACTCGGTTATAATCAAATTTTTGATCTCATGGAAATTGAAAAAGTAAAAATTTGAGGGTATATATATACATATATTTTTATTTAATTTTGAAGATATTCATCAACTTTTCCATCTATAATAGCTTGATAAATATTGTTACAAGCTTCAGCCATTTCTTCGTCAGTCAATACATCGCATGCTTTTAAGAAATCATACAGTTGAGGATGTATCTTATTGCAGATGTGAATTAAAGTATTTCCAGAGTTATGAGGAACTTTATCTTTGATTTCGATCCAGATTCTGAAGAACTCGTCATTCAACTTACCTGTGATGCGGAATTCAGAGATATCTGCTTTCAAATTGAAAGCTGCAGGGAATTTTCTGGATTTGTCTCCATTTATCCATTCTGTGGCTATTTCTTGAAACTGAATTAATTCTTGTTTAGTAAACGGAAAACTTTTCTTAAATTCTTTGATTGCGTCATAATATTTGATTAGTTTCATTGCGCAGATGCACGTATTGTACAAATCCTTGGTTGGATTCTGTAGCGTATCTTTGGAATATCTCACGGCTTTTTCTAAAAGAATTGATCCGAAATCAACTCCAATCGTGTTTTCTTCTTTCCAAAGCTGAGTGAGTTGCTTGGCTTGGAGAGAATGCATAGTCTTAATGGATGTGCACGTTTTGATGTACGGAAGAAGAGATAAAGCTGTAAATGCAATATCATTCGAAATGTATTGAAGAAAACCAGCGTAAGTGGCAATGATTTCGGAATTTGGCTTGCCTAAGTTCTCATAAATTAATTGGGAGAAGTTCACCGACTCTTTGATTTCTAATTGGTCTTTTGCTGCTTCTAATTCTTTGCATGGGAAGCTAATGCTCTTAACCACATCTTTAAGACCAAATTTAGACTGGAAATATGGAATATTTGGCCTGAATTGAGTATCTATGACGGTATGTAATGTAACTTTGCCAGTTTTGTCTGGTTTTCCGTTGATAGGTATTCCAAGTTTATAGAGACCGAGAACATCTCGAGTGATATCGAAAAATATCGTGTAAATAAAGTAATTTGAGAATATTAATCTTAGTGCTCTCTTAACATCATCATCTGGGTCGAAAATGATAAATCCGTCTTGAAGTTCTATTGATTCTTCTGCTGAATCGTCAATATAGTAATTAATTAAATCATTGTGATTTACAAAGCATTCTGCGAACTGAATAACAAAGACATCGTTTAAGTCTGCAACATTGATCTTTCCTTCTGTGTCGACAGCCAAATATTTGTATTGTTTGGGATGATTTTTTATGTAATCAGCCAAATCATTGCAATATTTAATTAGCTTATCCTTATTTTGGTTTTTGTAGACAATTGTGTGCGTTCTTCCTGTAATTGGGCATTTGAATGTGCTTGGAAGCATGAAAAAAAAATGAAATTTTGTGAAAAAATTTGATAGAAGTGCTACCACTCTCAATTTTGAGTTTTTTGCTCAAAATATATGGGGAAATAGTTTTATTATATATCATAGATGCCAAATGTGTCGTTTATTTGGATTTTTTATTTAGCGGTTGTTCTCAAAAAAGAACCTTAAATATTTGACACTCTCACTTTTTCAGCATCCTGATAATATGTTATGAACGAATTTCATAAAGAGAAGTCGAAATAATTCAATATGGACACGTTAGATTTCATTGAATTTCTTTGAAGCACCACTATCAATATTTTGTTTGATTACTAACAAATTTTTATTTTTCTATATATTCATCATTATCTTTGAGTTTGTAAGTAAGAATACATGAATATTATTTTGTCAAAGCAATATTTTGTACTTCAAAAATGCTCATTGCAAAAGAATTCCAATATTTTTATCTAATCATTATGACTATCGTATTGTCAATTAGACAATCAACTTCTTCCATTCAATAAATACTATAATGCGAGAGTTTTACGTAGTTTTCAAAGATAATTTAAAAAATGATACTGTTATCTTTCACATTAACCATCGTAATATAGATACTAATATCTTTATTCACATTATATGATCTTTACGAAGCTTAATTCATGCTATATTCACTAATTGATCAAAAAATATTTGTTATTCCTTAACAATTGCAAAATATGAAAAGCTTAATAGCTGTATCAATAGTGCTCATTACTGAGCTATATTGAAGCAGTAAATTATAGAAACTTAAAATTTCAAAAATTGTTTTTATTAAATGACTAGGCTATAATAGATACGAATCTTTTGATTGCATAAAAAGCAAATCAGCATGCTATATAAGTTAGAATATAAATATTCATTTTTCATTATTTGAAAATTTTGATCCTAGTTAGTGATGGTAATCTACTATGGATATGAAACATAATCATCATAATTCAAGTATACTATATTGCTTAATTGATCTTATTTGAGATTGTAATTTTACTAATTTTGAATAAATAGGAAAATCAAACTGTTACTAATAATTAGATTATGCTAGTAGTACTTATTCATTCATCATATTTGGTATTTTATCTTTTGTCGTTGAAATTGCAAATATTATTTTGGGGTGAAGCAAACAAGGCGATCATTGGGTAGACTTTTACTGTCACCTATAGGACTAGATTTTCGTAGTAAAGTCTGAGGCAATGAAATCAAAGTTTGGGCGTGGCGGCACTTCTATTTTGATTTTAGGCAATTTGTGAAGTCAAGATTAGTCAAGTAAAATTCAAGTACAACTATAAGCAAATTAGCCTTACCACAATATTGGATTCTGATAAATTACTCATCAATCTTTTGACTTGTAAAATTTTTATGGGGCATTATCATTTTCGTCTGGCATCTGAATTATTGAACTATAACTCTATTTCTAATAATTTAAGCGCAATCTACCCATGCACAACTTTATTTAATAGCTCCTTGTGCATGTTATCATTCTAGTTCCAACTTCAAAATGTTTCATTTTTTGTGATTTTCCAGTCAAATATTTTTAGCGAAGTCAAAATCATAAACTCAAACTATTCAATTTATTTTCACCAAAATTTCTTAATAGATGCATTGCAATTCAAGTAGGTATCATTGCATTGCAATCTCATAAATTTATCTTTTCAGCATGACCCTGAAAATAAAAAATTATCATTTTCGTCGGACGAAAATGATAATTCTCAGACATACGATTATTTTTGATTCAAATGCTGTTCGGCATTAAGGATACCCTTACATTGCGTAGTTAGAAAGAGAATATGATATTGTCATGATTGCTAAAGTTTTAGGCTCCAGAAATGAATATACATCAAACTGAAACAATTGATAAATTGAATGAACTTTTGAGAGGTTCTCAAATAAAAAAAATTATCTAATTTTTTACAATATTACTATTATTTTATCCACATATGTATATATAGTAATTTGAGAAAACTTTTAGGAAAAAATAAGTTTAATAAAAATCTGAATTTTACTTGTTGTGGGATTGTTATTAATTGACACTCCAGACGTATTACTAATAGTTATGCGTATGCAATTAAAGTATTTCTGATGGACAAAATGTGAGATTTATATCAGATAATTCATTTCTACTATTAAGTTATTCATTTATGAGTTTGCACTTATTCGCACTAAATAAATAACTATTAAAAATTGTTTTAATTAATTGACACCATATAATAGAGTGAATTTTGTTTGATCAAACAACAATAGATGATAGATATAAAGCCAAGAAACTTGCTATTAATATGCTCTACTTGCTATTTCAATGTAAGTATGATATTTTCTAAATGTTTCGTTCAGATAACTTAGATATATTAGTCAAAATTTGAAATTTTAATAGCACATATATTAAAAATAATTATTATTCATAAAAGATTAATGAAATAGTAAAAAAAATCAATCAAATTATAAAAATACAACATATGGTTTTTTATGGTTGTCTCATAATAGCATTTCATGAGAAAAAATATAATACTATTTATTTTTGCATAGTTCAATTTTTTTAAATAATGCAAGATATCCCGCCATTAGTTTTCATGAAATAATCCAAAAATCAGCATACACTTGAGAACATAGCAGCTCTACATGTTTTCGCTATTTATTTTCCAATAATATGAGGGGTTCACGGGATAAAGCTTCATTAAGCATAATTGATTACAATATCATCATATATATACCGAACATATAACAAATGGGATATTTGTATACTAAAATAAAAAAGGAGCAAATTATATAATTTTTGTCATGCTACTTATAGGTTCAAAAATCTTATAATATAAAAATATTTTCAAATACAAAGAAAATATGTGTTTATTTCAAATTTGAAAATTAGATATCTTGTGGGGTCCACTTTCCTCCTCTGTAATCACCTGTAGGGTTATCCTTAGGAAATCTTTTTGCATTTCTTGCCTTGTTGATCTCTTTTCTTGTTTCTGGTGTAGCTTTCTTTTGATTTCTGGATTTATTTTTCTCATATTCAAGTTTTTGGAGTTCGCGGATTGAAGGAGATATTTGGTAATTATTGACACGATTGTATATTTCTTGTTTGCATTTCTCTCCTTCGTTTTTTTGTAAAATTGTAACAGCCGTACGCATTTCAAACGATTTTGCGTTGTTTCCTTTGGGACACTGAGTAAGCATTGAGTGATGTATCGATTCATTTTGTTGTGTTTGAGCATTAGGATCAATTTCTGGAATCAACTTTGCGGCATCATCTGTAAAACGTTGAAATTGCTTCGCTAAATCAGGTTTTGTAAGTGGCTGAAACACAGGATATTCTTTGTCTTTTTCGTGAAGGCAATTTTCATGCCTTCCGATAAAATGATTTAATGTATTCTTCCATAGGAAAATTTTTTTCGTTGTTTCAATTGGAAGCATGATAATAAAAGTGAACCACTTAATAACTTTCGAATATATCTGATGAAATACTTTTTCTTGGTGTTTTAATGGTCTTCCACGTTTCTTCGGCTCTTCTGCTTTAGATTTGATTGGGAATGCTGGCTGTGATTCACTTTCTTTCTGTTGATTAACAGTTTCTTTTCCTGCTGCTTCTTTATATCCACCATTTTCAAGCTTTTCGAAAGCTCTGCCAACTGCACGTACACAATGACGAGGATCAAGTGTAATTTTAGCATTCGGAGCATATTGCTGGATGATGGCTTTCGTTTTATTGTCATTGTCATGAACCACTGTGGAAACATTTGTAAAGTCAAAATTTGACATCATCCTCTTTGTACATTCTGTTTCCATCATGTTGGATGGGCCTTCAAAGTCTCCTCCAGAGCTCTTTTTTATAACAGTTGTTTCACCAACAACTTTTCCACGGTTGTCCATCATTAAACTTTGGCACGCTGTAGCATTTCTGCCAACATTATAATGCGAATCAGTGCTTAAAAATGTATCTTTCTTCATTGTTTGTTGAGCATTTTTAATAGATTGCTCTTTATATTCTAGTATTACCTTACCTATTTCTTTTTGATGACGGTAAAACTCTTTTTCACTCGGCACTTTAATATTGTTATCTTGAAATAAATTCCTTGCTCGAGTATAAGAGTCACCATTAACAATTACAGAAGCAGTCCAGTGTTTTGGATCGACTTCCTTTGGCGCATTCTTTTCTTGGGAGTTTTTTCTTGCTTCAATTGATTTTTCGTTAGCTTCACGACTTTGTTGTTTGCGTCTGCTTGGTGGAGGCATATTACGTAAATGGTCGGCAAAAAATGTAATAAACGTAGTGAATAATTAAAAAGATTGCTTTATATAACAAATATAATCATTTTTTCCTTAGAAATCCCATTATTTGCATAACAATATTTAAAAATATTTTTTTGATATAGTTTACAGTCACATCAATATGAACTATATTAAACTATCAGAAACTTATGTATGTTATTAGTAAAGTTGAAATTTTTATCATATTTACACATTAAATTTAATTTTCATGCATATTTAAGTTTTTTTCAACACAATCTTGTATTGTTAGTACCGACAATATGAAAGAAAGTTATACTGTATTTAATTTTAGCAATAAACAAAAAAATCTAAATTATATCTTTAGATACTAGGATTGATTTAATGACTAAGAACGTTTTTATCAATAATACCATGATTCATAACATATAGACATAACCTAAATATACCAAAGCATTTCTACTTGGAACTAGCGCATCGCCAAAATAATGGGTCAATATTCATTTGACGTAATGCTGATCGAGAGAAGTCTTTATATATAAGCCTTATCACAATGCCACGAATGCACCCAGCTGCAGGCGTGTCTTGTTTAACATTCATTCCTATATATGATGGAACATTAATCAATAATCATGGAAGTATCACTTTTCAAATAACATCATTGTTAAATGAAAGAAAATTGTATGCAAAATTACATTTTGGTAATGGTGAGACGCAATATGTTGAAGTATATATCATTATTATTTAATATACAAACAAACTCTAGTACAAAATTGTATTAATTCAACTTTCATGTCTAATATAAAAACTTTTTTTAAAAAAAAGAGATATAATCGTGTATAATATGAGAAAAATGAATATCAATACAAAATAAAATATCAATTAGCTATTGCTGATGACATATCATGAATATTGATCATTTGATTTGATTAATTTTGATAAATATTAGGCTTTTTGCTAGTTACATATTACAATAAGGCTTTTAAATGGATATTTATTGATATGAGCTTATTTCAAAATGACAGTCTTTGATTTATCCACTAATAAGATTTGATGTCACAAAAATCTAGATTTTGGGGCATAAAAACCTAACACCAAATCATAACTTCTGTGCATATACTAAATTGAGTACAGAAATATGTTAATTTTCAGTATTTTTAGAAGAATTCTTATTATCCTTCAAAAAGTCAGTATTTCTGCTGTAATTTTCTACAACATTGTAGTTATTGCACTTTGTCTATGGATTTGTATATATGTTATATATAAATTATATATCTAAACTGCCCATAAGTGCAATTTTTATATAAATTGTTTATTTCTTTAACAATTTCATATGAAATATGCTTTTTTAAGCGTATCAAAGCTGTGTTCTTAATGTGCATGGATATATCAAGAAAAATGTCGAAAAAAAATGTGAATTCACAAATTCACTGAATTTTCACCGTTTTTTGAATTTTGCTACAGCACTAATATTAAATAATACTAAAATCTTCTGTCTTTGTAAAAGAATAAATTCTGACAAAAAGTGCTCGTTTAAATTTAATGATCATCTGTATGACTAAGTGGTAAAAAGTGTTTATGACCAAAAAAGGGTTACATGCTTAGTCTATTTTTCTGACAGGATACTCTAGATTTACATGATCTCTATTTCATATCTCCGTTTTTAGATTCTTCGACAGATTTTATGATAGAAAACCAAGATTAACAAATTTCCGGCATGTTAATGAAGAAATCTGCAGCTACCCTCAATATTATTTCAATAATCAGTATCGTTTCTCTTACAATTTATTTTTTTCTCAATAATTTAACAAGAAATAACAATACACACTTGGTTTTACGTATAAAAGCTAAGTGTCGAACTTAATCAACTTTACTTACTTAGCAAATGAATATTTTTGTGGTTGCGAGTTCTGAATGCTGAAGTTTTAGATTTCTCTATAAATGATATCATTGCACTTACAATGTTGTTCCAGCCTATCGCATAAATCATAGAAAATCCAAAAAAAAATAATATAAAGAAAATTCATGTCATGAAGTTCAAAAAATACCGTGTAACATTAAAATTTGTTATGCATAATACATTTTAGCTATTATTGATTTTTTTTAATTTTCGAGAAATTGAATGGTGAGTCCGATAGAGAAATTTTTAAAAATCCTAGTGCCTCATAGAAGTAATTTCCCTCGTCTCCCATACTTCCAAATGTATGCATATGACATAAACTTTTATGCATTACACAAGTGGCCAATAATATCTATAGAGTAAAAAATTAGAAATTTAATTTTTTTATATGATAGTTATATTTCAGATTTGCGAGCGTAACTTTTTTCTCCATGGCATACTTGTTTTAAGAGCAAATGATCAAAATCGTCCTTCAATTATTGAAGGAGCTGATATCTTTTGAAAATTGAATTGAAAGGGTATTCAATTTTCAAATTTCCTCTCAATTTTGGAAACATATCAACTCTATGAATTAACAATTATGTGCCTTCACAGTTTATCAGTCATATAAGGTGCTTATAAAGAAAAAAGTTACGCTCGCAAAATATGTTTTTATATAGATTTCACATAAAATAATTATGTAATTTCTAAAAAGAATATTTTTGTTCTTGAATATTAAAGTGTATTGTAGTTTAAAAAGTTTTAAATATGTTGCTAAAATTTCAGGTTTATAGCTCATGTCTAGCATGACTTCTTCGTATGCGCAAAAAATCTGACACGTAAGGGTATCCTTAAAAGCAAAAATAATCATTTACCTGAGAATTATAAATATTATTTAACTTGGTTTCATTATTATATGTAGATTAGTTTATGAGGACTTTATATTGTTATGAATCAATGGTGAAAGCATTTGAGCAACAAAATGATTTAATTTAATTGAGAAGCAGCTTTCAAAGTTGCAAATATAATTAGCTTTTCTTATATATGCAAAACTAACAACCTAAACCAGCTTTCATCATATTTACCTTTGAATCAAGATTTACTTCGCAATATGAAATATCATTTTGCGAAACCATGTGCAATATATTAGACTTATCGAATACATTCAATGAAACCAAAATCTAATTATGATGTTCAAATCAAGGTTTAAATTCTGTAACAAAAAATTTTTCATCGGATTTTTTTTTTCAAATTAATGATTCAAATCTTTCAAAGTACTGTTTATCCACAAGAATATCATGCAGCTATTTGTAGAGACATTGAACTATTTATCCAACGCTACAACACATTACAACCCCGACAATTCAGTTCTAGTGTAGGAAATTTGATTGCTATTTCAGGTTATCTCCTATTTAACATCGGAGGAACACAAAGTTATGTAAACCTTGATATCACATTAACTCCAAAATTCCCAATGAAATCTCCATACATTCAATTTAGAATTGATCCTTCTCAAATTTGCCCATCACACGGTCTCACACCTCAAGGTGTTGTTAATATGCCTGTTGTACACAACTGGGTATTCAGACAATCAACTTTGCTTCAAATGGGAGATGATTTATATAGATTTTTCATGCAAAACCCTCCGATAATGATCCAGACACCACAGCAAATACAAGGCTATGCTAATGCACCACAACAAATTGAACAAAAACCGCAAATTAACGTTGAAGAATTAAAAGCTGAAGCTTACGATGATGCAAATAAACTAGTTGAAGCATCTAATAAAGCACAAGCTGAATTAGCCTCTGTTTCAACGCAATACGCTTTAATGAAACATCAAATCGCTTTATCTCAAAAAGCAATCGAAGATTACAGAGCTAGTGTTACAGCACAAGCCACACAAAACTATGCCCAAGGCTATGCTCTTAATCCAGAAGTAGAAATCGAATTAAGATTTGAAGCTTCTCGACAAGCTTATCAAGAAACAATTGAAATAATCAAACAGAGCTACCAAAATAAGAGTATTACATTCGATGCCATGTTGAACGAAATTCAAAGTTTATCAAGGCAACATTTCTTTGATGGAATCTCAGATAAGCTCAAGACATATCCGAAAGAGTCATACACAGCATAATTTACTACTTGTTTTGTTTAAAATATTATTTTTATAAGAAAATATTTTTCTTTTATAAATATTTTTTTAATTTAAACATACTATTATTCCCTATTCAAGCAAAGTTATTTCATTTATTAATATTTATTATATAGGACGATCAATAATTAACTTTTTTAAAAATTAAGCCGACGTTGCTTGATCTTCAGAGAACATTAAGCTTTACAATATCAAAGGTTAGTTGTACTGATTTGCAACCAGGCATCAGCCAGTTGAATTGTTTTCAATATTTACCAAATCAAGTCAAAATTATTCATTACGACGCATAGCACAAACACACTCGGGAAGTCTTTTAAAAAGGAAATAGAAAATCATGACAATTCATCAGATGATATATTCAAATTACGGTTTTGACAATAAAAATTTTTTAAAATGAGTAGATTTGCTGTTTTAAAGTCATCAGGAAGTGAAGATGACGAAGCAGACAATCCACTTCAAATGCTTACACCCAAATATTCAATTCAAAAAATATTATCTTCATTCAAACCCGCATCAATATTACCAGCACCAACAGAGCTCATGGCATACGAAAATGTATACATGAAAGAAGTTCAAAGTCTAGAATGCAATACATTCAAACCACCAACATCAGAAATTAATGTACCTTCTAGCGTAATAAATGGAAAAATTACACCTAGAACAGCGCAGACAACTCAGATTAAAAGACAGATACGTGCATCGCCAAAAGGAAAGAAATTGGATGCAACAAAACCATTTTCTGAAGAAGAATTGGCAACTTTATGGTTTTATAAAGATCCAACTGGTCAAGTTCTTGGCCCTTATCTTCCACAACAGATGAGAACATGGCTAGATAAAAAATACATATCATTATCACTCCCTGTTTGCCAGGGAACTGCAAATGGACCATTTAAACCAATATCTTCTTTATTTTCAGATCAGAATTCAGCATTCCAAGAGCGGAAATACAATCAAACACAAGTAGAAATACAGAAACCTGCTTATATCGAACCACGGCGTCAAGAGAAGAAATTATCTACTTTATTCTCATTTTCAATAGATGAAAAGGAGGATGATTTGTTAGAATGTTGGGAAAAGACAGATTCGTTGAATTTTAAGTAATATATATTGTACTTTTTTTTTATTTTTTTGTTATCTCAAGAAACTAAAAATTTGTGACTTATACTAAATATAATTTCTTTTGTAAATAGAAACTCAATGAACTGATAGCACTTTCATGAAAATTTGGAGAGAGGGTCAAAGTTGCTATTTGTCACTTTTCCACAAGAATATAATGGGGAAAAAGTTATCATATAGTTGATCTCATTCACTGAGGTGAGAGATGCATGTAGTGTAATTTGATAAACAGTGGGATTGCTGCTCTAAGTCCTAGGTTCGAGACACATTGGCTTCATTTTTCTCTTTTTTATTGACGTAAACTATTCAATTTTTGTGTTCTCCTTTCAAATTTCAGAATTTTTTTTGCAGATTTCACGCTACATTCGAAGTTACCTTTTGTAACAACCACCACTGCCTACGAAAGACGAAAGTGTGTCACGATTTCACCCGGAAATTCGACGGTTGTTTAAGAGTAAGCACTTTTGGCACCTACTCTGAAAATTTGCCTTTAATTGTAAAATTTTTTTTTTCCCTCTATATTGTTTTTACTTAGTTTCAGTATTTGTTATTACAATGATGTAGATTATTTATTTAAGAATCAGCTGGAAAAAAATGTAAAGTAATAAGCAGGTCTTCTTTTTTACATTTCTTAAATAACAAGAGAAAACAATACCTATGTAATGTATCATCTCCCTGCTCTCAAAAAGATTGAATTAACATAATCAATTATTGAACGACTAAGTCTTATCGGATTTACTAGACCTCATTAACAAGACATAGAATCAAGTGATTTGGAATGAATGATATAAGAAAAAGTTAATGGTGTCTATATTTTAGAGTTGAAAAGTCTGTCAGAATAATCACGACTATTTTTTTCAAAAATTTTCGTTCAAATTTCTTATTGTTATTTTCATTCATTTAGAATGTCTGAAACAGTAGTTGATTCTAATCATCCTCTTGCACTTGCAATCAAAAGAAATTCGATTGAAGATGTTAAACGTTTAATAAATGATGGTGCTGATGTTAATTTATTCTTTTACTCTAAAACCTTAATTAAAACAGATGGAGAAACACATGAAGGTAACTATAATGAAAATGTGAATACTCCTCTTACTCTTGCAATCAAAAAGAATAAAATTAAAATTTCAAAATGTTTAATAGAGAATGGAGCAAATGTTAATGCAATAGCTACTCACAAGAAGCATGTATGGGGATCATGCTACACAGAATCTTACAATCCTCTCATTCTTGCCTTTAAACAAAAATCAATTGAATTAGTCAAATTTTTAATTGAACATGGTGCAAATTATAAAGAAGATTTTTCAGGACAATATCCTCTCATACTGGCAATTGAGAAAGGTATGACTGATATTGCCAAATACTAGGTCGAACATGGTGCTAATGTCAATAAGGAGACCCGCGAGTACTTTGATTATAAAACTCCACTCAAAGCTGCAATAATTAAAGATTCGATCGAAATGGTCCAATTCCTAATTGAACACGGTGCATATATTAATAAGAGATTTAGTGATTACCATGGTGGTTATGATTATAAAGATTTTGAAACGCCCCTTGCTGTTGCAATTAAACATGGATCACTTGAAATTGTCAAAAAATTAGTTGAAAGTGGTGCAGATGTTAATATGAAAATTATAGATACTGATGAAGATTACTGCACTGAAAGAATTTCTCCTCTTGAAATTGCAAATGAAAATGATGCAATTGAAATTGCAAATTATTTAGTTGAGAAAGGTGCAATAGCTTATAAAGAATTTGTTGATGATGATGACGACGAAACTGATTTTTATGATGAACTTTGAATTAAATTTTTTTGTGTTAAGAATGCTGCAGAAGATGTTGAAGGAAATGATGAAGTTGATAATAATGATGATGAAGAGGAAGAAGAGGAGGAAGGGACCGAAGAAGAAGACTACACACAATATGTTATCAGTATGGTAAAACATGATAAAGGATATAATCAATATTTATGAATTCGTGCAACAATAGATGTTGTTTGTAATTCATTAATTAATCAAATTCACTTCATAGCTCATGAAAAATTTAATATTGTCAATCAATGTTTTTGTTAATCATCTTTTAAAATATCTAATCTTATATTATTTTCAAAATTTTGATTAAAAAAATGGTTGATAATTACAGTCAATAAAGGTCGCTGATCAATTATTATCATATACATTCTTAGATGGAGAAATTTCAATACTGAATACATAATCTCATTAGGAATTAATTTTAATACATGGAATTCTCTCAAAATATTTATAGATGATGCTCAGGCTTATGATAAAGAGTTAGTTTTCTAGTGGAATTGGCATAATTGAGTTAGTTTTCCCAGAAAAATTACAAAAAAAAAATTATAGAAGTTGCATTAAATCAATATAGGTGCAAACTTTCAGATTGGCGATAATTGTTTCTCTCAATGCTTTACTTTAGTTCGAATTCTCTAATAGTATAGTATTAAAATATAAATTTCGAGTCAAACAATTAATTATTGCATTGGAATCACTAAAATCGAACTATTTGATACAATAGAAACAATTGGAGACTTCATTTTCAATATTTGCCAAAAGATTACTGATATCCAAATTCCAAAACTCATTTTTATTGATTTGCAAATAAAGAAATAAAAAAGTAATTAAATTTATGATAAATTTAATAAACCGCAAGTTATTTTTTTATCATGTATTTACAAATATTTTTATTATTTATAAAACTGTAATAGTATTATGAATTTCGCAATCATATTATTAAAGTAAGATAATATTAATACAATAATATATTACAAAAAAAATTAAAAGAAAAAAATTCCCAAAAAAAATTACAAAAAAAAATCTAAAAATATACAGAAATCAATTGTAACCTCTTCCATAACCGTAACCGCCTCCGGAACCGAAACCAGAATTAGATCTAGTCATAGAATTACCGAAACCTCCTCTCCCAGAGCCCTTTCCCACTGATACTCTTCTCAGAGCACCACTTGCTTCGTATTCCTCGAGTCCTTCTGGTATAGGAAGGTTCTTTGAGCGAAGATGCTGAATCAACTGAGCGAGGAACGCGTTATTCGACTCGTTGAAGAAGGAAGTCGCGAGGCCATGCTTACCAGCACGTCCTGTTCTTCCGATTCTGTGTGTATATGTGTCGAGATCTGTTGGGAGGTCGAGGTTGATGACGTGGGCAACGTTGCTGATATCGAGACCACGGGAGGCGACGTCTGTTGCGACCATGATGTTGGCCCTTCCAGTGGTGAACTGCCTGAGAGCGGCCAATCTCTGGTCCATCTGACGTTCGCCGTGGATGGCAACGACAGCGGTGTGTTCGTCGTAGAGGAAACGTTCGATACGGTCGACGGAGACCTTTCGTTCTGCAAAAACGAGAGTTGGTCCGTCGACTTCTTTGATAACACCGAGTAATTCGGAGAATTTGTCCATTTCGGAGCAGTAAATGAATCTCTGTTCGATGGATTTAGGAGCGTCTTGCATACCAACTGATATTCTGCAATATTTTGGTCGCATAAAGTCACGAGCAAGATTTCTGACAGCGTCAGGGAATGTAGCGGAGAAAAGCATTGTCTGACGATCATCAGCGGGTGGCATGTCCCATCCGTTGATGACTTCTTGCATCTGTGGCTCAAAACCCATATCCAACATACGATCTGCTTCATCGAGAATGAGGAAGCGGACCTCTGATAAGGTAATGCAATGCTGTTTAAGAATATCGATAAGACGGCCTGGAGTTGCGATGACGATATCAATTCCACGACTCAAGTTGCGAATTTGTTCTGTAATTGGTGCTCCTCCGAATACGCATGTTGTTTTGAGATCGGTGCCTTTGCAGAATTTGCGAGTTTCTTCGAAAATTTGAATTGCAAGTTCTCTCGTTGGACACAAGGCTACGCAGGACGGATTTGGTGAGTGGCATGTGCCTATAAGCTGTGTAATAACAGGAAGCATGAAAGCTGCTGTTTTACCTGAACCTGTCTGTGATGTAACGATAAGATCTTCTCCATTGAGAATATATGGTATGGAATAGCGTTGAACTGGTGTGGGAACTTTGTAGCCGTTGTGTGCGACGTTTCTAAGTACTTCATTTCGGATGCCGCAGCCTGGGAAATCTATGATAGGAGGGATATGATTTCCGGCCTCGACTTTGACGTCTGCGCCCTCGTAAACTGAAATATCTGGTCCATCTGTACTTGCTTTGTTTCTCATAAATAAATCTTCAATTTCTTCATCTGTAATTGCTTTAGGTGGATTTGGCATTGATCGACTTCTGCTTAATTGATCGCCCGTCGGTGGACGTGTTGGATGATGATATGGCTCATTAAACACGTTAGGACGTCTGTAATCTTGCCTGTAGCCTCCACCTGAAGGATAAGGACGATAATCATCGCGTGGAGCGTGGTTTGGAGGTGGTTGTGTGGCTTGCTGTTGTGGTCTGTTTCTTAAGTGAGGTGGGATATAAGCGCCTGAACTCATTTGGACCAACGATTATTTTCCCTTCAATTCGAAAAAAGAAAGGAAATTTTTGGCTAATAAAAAAATTTTATTTTTGATGGCTATTTTTATTATTCTTAAATTTTGGAACGAGCAAGGAAATGACATAAACTTTTGTGGAATCAAATCAAAATTCAGGAAACTTCGGATTTCTGATCATTGTTCAATTTTTTTGATCAAATTTTGTTGCAAAGCATTATGATTTCAAATGTCTTAGAAGCATGAAAATGAATGCAAGTCCTTGCCAGTTTGTTTACCATTAAAATTTTGTTTCAAATTTTATTTGTTAGCCATTAGAATAGTTTATTCCACTTAATTAGTTTGATAAAGCATAGATATTGATCTTATCTACTTCATGAGCTGATCTTGTATGAAATAAAGTAATTTTGCTTGCACATTAGAGCACAGTTCTTTCAATTCACTACAGAGCATCATTTATTGTTCATGTGTGATTGTAACATATGAATATGCTTCGACAAAAACGAAATTTGAAATTTGATATAATCTGAAACATATTTATGCTGATGAGATCTGCATTAACATGATAATTTATGATGATTTCTTCATAAAAAAATATAATTCGAAATAAATCAATGTAAATGAGCGATCAAATTACAATTATAGCTTGTTAATATTCATTTACTAGTTGTTTTATGACTATTATCGTGGATAAATATTCGATAACTTTTGAATTTACCTTGGTTCGAAATGAAAACTGGGTATTTACGAAAAAATTATTTTAAAAACAATATTTATATGTATTTTTATTTGATTTTATTTGGTTTCCAAGCAAATTAATTTGAGATCTTGGCTTGGAAAATTCGTTTATTTATGAAACTCCGATAAAAGCAAAATACATGGATTATACAATACATATTCATTCATAACTTTTTTGATGTTTTTTATTTTTGGCGCCAAAATTTTTTCTAAGTTCAATGAATATAAAGAAGGTTGTGATTAGTGGCTTCAAAGCATTTGCCGACACAACCATCTTTGGTCCATTCTCACCCGGCAAGAATTGCATCTTAGGTCTTAATGGTTCAGGGAAAACCACGCTATTTCAAGCGATTGAGTTTGTATTATTAGAAAACTACTCGATGCTCCCTCACAAAAACAGAATAGCCTTACTGCATTCAGGAAATGTTCAGAAAAACCGTGCCTTTGTTGAGATTACCTTCGATAATACGAACCGAATGTTTTCAATTGACAAGCAAGAGTTCTCTATACGTCGCGAAATCGGCATGCAAAAGGATGAGTACTTTATAGATCGCAAGCATTCGATGCGAAATGACATAGTTTCCCTTTTCAACTCCGCAAACATTTCATTAAACAACGAAACGTTCATCATACAGCAAAACAGAGTCAAAGGAGTTGCAGAGATGAGTGATGAGGATCGCTTATGCCTGTTTTTCGATATCTCTGGCATCCAAGTTTATACAGATAAAAGGCAAGAATCAGTCAAAATGATCGCCGAATCAGACGAGCGACGCAAAAAGATAGGCGAAAGCATCGAATACATTGACTACAAGATCGAGCAACTCGAAAAAGAGCGAGAAGAGCTTGAATCATTTTTTCAATTGGATAAGAAGAAAAGAGCACTTGAATACATCATCTACGATCGTCAGAAGAACGAAGCAGAAGAGCAGATCAAGTCCATTGATGAGATAAGGTCAAATCAAAGCACAGTTTTGGAAGAACTTCGAAATTCTTTTGAAGAAATTTCAAATGAAATCAATGATTTAAGTCGGTTGATACAAGAATCAACGAACAACCAAGATAATCTACAGTCATCCATTACATCTTTTGAAGAAATGATCGAGAAAACAATTACAAAAACAGAAAATTCAAAATTAAAATTAGAATCTTTAGAAAAGAAACTGAATAGATCATCAGAACAGCAAGAGCAGATACCAATAGAGATCAACAACCTCAAGGAGAAGCTCAAAGGCGCAGAAACAAAGAAAGATGAAATGAAAAATGAATTATTTGAAAAGAAAACAGAAATTGGACAGTTGAATGCCAAGATATTCAAGCACAAATCAGATCTAGATAAGAAATACAACCAAATGAAGTTCCAAGTCGAATCAAATGAAAATAAAATTTTCGATATCTCAAACAAAATCAACAATAATAACAAACAGATAGAAGATATCGAAAGAGAGATCCAAAACCAAAAGGAACAGCTACATGTTGCCAAACAAAATTTTGAAATTTCCAAAAAAGAATTTTTCGATTCTTTGGACAACAGAAAACAAGCTTGGAAACAAGAATCAGACATCGTCAAGAGGAAATCACAGTTACAGAAATCAATATCCGAATACAAACTGAAATATCAGCAGAATTCTTTTTACGAAATCGTGAATTTCATCAAGAAACAAAATATTGATGGAATAAATGGTCCCTTGATCGATCTCATTGATCTTAAATCAGATAGTGACATCGCTCCTGCTATTGATGCTGTTGGTGGTAAAAAATTGTTCGCTTTCGTAGCAGATGACGATAAAAGTGCCAAAAAATTGAATGAAAAATTGTCAGAAACAAAATTTGGCAGTGTACAAATAATATTGTTGAATAGATTGCAAACTGTCAACAGAAAGATTCCAACAACAAATCAGATGAAACCGCTAACGGATTTTATCGTCGTGAAAGAAGAAAAATTCCAAAAAATTGTTGATTATGTATTTGGAAATTTCGGATTGTGTCCGACCTTGGATTCCGCAATTGATGAGAGCGAAACACAGAAAGTAAACACTGTAACTGTTTCCGGTGATGTAAACTATTATAACGGTTTAATGACAGGCGGTTATCGTAATCCTCTCAATTCTATTCCAATTTTACATTTCAATTTGATGAAACTGCAAAATGAAATGTCTGAATTAGAGAAAAGTGAAGTGACCATAAAAGAAAAAGTGTCAGAATCAGAAGAACAAATTTCGGAAGCTTCAAAGAACCAAATCAAAAGAGAAAATGATATACAGTCAATTAAAGAAAAAATTAATTCATTAATACAAAAAAGTGATAGTCTGAAAAGTGACAACTCTGTATTTTCATCCAGATTAGAAGATCTTAAATCCAAACAGATAAAACTTCAACCAGAACTATTACTTGTCAAAAGTGAAGTGAATGCAGAAAAAAATGACGAAAATTTGTCAGAAGAAGAAATCAATGAAATTTCTGAGAAGTTGGCGGTTTTGACAGGCGAATCAATTTCATTAGAACTCAAGATTGGATCTCAAACAAGTTTCATACAGTCATTGAATGAAAAAATAACAAAATTGATGTCAGAAAATGTAGATACAAATAAACTAAAAAGTGACATTGATAAATTGAAAAGTGACATTGTAAATTACGAAGACAAAAGAGAAGATCTTAAAAACAAATTGAATGATTATAAAAATGAACTTATCAAAGTCAAAAATGAACTGAAAGAAAACACAAAAATTTTGACGGAAAAAACAAAAACGCAAAATGAAATCAAAAACAAAATCCGTCATCAACAGAGTTCTTTTGAAAATCTGACAACACAGTTCACTTTACAAAATCGTTTGGCAAAAGAAGCCACAGAACGAAGGAATTTCATTACTCCTATTCCTGAAGAAGAAATCGCAGAATATAAGGAATTTTCTGATACAAGAATAAGAGATGTTTTCGACCAAATAAATACAGAATTGTCACTTTTCAGGCATGTTAACAAAAAGGCTGACGATCAATTCTTTAAGTTTGCCGGGCATAAGAAAGAACTTGAGCGAAATCTTCAAGAAATTGATGATTCGAGGAAGAGTTTGATCGAATTAATTTCAGAACTTGATTCTAAAAAACGATCAGCATTTGAATCATTCTTTGCTAAATTGAGTTATCATTTTAAAGATATCTATCATAAGCTTGAGCCGACGAGGAATTGTCAAATTGTTCTACAGCGAGAAAGCTCAAATCTAGGTCAAGAAGAAGAGACACCATTAAAAGGAGTTGCCTTTAGATTTGATGATTTCTTCATTGAACAAATGAGTGGTGGCCAAAAAACGATATGCGCAATTTCTTTCTTGTTGGCTATTCAAAAAACAACGCCAACACCTTTCTACTTGTTTGACGAAATTGATGCAGATTTGGATCCTCAACACAGAAAGAATTTGTCTGAAGTGATTTCTGAGATGGCAAATGCTGATCCTCCTTCCCAGTTCATTTTCTCTACTTTTAGACCTGAAATGTTGGAAGTTTCAGACAAATTCTTCGGAATTTCTAATATGAACAACAAGAGCACTTCGAAGGAAATGACTTTGGAAGAAGCTGTGTCATTCATTGAGTCAGAACAGACTTTACCTGCTGTTAATGAAGAACCAATATAATAAATATATTTTTTTGTTTGTTTTTATTTAGAAAAATAATATTTTCATTTAGAAATACTCTTTACATGTAAACATTTGTTTGTTTTCCAACTTTAGATGATCTATTATCATTCCTTTTATTATCTATAATTGTCAAAGCAAAAATATCTCACATGAAGATCCTAACAAGATTCTCTCGCAGATAAAAAATGTGACGCTCTAAGATACATTGAACCAACAGCATCTATAACGGATCAAAAAAAATCTGTCCTTGATTGAAAAGAAACAAATTTTTTGTTGTCAATTTCACTTTTTTGATGTAGATTGAGATTTTTATATTCAAAATTACAATTTATCATATTGACAATTTGGCTCATAAAAAAGGGGGGAACTTCGTCGACAACAAAGGTATCGACCAAAATTGTTCTCATTATGCTTGACATATGAAGTATAGTAATAGTGTGTATGGACTCATAGAATGGCTTTCGTTTGATTTCGAGATATATTATGATCTTCTAAAATATCCATATTTTACTTGATAACGCATATGTTTTATCGTATTATGAAAATTAAACGAAAAATATGGCTCAAGACGAGCAAAATACGATGCTAAAGAAGTAAATTGTTTATTGATTAGGGTGCTTTCAGGTATTTTTTTGAAGTAACACTTTATTCGTTTTCCTTTCTACATCTGTATATAAAACATGAACAAATAAGGATTTATAATTAATTTTTTTTTTCGAATTGGGTAAATAAATCGTTAGATCTTAGATTTTATTAATCATTTCTTCTTAAAATAAGACTGTGGTAATAGGAACTGTGTATGAGAGTTGGAGTATTGTTAAATTGCGCGAAATGTTGATAAGTTTCAAAAACGATTTGTAATATGTTCAAATATATTAGAATTTAATGGGGTGTGATGACATCGACTGCAAACAATCAATTTTAAGTGATTGATGAAAATCGATATCAATATTTAAAATTTTCTAGGTTTTTTTGACTGATAGCAATTGCTTTGGACACCTAGAATGAAGTTCTCCTTGGTGAATTTCTCCAAATTTTTTCCATTATAGAAAAAGCCTAAGCAATTTTCTAGAAAATGATAACGTTTTTTTCAATTCTTGATTTTTTTTGGAAAATTGAGGTTAATTTTTTTGAAAATTTATAATTTAGAGAGAAATGAACCATTTTCATTGTGTTCCAAATCGATAAAACCTTTTTATTTTTGCTATTCTATAATTTTTCTACTAAATTGTGTCAATTATAAAGCAAAATCTTATAACTATTTTTCGAAGATATAGAAAAGAAGTATACATTCCAAAATTATAAATCAGTCATAGCTTACTATCAAAAATAATATACTATTCTATATAGACAACCATCTATTGTTAGTAATTTAAAATTATTTCTGGTTCAAATTAAGGATTATCTTCACATGTTTAGAAACTATTGTAAGTATCTAGAAAACAATCAATAATATCATGATTTTATTCACAGATGAGTTCAAGATATATATTCTGAAATGCATTTCGACAATAAATCTGAATCAAACGTATATTAAATTCGCACATTTAGTATTCTTATCATAATAATGTTATCAGTTAGTGACTATGGGTATAAAATAAGCAACATTAGATCTGTATCTCATAATCAAACGGAAGCTAAGCTAAGATATTTGAGAATATATCACCTGATAGTATGCATAATACTATACCAGAATGACTAGTCAATATGTTGTTTCAATATCGTTTTAAATTTTTTATGCCAAAATAGTACTTTGGCTATCATTGGTAATACGTAAGGTCACTACTGTTGTAATATTTCGAAAAAATAAAGGTATCAACTTTAATGCAAGATATGATGAGTTGAACATCGAATAATTGGGTTTTTGTAATATTAATATTCTTTAGTCCCTAGTATATTATTGTTTCATACTAATAACGTGGATCAATTCCGTTTCAATGATCAGATAAAGCAGAAACAATACACTCAGGTGCCACTTTTTTGGTCTAAAAAATGAGTTCCCCCCTTTTGCTCATAAGATAAAATAATCGCCATTCAAATTGTGAATTTTACAAAATTTTTAATGGAGAAATCCTATTACTGTGAACTTATGGATTTATTCAAAGATTATATTGACATATTCCAAACGTTGTACAAGCTAAATACGTTCGACGAAAACAAAATAGACGAACTTTTCAAGCGAATCAAAAATAATTTAATTGAAACAAAACTTTTTACAATATATGAGATCATCTTATCAATTGAAAATGCAATTAGATGCAATAATCGATATGCCAAATCTTATATCATCCTTTTAAAAAAAGTCATCAAAGAAAATCCAAATATTTATAATGATCTACCCTATCGATTCAAAACTATACTCGCTAAAGATTTTAATATAGAGCTTATCTATTGTCTCACGATGGAATATCCAATATCCGATTATTTAAGTAATTTTTTTCTCAAGGTAATACCAATGATTAAAATAATTATGGATGATGATATCAAAGCATTTATATCATATATAGAAGAAAATTACAATGACTTAAATGATGAATTTAGCTCTCCAGCTTATCATTTTTATAGATATTGCTCCTATTATGGTGCAGTCAATTGTTTTAAGTTCACCTAAGATTTCACGCACAAATTCCTCTGGGGTGTCTTTATTGTTCATTTATAGGTGGAAATCCACACATCATTAGTGAATGCTTGAAATATCAAATAGCTGATAATTTTAGTATGACATGGGCAATTGCTTCACATAACATCGATTTTGTTACTTTTTTGATGAATGAATACAACTTAAAAATTGATATCGCAGACTGTATTAGATATAATAATCTTCAAGCATTTTTAGTTTATTTAGACAAATTAAATGATGTCAACAAATGTGTCGCAGAATCTGTTAGATTTAATATTCCATCCCTTTGTGAATTCTTTATCACTCATGGTGCAGATGTCAATGGAAAAGATGTTGATGGGTCAACTGCGCTTCATATTTCGGCATATGATAATAAAATCAATTTTGTTAATATGCTTCTTTCATATGGTGCAGATGTGAATGTCAGAAATAACTATGGAACAACTGCACTTCATTATGCAATTTATAGTAGTAATTTAGAAATAATAGAAGCTCTTATTTCACATGGTGCAGATGTCAATGTTAAAAATGATTATGGGCAAGCTCCTATTGATTATGCAACTACTGAAGAAATTAAGGATTATCTTAAATACCATGGCGCAATTTAATATATTCTAGTTATTAAACAAACGCATTTATATATTTGCATTCTATTTTTAAATCAGCGAACAAATATATTGGATGACAACCATAAATATCTCTATTAGCAAATATTTTACAACTTCAGAATATCCATTAAATTCGAAATTATTAGATTTACCCTTTTTGGCTCCATATGCAACAAGAATTTGATCCATTCTATGCACAAATGATAAATTTGACTTGTTACATGCTAGATTGATGGTATTTCATAAGTTAATGATTACAGTTTATGAAATTCTTCTTGAGTTGATGCAAAATGCAATGAATTAACTATATTTTGTAGAAAATCTTTTGAAATGATAATAAAAGTTAATTACAATGAATAAAAAAAAATTTCCATAAAAAAATATAAAAAAAAACTTTTCAATGAATGAAATTAGGCCTGAGTCAGACTTTCAAACATGGCTTACTTTATTCATGAATTGCATAGATAATGCAGATGAACTTCCATATTACGTTGAAGATTTTGTGAAAATTGTTAAAACTCTCAGAGAAGATCTAAATTTAATGAAAAAATACAATATTTTAGCAGATAAATTCCTTCCTTTCATTCACAATAATATATTGATGAAGATTCTGTCAAATAAATCTATAAATACGGATAGCAAAAAAGTATATTTCGAAATACTCTGGCAATTTGTTCAAATTATCAGAGTTGAATTCGATTATCACTACAGTGCAATTCCGAAAATCATTACATCTATTTTTAATTCAGAAAACGCCATTTATAAAGCAAATCCGAAATTATATCCCACTCTTCAACAAAAGATGATAGATAACACAGATTTTCATTATATAATGTCGAAAGTGAATACATATGACCTGCAAACTCTTGTCGCTTTATCAAATTTTGCCTTTGAATTTTTTTATAAGTACAAAAGCAACCAGCATTCAGACATGGCACTGCAAATTCTCAACAGGCTATACGAAATAATGAAAACCCAATCACGTGTTAACATCAAAGACAGTTTGTCAACAATTATTGATAAATTTATTTCATTAATGAAAGAAAACAAGCTGTTTTTAATAGAGCCAATAAACTTACTATACAAGATATTTACTTACGAACTCGCTTCTGATAACATAATCCATCATAACAGTGGAATTCAATTATTTTTCAAAGTTTTAACGATACCTATAGGTAAAGAAGGTCATCAGAAGCTTATAAACGACAACAAATCGATGGAATACCTGTTCAAAATCCCTTTCAGGGCCGAATATATACAAAATTTGAAAGTATTGTACTCAAAACTCTCTGTTTGCGGCTATTTAAGGGACTACATTGATGAATTCTGGAAACTCTCCAACGAAGACTTCTTTCTCGACCTCCTTTTCGTTGTTTACCACTTTTCAAGTGTTGATGACTTAAATTTACATTTGGTTAATTTTCTGAAACTCAAAAAAGATGAAAAATGGGTTGAAACAGCGACCAAAATCATCAACGAAAATAAAAATAGACAAAATGCCATAGATTTAATTTTGAATGGTTTACAAAACGATGAGAAAAAATTTCCCGATTTTGTCAAAATTTTCAAAAGCAAATTATTGGCGGAGAAAGCATCAGAAGAAGATTTCCTTAACACTGTTGACACAATTATTCAATACAAAAAAATTAATATTAGTACTTGTCACTTTTTGTCCGTTTTATTATCGAAATACAATATTTTAGACAAAAAGAAATGTTCAGAGCTTGAATTAATTGTATTTGAATTCTTTTGTCACATGAAAACAGAAGATGACACTGTTCTTGATTGTTTAATTTTGTTTGTTACGAAACAAATGATGCCAGTAAGTTCTGAGTTGGTTTATGGTTTAATTTCTATTGCAAGCCAATTCGATTCAATGAAAATGTTTGCGAAAATAATGGATTTCGTCAAAAATGTTCCTTTTAAAACGGTTTTAATTGTTTTGATGATGGATTCAATTCCGGTTTCAAAAAGTTTGTCACTTTTTATAGAAAATGTTATTTACAAACCGAATTTAGATAGAACAGAATACTTGATTGGCATGGAAATGTCATGTAGTTATATTTGTAGGAGCAGGGAATTGTTTGGATTTAATTTTTTGCATTATTTATCGATGAATTCGAAAGATCAAGATTTTTTACTTGCTGCAGTTGTTTGTTTCCAAAAATATATTTTGGAAGATGATTGTTTGACTATTTTCATTTTATTCTTACTTGACTACATGGCTGATATACCTTTCCAAAAGACTTTGGTTCCAATGGCTTTGTATGATAATCTGAATTCAATAGAAGTGACGGTTATGTCAGATTTAGACAAAAAACAGTCTTTTTATTATATTTTTGTGAAATATACTTATATAAGAAACGTTTTTGTTTCTGCTGTTGATTATTTCGGTTATGACACAACGAATTATTCTATTTTCTTAAATGGAAAGATTTGTGACTTAGATTTGCCTTTGTCAGAATTGAAAAAGTCGTCACTCGTTTTTACGATACAAAAAGTGACAAATAATTTTAATGTAATTCCTCGCACGATAGATTTATCTAGAATGGTTATTCAAGTTAACATTTATGAATTTTTAGTTCAAAATTTGTCAACGAAAAATCAATATTTATTGTTGCAAAATTTACCTGTTTCTGAAAAACATGTTACAACATTATTAGCATGCCAAGACTTGTCAGAGATTTTTCCTCTTGATAGACCTTATTTGTTATTATATAATTTTACAATTTTGACTTCAGATTTGGTAAAATTGTCAGATTTTTTGGAAAAATCGATTCCAAAATTTATTGTTGACAATTTGAACAATTTCTCTGATGATTTAATGATAGACAAATGTCTCAGAGTGTTACCAACATATTTACCTCTTCTTGATCAAAAGGAATTGTTTGAAAAACTTATGAAATTGCCAATGAAATTTTCAAAATTGTTGACAAAAATTATTCCTGTAATGGATGAATCGAAAATCAACATCAAGTCATTATTATACTCTTTGGCAATGAATGATTCTGATGACGCAAAGTTTTTCGAACAAATTTTATCGTCTTTTCCGATTCCTGTCACTTTTTATTCTGAAATTTCGTCAAAAATCAACAAAGTTCCAAATGACAGATTTTTCAGTTCACTTTTGACACATATTGTTGTTCCGACTATAGATTTAATGGATTTATTTGATACAGTTCTTTATAATGATTTTTATAGTTTCAGCAGTTTAGAATTTGTTTCAAAATTTTTAGAACAAAAATTTATAACGAAAAAAGATAAAATCAAAGTTACTGAGTATTTATCCAGAACATTCTTCAATTTCTCGAAGACATTGGGTGACGAAATTGATTCTTCTTTGTTTATTTCGTTTTGGAACATCGTTCTTCAAGTTTGTGATGATTTGAAAGATGTTCTTTACAAAACCGTCAATTTAATTATGAAAGATTTTGGAATTGAAGGCGAAAAAGTTGTTTTAAGGAAGCCTGGATTGAAATGCGGACTTATTAATAATGGACATAATTGTTTTATGAATGCTACATTGCAATGTTTATGTTGTTGTTGCCAATTCTTATCTTTAATGCTTGATAATGTTTTTTCTGAAGGAATTAATGTATTATTACAGAATATTGTTGAAAAAATGACATTTTCTAATGAATTATATTTAGAAACGAAATCATTTTGTTCAATTTGGGACCAAACTAATTATTTGAAGTCGAATTTACCACAAGATGCAGCAGAGTTTCTTTCTGAAATGTTTAATTACTTGGAAATTGATGTCGGCGAGAAAAACTTTGAAAAATATTTCACAACAAAAATTGACGTGAAAATTAAAACAGATGATAATAAGATTCTTTCTGAAAGTACAGAGAAAATGATAATGATTCCAGTGAATTTGAATTCAGACATCTTTACAAGTCTCAAAGAATTGTACAAACCACAGAGAATTAAGTATAATTATAATGGAAAAACTGTTGATGCAGTTTTAACTAAAACTTATGAGAGTTTGCCTGATATTTTCATTGTTCAATTGAAGAGATTCGAATATGATCATAAGACAGGAAAAAGAATAAAATTAAATGACAAAGTTGAAATCAAAAAACAGTTTTCTTTTGGTGATAAAACATATAATTTACAAGCCGTCGCTTTGCATCATGGAAGTATTGACAATGGACATTATACAGCTGCTGTTAGAAATGTTAAAAATTATTACTATTGCAATGACTACAAAGTTGAAAGGGTTAATGATTTTGAAATCAAAGGAGAACCATATTTGTTGTTCTACACTTGTTACGAAGAAGATTACACGTATTTAGTACAAATAAAGAAGAGAAACATGTTGAGGAACCTCGATTTGAATATTTCAAGGGTTTTATTGACAAAGAATTTCTATAAAATCATGAGATATTACGCGAAGAAACCTGAGATCGAATACAACATTGTTGCCTTAAAATACTTCTTTAATTTGTCTTGTCATTACTTGCCGAGTTACAACATAGAACTTGGTAATTTATTGATGGAATCATTGTTAACGAAAAGTGAATTGAGATTGTCAATGATGCAGGAATTTTCTTCTTTGGATTTCGTGAATTCTTTGATTGCTTGTCCAACAAAAGAAATTAGAAATTCAACAGCAACTTTGTTGACTGTTTTCTTCAGCGATTTGCACTTGATAGATGATGTTCAGTTGTTTGTTTCCGCTACTTACAAAAACTTTGAAATATATACGAATAACTTGGAAGAAATTACTTCTGTATTGAATTCTCTTTTGGCTTATGATGACGTCAAAGAGAAAATAATCCAATGGAAGGTAAATCAATACATAGAAAAGGCTGTTTTGGTAACAACAGGTCCTGCAAACAACATGATAAAGTTCTTGACTGTTGTACATCCAACACAGTCTTTCCTTTCTCAGCTCTCTCCAATTTTACAGACATTGGTAAGCAACGGAACAAAACAAGAATATTTAAGGGAATTAATCGATGAATGCGCTAAAAGCCGTGAAAAGATTGTCAAGGAATAAAAGTTATTTATTATGTTTGTGTTAGAAAAATTCATCTTTATTAACTTTTTATAAATTACAGATGAAGTAAATTTTTTTCGTTTGTGAGCATTTTATTTGTCTCTGAAGAATCGAATGCATTTATGTCTTCAACTAATAGTTAAAGCACTACTAAATAAATTGGTGTTTCAAGTGATTCGCATACACATTAATTACATTTACGTCCCGATATAAGCTGACAAAGAGTTCTCATATTATTTATGAATTTTGAATAAGTTAATAAGTATGAAAAGACACAATAACACTAGTAAAGTCTAAAGCAATAAGATGTTTATCGATTTCCCAATTGAAACAAATATAGATTTGTAAAATTTGCTAAATTGAGTTTACTGGGAAAAAAGAATGTTTGTGGTACTATGAAAGATATCCATTTTAATAAACTTTTTGAAGATGATAAAATTTGAATGAAATTTTTCAAAATGAAAGTAGAAAATACTGATTGGAAAGTGTTTTATGTTTAAAATGGCCATTTATTAAACTACAAACAAAACTTTGATGAGAAAAAAAATATCAAAAAACAAAATTAAATAATAGATAATATAAAATAGTAAAACAACAAGTTATTGGTCCCATGACCAGTCGAAAGAATCTAAAAACATTGTTGAATTCGAGTGAGATATCAAATAAGGTTCTGGTTCGATTGGGAATGCTGCATCCTGTGTGAAGCATTCAACAGAGTACGAATTCGACATTTCTGGCATCTGATTTGATGGTGCTTGAGGTTGTAACTGAATAGGAAGGCTGGTGAACTGTGGCTGCTTTTCTACAGGCATCATTTGCGGTGATGTCTTCTCTGCTCTTGGTTTCTTCTCTTCAATCAAGTCGGCTGCGGTGATTGTTGGTAATCTAGCAGTTGGATAACGACTTAGAAAGCAGATCCTTGCACTATCGGTAACACGCCGGACTGTCCATTGCCTGAGGATACTCGAATCATGTTCAAACGATGGCAAAATTGCTAATACGCATTCTCGTGATTTTGTTTTTGAACGCAATGATTGGTATCCAAGATTTTGTAGGCTTCCGTTTATAGATGATTTGCAGCGCCCCAGAAAGGCCATCAATTGACGCGTGTTCACAGCTATAAATGGTCCGGCGATTGCAAGGCCTGCAATTGCACATCTGTCCTCTCTGGATACTGGAGTATAGTCTGTGAATTCAATTACATACTCTAACTCCGTTGAAAAAGAGGAATAGAAATGATCCTTTACCGTCTTCTGCATTTGATGGAAGTAGTGACGCAAACGGATAAATTTGTTCTTGTCTTCTTCGGAGAGACGTTTCCAAGGACCTGAAGGAACTTGTACATCCATCCCTTGGGTCTGCCCTGGAAAAGGAAACATTAGCTATTGAATGTAACCGCTATTATCGACCTATTATCATTTGTGAATTTCATCGATTTCTCTTCACGATGATAACATGTGAATGCAGTGTTAATAAGTCTACGAATGATTTCCAACTCCTAAAAATTTTTGATTGAAATTTTCACAGATTTTTGTTGTTTAAAATGAAAATGTATATTTACGTATTATTACACGTCGGTAATTAACTCATGTTCTAAGGTTTTATTAAATATTTCTTAGATTTCAACAATGAAATTAAAAATCATGTATAATATAATGAAAATATTGATATAATTGAATAGCATATTTCTATTTGATGCTAATAGGTGAATAAAAAGCAAGAATATAACAAAATTAATGAGAATCGATCGTCATTTGTTCCTCGAACTTAATTTGATTGGGTAATACTATCTCTAATAAATTTTAAACAAAAAATCATATAGATCAAGTTAATACTATGCAAGAAAAAAAAATTGGATCGGAAATCTAACATGTAAATCTTCATTCGTTAAAGATTTAACATGAATTCCCGTATACAAGTGTCTTCGATTTGTGATTGACCATTATATACAATCAAAAAGATAGGTACGGATTCAAAAAAAACTGGAAATTCGAGTTCTCAAAAAATTAAAAAGTCGATAATTATGAGTGAAAAAAAATTGTAATGAGAGAAGTTAATAATCGATTTGAAATTGATCTTCAACATGAAGAAATAACACATTTGACAATGAATGTTAATATAAGCAATTAAGTGAATGGTGATGAAAATAAGCGGATTTTGACATTTAATTAGAAATGACAGTTTTTGAAAGGGAGAGATTAAAAAATTGAAAAGAATTAAAATCTTGTCATTTCAATTTGTGAGTGAAATTATTTGACAAGGGAGTACATAACGAGTAGGAACGGTTTTGAGTCCGAATAAAATCGAAATGATGTCACTTTTGAAAATAAATAATCTTTTAAAAAGTGAAATGATATTTAAGCTATAATTCTTGTTAAATAATATGTGTTAAATAGAACAGAGTAACATATGATAAATGTGAAATACAATACATAAATCAAAAAAAATTGCATCTTGTATTCTAACTTTGAAAAAGGATGATAAATATTAATGAAATGATCTTTCAAATTTAATTCTCCAAAAGAATTTGAAAAGAAATTGAATTCAACCACATCATAAAACCACATGTTTATTAATATATTAAAATTTATCAACAATTTTCCAAATAAAACTTTGAATAGGTAATCAAAAAAATTCATCACCTAGTTTATTAATAAAATCAGCTTCTCGAAAATTATAATGTTGTATTTATAAAAGTTTTCAAAAGTCACCGTTTTCTCGATCAATTTGAATGCCTAGGCTTATGATTAAAATGTAAAATAGAGGAGTAAAATAATTCACGACATCAAGGGTAAAATTACTGAAAAATTCACAATTTCTTTTTATGGGAATATGAACAACTATAAAGAATTGTAACGAATCCGTGTTAATTTTTCTTGATGTTACAATCATTTGAATGAAATGACGGTTAGAGCTCTCAATTGATTTTGTCACGTTTCAAAAATTGACAAATCGAAAAAAATAAGTAATAAAAATATGGATATCCAAGACCAACCATTAGAAGATTTAGGTGATGAAGCACCAGAAGTAATTGGTGCTGATGGTCTTCCACATGAGCAAGAAGAGCAGACTGTTAAGGTTGAAGATGTCATTTTAGATAACCCACAAGGTGCAACTGTTGGTCCTGATGGTCAGCCGGCCATAGATCCTAGCAAAACATTCAAAGGTGAAGGCAATCCCAATAGAGTACGTCGATTTGCTACTATTATGAACCTATTGAATTCCTTATTGGGCGCTGGCTTGCTCGGTGCCCCTGCAACTTTCAAATACGGAGGTGTTATCCCCTCTATTCTCATGCTTGCACTTGTAGCACTCGTATCATATTATGCTACAGTAATTGTAGTTAAACTCCAACTTGACACCAAATCTGCCGGATTCGATGAGATTTGTGTCAAAGTTCTTGGAAAATGGGGACAAGTATCGGTTTCAATATTTGAATTGATCTTCCTTTACTCATGTACAATAAGTTATTTGATTTTCGGATCCCGTGTCCTCATTGCATGGCTTGAATTGGCAGGCGCTAACTTCACAAAAAGCTATTTCATCAAGCGTGCTGCATTAGTTCTTGGTTATTCTTTAATTCTCCCAATCGCATTGACAATTCCAAGATCTATTGGCTTCTTGTCATATTTCTCAACAGCTACTGTCTTTTTCATCTTCTTCTTTGTTATCGGAATTACCGTAAAGTCAAGTATTTTGCTTGCCCAAGAAAAGAAGGTTCACGAGACAGTCAAAATGGCTATTGGAAGCGTCGACATTTTCACCGCTATGGGTGTTTACTTCCTTGCCTTCGCGTTACCAGTTGTTTCATGCTCAATTGTCCAAAATTACAATGTCGAATACAGAAAGCGTAAAATTGTTACGGTTTGGGCCGAAGTTCTCTGCCTTGGCATCATGATTCTTCCTTCCCTCTTAGCGTACCTCTGCTTCGGTTCAACAATCGAAAGCGGTGTCTTAGAAAGATTTGATTCGAAGGATATCCTCATCAACCTCATCAAAGCAGGTATTTTCTTCGTTGTTTCATTCTCATACCCATGTCTCATGCAGCCAGTTCTCGGTTCATTCGGCCAAATCATTTATAAGAATTCCGATGCGCCAAATCTACCTCTCTGCCAACGTATAGTTTGCGAAATTGTTGGTAACGCCATCGCCGTTATCATCGCCATGGTTTACGAAAGCGCAAACACAGTTCTCGGAGTTGGTGGTGCATTGGGTGGTTGCGTCTCAAACTTCATCTATCCAGCGATTATGTATTTAGTTCTTTACAAGCCGTCGGTCAAAACTATTAAGTTTTGGCTTGTTGCAGCTCTGGCCGTTTTTGGCATTGTTTCAGCCATCATCGCAACAGTTACGTCAATCATTTCGGCCGTCAAAGAATTCAAGAAATGAAAAACATTATCTAATAATAGTTTCATATGTAAATATTATTAAATATATAATGTAGATCATGAATTTGAAAAAAACAAAATTTTTTATCAGTTTGAACCAAAAATAATCGTTATCTGCTTCCTTTTTTGTATAAAACAAATCTGCCATCTACAGGATTATCTTTCTAACCTTGTATATCAGTTAACCATAAAATACTCCTTATCTGGCAGCTATAGGTTTGATTGCATGAATCCATAAACTGAACATTTAACCGATTGAAGTTACATTAAACTGTTTCACTGGATTAACTCAGTGTAATCAATGGACTAAGATTTTTCTAGAGTTTGAAAGCGAGGTTTTAAAATTTTGAACGATTTTATCCATTATTTTGAGAATATACCATGATATTTGAAGACATAAATACAACATTTCTATCAAATATCACTATATATGTCATGTATACTTAAATATTAGACTTTCACATGTCTATTATACAAAAAAAATCATAAAAAAATATAAACATGGTTTTGGATCCATACTTGCCAGAGTATAAACCAGCGAGCTCTTGAAATTCATTTTTAAATAATATTATAAGTAAATTTACTCCCTTTTCTTGCACAATAGATATAAGGGAAAATTCTAAGAATAGTATGAGCATTATTGTCTTAATTTCAGTATTTTATATCGCATTCAATTGGTTTGATCAAGATATTTTATCATGATTTGAAAAATTAAATTGAAATTCGCTTGGATGGATGAATAAACCATGAAAATTTATTCTACATATAAACACTATTTAAATTATCATAAAGAAGACATCTATTCCCTAAGCACCCAAAAAAAAATCGAATTCCGTTAGGCTCTCAATAAATTAGCGAAAGAAAAATGAATGGATCCTCATCTGAGCCTGCCCCTCTCGATATAGGAGATATGGTTCAAAATCTTAGAGAAAAGAATACAGAGCTTCATCAAAAGATTATCGCAAAGAAAGAAGTTATTAATAAACAGCGGAAAAAGCAACGTGCGATGGCTCGTGCAAATTGGTATTCTATGATGTTGTATGCTCGAAAAAGAGTATTGCTTCGAGAATCTGCATCATATCAAAATAAAAAAAATGAAAAACTTGATGTTTTTACAACAGCTGCAGTTCAAAAACTTGCTAGTGTTTTAAGATTTAAGGCAGCAACAAAAGTATTTGAAGAAACTACGCAAAAATTCTTTGAACCAATTCGAATTTATTCATCTCCTCCTTCAGTTCCAATAGTTGAAGAAGCTGTTGACGATGCAAGTATCAGGTTCATGTCTAGACTATCATTTGCTCCATCATTAAATCTTATTGCTCCTCAGATGGTAAATTCAATTAAAAATGTCGATACATACGAAAACTTACGCCCATCTCCAGCAGATATAGAATACCGTACTAATTTAATTATTGATGATGTTGTATCTCATATTGAAGCCGATCCAATTGTTCCATCTTTATCAGATATTACTCAACCACTTGAAAGATTCTCACAAGATACAATGATATTGAATCCAATCAACGATATTAATATTATTGTCTCTCAGGCATCATTAATGGCTGTTCTCCAAACCCCAATTGCAGCAGCTGTTCCTGTTGTTGCCAAAGAAGTACGTAAACCATTCAGAAGTGCAATGAGAATGGCCTATCCTCGCTGGGATCTTGAAGATCCACTCGATATTCAAAGAGATCAAACGTGGGATGAAACTAAATTTGATGAAGCAATTCAAGATGAAATTAATAAGGATATTTTACTTGAAAGTCAAAAGGCTTCTAAGATGCAACGCTCCAGTCCCACGAAGGTCCCAACTTCTCCTCGTCATAACGTTGAATCAAATCTTATCTCAAGAGATCTTGATTTCCAACCAGAAAACGAGATAACAACCCAAGACCTCCCAACTGTAGGTAAGAGTGGCCTCAAACCTAAACAATTCCACTTTGATTTGTCGTCAATTCTTCCTGGTCTTGACGACGGACTTTACAAGATGATCCAGCCTATCCCTGAGCTCGTTATTCATACAAGATTCTTCTCGAGATCGATGTTTGAAGAAGAAATGAACAAACCAGTTAATTATTACGCAGATTTGGTAGCTAACGATCCAAGCCAGACAGTTCCTGCCCAGTCCTTAGACTTTATTGACGAAGAAATCGATAAGAGTCTTTACGATTTACTTGCATCCGGAACTGGTATGAACGAAGTCGCAGATAAACTGATTGACTTTGGCATGCAAGCCGCTGAGAAGGCCCTTGCAACAAATCTTGCGGGAATTACTTACGGAAATGTTCATATTGCTCTTCCATACTTATTAGGTGCGGCTCAAATCAAAATGCATAATATCGATGATGACAAACCACTCCTTATACCTCCAGAAAAGAAAGCTACGGCAAATCCTGTTTATATTACTCCAGAATAAAAATTTATTCTTTTATTTGTATTGATTTTCCCTGATAACATGCTAATATTTCCCTCGATGAATCGGTTCCAAGTTTCGAACCCCGAAAAATCGATGTTACATTTTTCAGGCACATTGAAAAATTGAGAACATCCGCCTGTATCAGGAAAAAAAAAAGAAATGCCTCCGAAAAAAATTAGGAAATCTCATCAATCTCACCCTGAAACGTTACTCGTTTCAAAAGATCAGACTATTTTAACGCGTAAATATAATCAAATCAAAAAGGTTACAGGAGCTTCGATTATTCAAGATTTTGAACCTTTATTACAACCACCAGATGGTGTTACAGTTAGCGACTGGCTCATCATCAACGTAATGGAATTCCTAGACAAGACAGATAAATTATACCAATGCTGTTCTTTGTTTTGCACAACAGAAACATGTCCTTTATTTAACGCTGGTCCTCACTACAACTTCTTTTGGGAAGATGAGAGCATCCAAGATCCAGTACAACTTTCAGCTCCGGAATATCTTTTACAATTAACAAAATGGGCTAGACGCAACTTAGCCAATACAGCTCTCTTCCCTAGGAAAGATGGATTAGAATTATCCGCTGATGCTTACGACGTATTGCGAGCAATATACAGAAGGACGATAAGAATTTATGCTCATCTTTATGTCTGTCATTTCTCTTCTATTAAAGAAAATGGCATAGAACCGGTTATCAATACGGTCTTTGGACATTATTCGCAGCTTGCTTTACGCTATCAGATGATTGATGAAGAAGATATTGAAATGCTTATGCCGGTCTTCAACGCAATGCATATATCATCTACTCCATAATAGTATTTCTCATATATAAGAATATTAATATTTGTATGTTAATTTTGAATATTATCATCTTTTTACTTTACTAATAAAAACCTGTTTCATTATTTATTGATCGTAAAAACTCGCTATCGCAGATAAATCATATCCTATTCTTTAACAATGAATTCTCCAGCAACTTTAATTTTATACTCGACCATCTTCTGCATCTCATAAGATTTAGATATTCTTGCTTGTCATATAATAGTATTGGGATAGAAAATTGCTCTGTGAGTTTGAAATATATTTGAACATAATTAATATCTCTATTTCATCGACTATGAAGTTAACACATATGAATAGTTGGTTGTATACTTCTTAAAAGTCATTCTGAAACATCATATTTTCATGACGATTTTTCAGCCTGATATTGAAGAAGTACTAAATACGGACTTAGATCCGACAACAGATATGTTCTTCAAGCTTAAATCAGCTCGTGCCTTAGAAGATGAAACTTTTGAAGTAGTGTTTCGATACATTTTCAAATTTAAATTAAATATTGAAGGGGCTTTAGGCGTATTAAGCCCAGAAAAACTCGAAAGTTGTGCTACATTAGCTATTCAAGCGAAAGAAACAACTCAAGAAAATCTACTTTATGCTCATTACATTTTAGTTAATCTTTCACTTTGTGAATTACAACTTCAAGTGCAGAATTCATTAAAATTCATCGAAGAAAACATAGATAAGAATTTATTGCCATTTATTGATGATGAATTAAGATTAATTTTAGAATATACAAAAACAGAAGCAATTGAATTTGAAAATATTCCACCAAACGAAGAAGTTCAGAAAGACTATGTAGATATTCCCGTACTTCCTCCTTTAGATAGTGCAGGCAGATTAATAGGTGGTTTATATCGTTCTTTGAACGAATACGAGGTATTTTGCAACTTAATTGCTACAAGGAACCCAGATGTAGATAACATACATCGTCGTTTATTAGAATTAACTAATGATTTAAGAGAATTTACATTTTTCTTGAATTTTCCGATATCGCGGACAGAATTTGTCAAGAGTTTTGTTGATTACATACTTATTGCATTCGAAATTCCTACACCAAATAATCTTTTATTCGTTTTTCCATATTCAAATATTTTAGACAAAATCAGAGAGGAATATCCGAGATACAATCATGTCAGCATAAACTTCAAGTCATTGCAAGAGCCCATTGTCAGATTAATTACATGTGCCGCAGATATAAATCATAATTTAGATTATTACATGATTGCCGCTTATTTAACTATGGGCCACATGTCGATGTCCTATATGTTAGATGTTTTAACGCTTTCTTTTTACAATAAGAACCAGATTTCGGACGAAATCGCTGTTTTTGGATTTGACATATGTCATATGAACGGATACAAAGGATATTTCGCTACTTTGATGCAATTTTTGTCGAAGGAACATTTAGAAATTGCCAAAAAGCCATTCTTCGCTTGCAAACCTGTTTATTTTGGAGAATCAATTCCATATTTATTCAAAATTCCATTATTCTTTAGTTTATTTGATGAAAAAGAGAATGATTTGTTATATATTGATCCTCGAGGCAACAAAACCATCAAACTTCTGCTTGCAACTCAATACAAACAACAAGAACTGTATTCGGCAAGCTTTGATGTTAAATGTATTCATCTCTTCCTCAATGATTTGAGTAGGAAGTTCCATACTTCAAGGAGACAACCTTTCCCTGAAAGTAAATAAAAAAAAATATAATTTTTGTATAAAGATTTTTTTGTTATATTAAAATAAAAAGTTATATATTACTTGCTCATTTGAATCATCCATGAGATAGCTCTATAATATTGGGTATTGTTTTTCAAATTTAAACCCTTTTCCATAATACTTCGAATTTGGGACATAACATATATGCAAATGCGTGTCCCTAATGATCAACTAGGAGTTAATCTCTATTGGATCATCTAACACAAATTCTTGATTTTGATAGTAAAAAATCCATTCTTGTATTTATGGCATTGATTATATTTACAGTTGTTAGTGATTTGGATCTAATAAAAGTCATGTCTGTATGAAATATATTGAATGAAATTACTCAAAATTGATAAGGATATAGTAACAAATGAATTGACTCATTTTAGAGTGATAAGTGTTTATGAATGGAAATCATATCCTCTAAATTTTCTGAGATAATTGTTTCTATCTCATCAATTAAAGAGTGTAAGAGGAAATTTCTTATAGCAATGTCTTATAGCATTGGCTATAGTATATTTATTATAACAACAAACCTATCTCATTGAAAAAAAAAGAAATTTCGATTACACAAAAAAAAACATCAATGTGGATCAAGTATTTTTGATGGTAAAATCAATTTGTATTGCTGATGTTGTAAACAGAAATTCATCAAAAGTGACACCTCAGAAAAGCTAAAATATTGAATTTTTGGAACTTTTGATAGAGCACGTTTTTAAATATTAATTAAAGTAAATGTATATTTTGTAAAGATTCTTTTTAATAAAAAAATAAAATTTTGAAGAAGAACACAAAATCTTCTGAAAAATAATATCACATAAACTCATATTATTTTCTAATATATAACTATTTTATATAAAAATCAAATTCAATGATCTTAAAAGCGAAGGATAAACCTCAAAATTTACGAATATAATGAGTGGGAATATAATGCTTATCTATCATAAAACCATATGAAATATTAATTGTTGCTTTACGCCTAATTTTTGACGACAATTAGCAAAAAATGTTAAATGTTAACACTCAGTCCATTTGAATATGAAAAATAAAATTGACTTTGATTAAATGTTTTTATTTATCATGCAATTCTTCTTGCGACCAAAGATTTGAATAAAAGTTCAAAAAATAAGATAGCTTAAAAAATAATATACGGTAAAAAAAAAAAAAAAAAAAAAAAAAAAAAAAAAAAAAAAAAAAAAGGTAGTGGGGCTTCCAGGCACTTCGTGCCTTCTAGCCCTAAGAATTTTTCCCAAGACCCAAGAGGAGGACCGAACCCCAGCCGACCAGCCGTTGACTTTTTTGTCATGATTTCATCGTAAATGTTTTGTCATGATTTCATCGTAATGAGCGTAAATGACCCAAAAATATAATTTATGTTAGAATGTTAGATCTAACACGTTTTCTAACATGTTTTCTAACATCGTAGAAAACTCATGATTTCATCGTAAATGTTTTGTCAAGACTTCTTCGTAAATGTTTTGTCAAGACTTCTTCGTAAATGTTTTGTCAAGACTTCTTCGTAAATGTTTTGTCGAAACTTCTTCGTAAATGTTTTGTCGAAACTTCTTCGTAAATGTTTTGTCATGATTTCATCGTAAATGTTTTGTCGAAACTTCTTCGTAAATGTTTTGTCGAAACTTCTTCGTAAATGTTTTGTCATGATTTCATCGTAAATGTTTTGTCAAGACTTCTTCGTAAATGTTTTGTCAAGACTTCATCGTAATGAGTGTAAAGGACCAAAAAATAATGTTTATGTTAGAATGTTAGATCTAACATGTTTTCTAACATGTTTTCTAACATGGTCTAAAACTCTTGAATTTTCATGAATTTTCATGATTTCATCGTAAATGTTTCGACAAAACATAGACAATAAAGTTTTGACAAAACATAGACAATAAAGTTTTGACAAAACATAGACAAGAAAGTTCATGAGAAATTAGACAAGAAAGTCTTGACAAAACATAGACAAGAAAGTCTTGACAAAACATTTACGATGAAGTTTGACAAAGTCTCAACAAAGTCTTTACGATGAAGTTTGACAAAACATAGACAAGAAAGTTTTGACAAAACATTTACGAAGAAGTCTTGACAAACATGTACGAAGAAGAAGTTTCGACAAAAACATATACGATGAAATCATGAAAATTCAAGAGTTTTAGACCATGTTAGAAAACATGTTAGAAAACATGTTAGATCTAACATTCTAACATAAACATTATTTTTTGGTCCTTTACACTCATTGACGAAGAAATCTCAACAAAACATTGACGAAGAAGTCTTGACAAAACATTTACGAAGAAGTCTTGACAAAACATGTACGATGAAGTCTTGACAAAACATAGACAAGAAAGTCTTGACAAAACATAGACAAGAAAGTCTTGACAAAACATTTACGATGAAGTTTGACAAAGTCTCAACAAAGTCTTTACGATGAAGTTTGACAAAACATAGACAAGAAAGTCTTGACAAAACATAGACAAGAAAGTTTTGACAAAACATTTACGAAGAAGTCATGACAAAACATTTACGATGAAACCTTGACAAAACATGTACGATGAAACCTTGACAAAAACATATACGAAGAAGTTTCGACAAAACATATACGATGAAATCATGAAAATTCAAGAGTTTTAGACCATGTTAGAAAACATGTTAGAAAACATGTTAGATCTAACATTCTAACATAAACATTATTTTTTGGTCCTTTACACTCATTACGATGAAGTCTTGACAAAACATTTACGAAGAAGTCTTGACAAAACATTTACGATGAAATCATGACAAGATAGAATATGAGAGAGGTCCTATAAACTGGAGAAAGTGTCATATAAACATCTGTCAAAAACCGCTTTTTAACTTCACTTAAAATGCCACGTAAGCTACGTAAGAATATACGTAAGAGGAAGAGAGCATTGAAACATCCAATAGTAAAACTGACACCACAACAACAGTTGCAACAACAAATGCTGAATGACCCCACTATGTTGCAACAAATGTCAAGCAATCCTATGCTTTTAAACCGAGTTTTTGGTGCACAGAGTGGAGGTTTAAGAGCGGCACTTTTAGCGAAAATGGCAGGCTATGGTGGAGCTGCAGACGGAACAGCTTATAACCCTCAAAGTCAAATGAATTTGAGTTCACTCAAAAATCAAATAACAGATGTCAAAAAGTCAAACATAGACATACAGAAACAAATAAGTGAAAACGAAAAGAAACTAGAATATGACAGACACACAAAGAAACTCAATGAGTTAAACGTAGAGAAAAAGAAGAAAGAAGAACAACTGAAAGAACTAAGTACAGAGCAATATGCGAAAAAAGTGTCAGAAAAAGCAGCAGAAGTAGCAAAAATGGAACAAGATGTCATAAATTTGAAAAACCATACTACTCAATATAAAATACTGAAAGATGAAGAGATAAAACAAAAAGCCCTGAAGACATATATGGATAGCGATGAGTATAAAAAAGAAGTTGAAGCAAATGTAAAGGCAGAAAAACTTTTACAGTTGCAAAACCAAACCGTACAGTATGAAAACTTAGCACAAGAAAGTAAAAATAACGACGCAGCCATGCAAAAGGCAATGAAAAGCGCAGAGTATATAAAAGCTAACAATGACTGGTTAGATGCCCAAGCCAACGCTAAAGCAGCCCAGCTTATAGGGTCAATAAGGACAAAAATACAAGCGGATGAAGACAGTTCAAATGAAGCTTTAACGAATGCTGACTTTAAGAACGCCTTCGAAGCTCTTCATAGTAAGGTGAAACAAGTGAACGACTTCTCATCTGGAAAGAAACTGAAGTCTGAAGGTTTCGACAAAGAGTTAAGAGAAGTAGCACAAAATATGACGAAAATAACAGATGCAGCAACGAGACAGGCAGTTCAAAGTGCCTATGACGCCGTTAGAGCAACTGTTGTGAAAAGTCAAGAAAAAGAGTTACAACAGACCAAAACAGACCTAGTAAATGCTTTCTTAAGAACGAAAAGTCAGGTAGGACATTACGCTGCAGATGGAACATATGTGCCAGCTGGTGGAACTTATATACCACCAAACCCTCCAAGAGAAGCACCTGCACCAGGACTACCTATGACATTTACATCGTCACATGGACACAGACACAGGCATGCACCAAAACCAACACAACAACCAACAGTTCAAAATCCAGCACAACAACAACAACAACCAACACAACAACCAGCACAACAACCAACACAACAACCAGCACAGCAACCAACAGTTCAAAACCCTGCACAACAACAACCACAAACAGAGCAAGGACATAAAAGAAGTAGAGAACAAGGAAACCAAGAATTCTTAAAAATGCTTAAAGAAGAGTGTGGTTTCCCAGATACTGTTGACTTTAGTGACAGATATAAAGAAGCTATTGGAAAGTTCAAGGATGGAAATACTGACCCGAACCTATTTAGCTTTATGGCTCAGCACCAAAACGGATATAATCTCAAACCTGGAAAATACAAGCTCGCTAAGGGATATGATTTAATAGCATATCATCCAAATGACATGGATGAATTTACTCCGAGATATTTGATGTCAGAGCTAAATGACAATTCAACTTTCGTCATGAAACGCGTAAAAAATAGAGACGGAACGAAAGAACAAAAGCTTATGAATGCGGATGACGTAGATAGGGAAATTGTTAAAAACGGTCTCGGAATATATGAAATGCCAGCAGATGAGGTACAAGAAACTCCACAGGAAGAAATAGTTCAGATACAACCAGACATGGAAGAAATAGTTCAGCAACAACAGCTAGAAGAGCCTGAAGGAAACGAACAAGTCACTCCTTTGGAAACTAACTTCACAGAACTAGATGAAGATTTGGAACAGCCGAAAAATCTTGACCCTCAACAAGAGCATGAGGTGAATATGGAATCTTTCCAAGAGTCTAAGAAAGATTCGGCTGACATAGTAGAAGAATATCGAAAAATGTTTGCCGACATACAAAAGACTCCAACACCAGATGAAAATTCAGCA